TGGGCTTTCAAAGTGATTGACAGGCTGTAGCAGGCGGGTTTTCGGATATATTCATGAATCTCCTGCAAACAGTGTACCAACAAACAAAAGGAGAAAAGCAGAAAAGAAAAAGACATCAGACAAAACACATGTATCATCAATATTACAAAAAGAAAAAAAAGAAGGACCAATCAAGTATGTATGAAAACACTGCTACAGACGCAATGGCTGGTCAGTACAATTTTCAAAGGGGACAAGATATTGCAATAATAATTGCCGGCATGGCTAATTAAGTGTCAAGTTTGCCTGACAATTTGAACTCAGGTTAGCCATTAATTACGATGGATATTGGCCTACATGTAAGTGAGAGACTTATTTTAGCATACAAAAACAATTAATTGCAAATTACGTGTTCATCTTGCTAATATAAAATCTAACTTTGATAGCTCAATGTCTACCAAATTGGAAAGGAACGGCAGGAAACCCGAGTACTGAGGAATCTTCAAATTGTTAGGCACCCTTCCGATCAACAATCAATGCTTTCCCACTGAACTTCTGGATTGAAATTTCAAAATCTACACAACTTTCACTGGAGTTTTTTAGACAATCTAGTCAGGTAATATTGTAAAAATATTTATTCGGGCATATGAGCATATCAATGAAGACATTTGGTAGAAGGAAATTGAGCCAGACCTAGGCCTGGCCTAATTAAGTGACTGTGAGGTAAATGGCAAAGTGACCCAGCCCAGCCATGCATAAAGCCATGCCCAGTTCTGCTAGCCCAAGTCTTTGCGGCCAGTCACTGGACTAAATGCTCGCTCTGCCTTGTACTCAAGCCTTCAAAGCACAGATCGAGCATGACTGGTCATAGTAGACTGTGCATGACTAGTGCTAGCCCAAGTAACTTGGGCTCTACTTATCGCCCTTTTAACTCTTGGACAATATTAGGAGGGCCTAAGTTGAATGTAAGACATGGCTAACATTTTCAAAATGGTATCCGCTGTGCGGTATACATGATGGCGCCCTCATATGGTAAATTTAACTTTTCACCAGTTCGTAAGTAATTACTTTTAGTAGGCCTACCGCAGTCTTAATCATCAATCTCGTCTTGTACTAGCTAGTAGTAGTACTAATTCTGTGGCTGCTTTGAGGGTGAAATCTGACGATTTTGTTGGCAAATGGTTGTTCGTTAAACATTCAACTCCGGCCCTATACTATCAGCAGACCATGACCATGTCTAAATGCTAAAAAGGCGATAAGTTGGGCCCAAGTAACATACTATTACTAGCGTATCTAGACTGTGGCCGTATTGAGGGTGAAATTTTATGCTTTTGTTGGCAAATGGTTGGGTCTTTAATTCTTTCAAAAGCCATGTTTGCCATTCAACTTGGGCCCTTCTATCACCAGGCCATGTCCGACATACGTCCAAACTAGGGCCCAAGTCAAGAACAGCGTTCCGGTTAAAAAACTTAGGACAGCAGAACACTGACACTGCACTCCACTGAGTGACAAGTGACATTGAGAAGACTCGAATGATCTGGCGGGTTACTAAAGATTATATTTTCAAAGTGGTCTTAATTCATTTACAGTTTTAACTTATACCTACACAATCTCCTCATGTCTGTCCTGGTTTTGTATTTGTATTTCTTGAATAAATTTGTCCATTTGCTTACTATTAAAAAGGCATTAAAAAGTAGAAACTGCTCCGCCGTGACCACACGTTGCGCCTTTCTGCCTTCTAAATAAAAAACGCCCTCTATTGATAAAATAAACAGCGCCCTCTATCGACCCAATAAATTGCGCCCTCTATTGAAAATTTTGATAGCGCCCTCTCGTGACATAATCTAGAATTGACAATTGTAGGGCGCCCTCTATTGAAATCCAAAATTTAAGCGACAAAGCTTATAGCGCCCTCTGTTGAAGTTCATAAAATGATAAACGCAAACAATGGCGCCCTCTATAGTGCGTCATCGATTGCAGTTTGGGTACCAAATTTTGAGTATAGCGCCCTCTACCAAGGTTATCGCGCAATCAGAGCGCCCTCTAAGTGCACAGTCAAAATGATTGAGCACTGTGCATGCAGTGTGAACAGGCAGCAATAGTGTCCTCTTTTGACCTTAATCTGAAAGTAGCAGGCAAGAATCCACTAAAAAAAATCTACAGAAATGTAAAGGAGAACAAGTATGAAACTTCATACAAAAGTGCTGTACACTATAAATTTTGTACATAATTGTTTATTGCTAATTTACAGGGAAAGAGTAACAAATATGTGCACTACAGCAATAGTCACCACTTGTTCTTCCAAAATTGGACACAATGTGCGTTGTTTCATGTTTGCACTTGGAAATTTATATGATAATTTTATGAATTGCAAATTATTAAACTGTTGTATTTTCGTTTTTAACTTGTGATGCTCTCACTTGGAGCAAACATACGAGAGGAAATTAAGAAAAATGTTCAAGAAGCTTTAACACTACAAGAAAATAGTTGGTATCACCTCTAAATTTTGCTTTGTTTCCTTGAAGTCTGTCGGAGGATATTTTTGTTGTAGTTGTATTGAATTTAAATATCCAAACCATAATAACACAGTGTCAGTAAAAAAATATATATACATCAGTAGGCATTGTAACAACAAAATTTTTAGAAAAGAACTTTTGATCTAAAATTCTATTCCCTTTACATTACCTTAGTTTTAACTGACTCAAGTTAGGAAAATGCGTTACAAAACTTTTAAAAAATAAAGTTATTAACTTTATAAAGATCCAAGAGTGGTTTGCACAATTTGGAAAAAATATTCTATAAGACAGAACATCAATTGCAGAACCGAGGACGAGTAACAAACTACACTACTTTCTCGTCTCCGCCTGCTGCCTTTTTCCCCAAATATATTGTCATTATATTATCTCTTTATTTTGTTTCCAACAAAATTGTAGCCATAGATGTAGAAAGGGTTCATTAAGGCCAAAAAAAAAGTCTCCGGTTTCTGGTATGGAGCTTGTCCAAAAAGTGGTGCGGCGACGCGGTTTTTTTTTTTTTTTTTTACCTGACTTTTTTGCTTCAAATGTCGACTGATGACTGCAAATGGTGCCCGACTAAACTTAGTACAAATATATGGGAGTCCAGAGAGGCCACATAAAGCTTATTCTCGATCATAACCCAATCTAAAAACACGTTAAATTGTGCAGCAGCAGGATTCCAGTCAAACCAGTGAGTTTGGCGGTTTTGAGACATCAACTTATATTGAAAAAAAAAACTTTTTCATTTTGCCGACGCGCATGGCTACGGCGACGCGCGCGCATACCAGAAACCGGAGACTTTTTGGGGGGGCCTAAGGTACAATTTTGTATCACAAAAGAGTCGAGCAAGTGGAAGAATCCACCTGCCATCTTGTAAAAACTTGGGGGGGGGGGGGAGGAGAGAAGTGCCCGCCTCCTTCATTTGTTCCAAATGTCCGGATGAGAAAAGCGACTTCTCCTTAATTACTCGGGCACAGTGTGATCATTGAGAAATTTGCTGAACTACCCCAAGTCATTCTTACAACAAACCGAAAGTAACAAGTAACATAAATGGTCACTTCTTCAGGCTAACACAAAAACTTTCAGCAGAAGTTACTTTTTACAAAAGGCTTATTTAAATTAGAAAAATAAAAACTCAGCAAGTAATAATTCAATTACTAACCAATTTCCATTTTGAATACAAATGTAAAAAATGCTTTTGTCTGTACAAAGATAGATTTATCTGTTTCTAGGTATAATATAAAAGCTTTCATTTATGCTATAGTTTTATGAACATTATATACAGAAATGGTTTTCAACCAAATGTACAAATTTTAAGTCTGGAAATAAAGAGAGTTTGCTTTTTATATTATTATGTTCATATCAACACACATTATTTTTCTCATACAGCCATACTGGCAACACCTCACTATTGACTCCCTGACACACAAAAACACGTCATATTCTGAATGCCCTTATTTTTTTGTTTGCAAGTTCAACCCTAACTTTCCCAGGTTTTTGGAGAATTTTGAAGGATTGAGGAAGTACCAACCCGGCCACTTTAACATGGGCTTTAATAATTGCCCCTTGATGGGCATTTTCCACACTAATGGGAACAATTGACTGCAAATTTGACACTGGAGGGTACAGCAAAGCAGGAGATTTTGTTCAGTTGTTTTCTGTGCATTCCTGAGACCTTAATGATCATGTGTACACACAATATAGAGAACTTTATCTGTACTTTATACATTACAGAGGTCATCGTTAATAATTACGTAAGTAACATGGACAGAACTTTTGCCTTAAATTGACAGGACACTCATTATTATGTGCATGCATTTCCCCAAATGTCATCTCATTTATATTCATAACCCATTTAGAATTGCTAAAAGGACAAAAAAAAAACCACCATTTTCTTGGTCTTACAGACACTTAAGTGTAACGTATGTATCACGGACAGATATTTTGACAAATTTCTGTCCATGTTACGGGCATAATTTTTTGAAAATAATACCCTGTGACATCTTAAATAGAAAGTAGATTGTCTTGGATTTTGACGGGTAACAATGCAGCCTCGACTCCATGGGCGCTTGCGTGTTCCTTACACTAACCCCTGGCTGTGATGACGTAAATGACGCTGACTGGCTATTCACAGCGTACTGCGCGCGCATTTCGAAGATTACACGCCGGGCGCGCCCATAATGCGCTCGCGCTCGCGTGCTTAGCACGTAACGTCACGTACGAAAAAAAATTGTTATTCAAAAGTAAGTCGCGATGCCTGTAAGATATGGATTATGGCAGCCTCGTTTTTCGCTAAAAAAAAACCTGTATCTGTCATGTCTGTGGTTGTAAAGGCACGAAGGGGGTACGTACATTTAATACAAATCTTTGCTAAATAATGCAACGTCCAAACATTATGTTTGAAAGGATTGATTCTTCAAAATCACAACTTTTAACATTTTAAAGATGGCATCGGCACGTAAAACGGATAAACTGCAGCCTAATTATAATGTGCCATATTTTGACGCATTTAAGTTACACAATTCCAGGGGTTAAGATCGCGCAAGGCATGATGGGAAACAACATGGCGCAGCAAGATCGTACCCATGGGGAACGAGGTTGGTAACAATGCTGTAGGGATCTGAATGAAACGTTTACCACAAGTACAGAATTCTCTGCTATAGTAAGCAGGGATTTTTCGCTAACTGTTAAGCAGAGCCAGGAAATCGGGCCCAGCTCTGTTAGCAGAAAATCACGGACATACCAGCACAACATTGGGCCCTGTTCAAATAAAGCAAAGGGCAAAACAAAGCGAATGATGTTATTTTGTGCCAGTGTACTTCTCCCGTTGGATAACAATGTCGAGCAAGTCTTGGCGATCCAGCTCGTGCAGCATTGTGATCAGTTCCGTCTTGTTGAAGGGGCGTGTGGGATGGGCCTGCTTCTCCCAGTAGGCTAGAATGACTTCGGTGGGTTTCTTCTTGTATCGACAGCTGAAGTCATCAATCAGGATAATGTCAGAGCCAGAGAGACCTGTAGAAACGGAAGGGGGAAGGCACGACAAATTAATAAAACGTGTCAGATTTTTTTCTTTTTCAGAAGTTGTAGTCTGAGTAGAAACTTTGTGAGGAATAAAAGATCAGTACAGGGTTAAATTAGGATTGAGGCTTTTGTGGGCCTTGAACCTGTAACCTGCGCAACGTGTGCTCAGCCAACTGAGCTATCTTAAAGCCGTATGTTGGCAGTTCCCCAATTTGTCAATGCTGAAGGGGTTCTAGTCATACAACATGTGCCATGTGGGTAGGGATCACATCAAAAGTGATAAACAGCATCATTTTTTTGGGCAATTTTTCTACAGAAAGTTTAAACAGGTATGTTGCTTAGACAACAGGTGAATTGTATGATGCTCGGCAATATATATACTGAATGTTTCTGTAACAGTATATTGAGAAGACAAAAAAACCTGTTGTGATGCTCATTATTCCATGATGTATTGTAGTTTTTGTACAGTATATAAACAGGAAATTGCTAAATTTATGATTGCTTTAAGGATAGTCAACACATTCACTGCATGGTCCCTTAGTGATTATGACTCTACTACGTGTTCCTTTCAGAGGTTAAAAGGGCAATTAAAATCCATTTTCCTTCAAACCAATCAAGCCATACAAATAAACGACCCTATTTGATGAGCTCCGTGCATAAATACCCCCTAAACTTTCAAGAAAGGGTGAGTTGGTTGAGACCACTGGGTAGGACATAGTCTAGCGGCAAGACGTTGTTGGTTTGATACGCGATAACAAGGTAGGACACTCGAACAAGTGCCGACAATGCCTGATGCCTGAAGTTGTTCCTAACAAGTCCGTGGGCGATATTGGTTGGTCGTGATAGCGCCCTCTTGCGGCGGCAGGTTATCGCGTATCAAACCATAACAACGTCTAGCCCCTAGACTAGGTAGGACACTCGAACAAGTGCCGACAATACCTGATGCTCACATGAAAATACTACTTTCAATACTAGCTTTGTGAACATTAAAAATAAAATTGGTTATGCATGTACATCGCTCTACATGCATGTGAACAGTACAGGTACGCAATGTGCCCCATCAACGGGGAAACGGTCAAAAGCGCCCTCTGTTGTTTGCTCACAGTTCCCATTCCAGCCCTAGCTATGCCTACTTGTTCAACCACTTTATAGCGGTTTTATTCTCCCTTTCTAAAAAAAGTATGAGTCAGAACAGATATATTGCAGGGTGTTGGGTCATTTCATATATAATGTCAGCAAAGCCACTGCACCTGGTACCAAAGTTAAACGTGAACATGTGACGGCTAAACGGGCAGAGACCAAATTGCACAGCTGACTACTTTTTTTTTTTTAGGATCCTCATAATTTGTTATTTCCCTGGGACCTTTCTTGATGCAAATCCTGTACATCCCATGACTGCTGGTTAAAGGAACTCCCTGCCTACAGATGAGGGTTGGTTGGGGGGAGGGGGGATGGGGGGACACTTTAATACCAACTTGTTCTCGGCCATGCAGGAGTTATCAAAATAATGACTAAGTGTGTGCGGCTACCCTGGAGTATTCGTCATACATGTTTTGGGTTATGTTCTGCTGTAATATAGGTCACGTTTAGAAAAGTGCGCACAGGCAATGTTTTTACCAGAGTTGTGAATATATATCAAGAGAAAGTGTACATAAAATCCACCTGCACACACTGACATCAAACGAATTTGAAGAGTCTATACAAACGTTCAGTTCTTTCCCAGGATGTCAATTTTCAATTCAAATGCTTTACCGGTATGTCGTGCAGATTTTCCGACATGTTTACTAATGGCACAATATGGTGCAAATATCAAAGATGGTGTACTCAATGACCTTTTTGATACTAATACTGCTCAGAGGGCACATCATGTTGTGCAGCTTGACAGAAAGACTTCTTGATATTCTCTATACAGCACTTTCCACATTTTCCACCAAAAGGTCTTTTCCATGTTTAAAAAAGTGTGCACAAATCATCTTCAGGAGACTGTGACTATCAAGTTCACAGCACAGTTTAACACAAATGCCTTTAGTATCTAGGAACTTTAAAGGCAGCTTCTTTGCCTGAGGCAGGCACGTGAGACAGAAGAGCTTGTTCCCCCCAGCTCTGACTTTCACAACCTTCAGGAATTTGCTGAAAGGGGGGCAATGTCGGTCATGTGCAGTCACAAGACTAGGGGAAGACAAAAATTTAGCAACTTTTTTTTTTTTTGGTAAGTGAACTTCATACCAGGCACAGAATCAGGAGTGGGGGGTGAAACAGTCATGAAGGGTTCCCTAAATTAGGGGAAGCAGAACATTGAGGAAACCGCAGTTTCGCTTGAAACTTGTTTTGCTCAATAATCAATAACAAACTTTTGGGTAAACAAGTATACTTCAAAAAAGATGATACAGCCCAACTTTTCTTTTTTTGGAGGAGGATACTTTTTGCATACCTTTTGGAGACCTTCAAAAATTAAGATTCAGTTTGTGAAAACATTCTTGTACATAAAGATGTCATCACAAGACCATTATTAAAAAGAGAAACAAAAACGCATCCACTATTGAAGATTGGTTTGCAATTTAAAGCCTACTATTTCGTGTGAGTGCAAACATGCACAAAATCCCAGGTTACCAATTTATTCATAAATAGAATTCAACAGGTGAAGGGAATCCAAGGGGTCGAAACTTTGCAGGAAGTATCTTTTTGCAGATTCATTTTTCCGGCACCTTGGCATGAGGAAATACTTTCATTTGGGTGAAATCTCATCCAATGCCTCAACGATTTTGGAATTTCTTTGACAAAGCCGAAAAGGAAACAGTTTTCTTCAAGGAAATAAAGTGTGCGGAAACTTCACTTTATTGTGCCGTTTTGAATTGCTATGACGTCAATACGCGACAGGCTGTCCAAAATTGTTGAATTGGACCCTGGCATGCGTGAAATGAAAGGTTTCGCCTGGCTACAAGAAAACTGTGATGTCATCCTGCAGACTGGGTGTTTATACTTCCGAGGCATTATTGTCACTATCACACTTGTTGTGAATCTATTGTTGTAATCCAGGGCAGCCACAATGCAGTTTGAATGGGGTACTTCATTGCTGCATCATGATTTCATACAGGGAAGGTGTTATAGTATGCACTGCATGTTGCATAGCTGTGGAATCACACAGCGTATAGATAGTACAAAAGGTTAACTTGTTGAACCGCTATACAAAAACAAATCTGCTTAACACAGGGGCAACTATGCACGGAAGTAAGCTTAACACAGAAAATATTGGCTTAGGAAAAAAACTTACCATCAAAAAGTCATGCACTCATTTTTGGGCAAAAAGTATCTATAGAATCTGAAGGTCTACACAATGGTCTTTATCCCATCTCATTTGGACACCCCAGCCCAGAGATACAGCTTCTTAAATGTAATAACTCAAATTCCAAGTTGGGCCACTTGGTATCTAAATGAAAGGCATACACAGACCAAGAAGGTGAAGAAAATGGCCCGAACAGATTTTGACAGTCTTTACAAGCTTTGCCGTAACTTTTCAACAAAAGGTCCAAATCACACAGAACAGAAATGTTGTCAGGGATAAAAAAAAAAAACACACTCAATCATCTCATGGAAAAGTTTTACACCAAAAAAAAAAAAAAAGATTTAGTTTCCTCAGAAAAAAAATGTTGCTTGACTGCTACGTTTTTTTTAAAACACCCATATTGCTTGTGAATGGTGCCATACAGATTTTTAACAAACATTTTCACAGCACTGTTTTCTGCTTTATAACTCAGTAAAATTGGGCCTTGGTTTTACTCGGATTATGCAAGCATCCCCAACCAAACACCCCACTTTACCACCAACGCAATCAGGAAGTTGGAATCACGAACAAGATGTGGCCAAGTTCACCGCACAAGCCCACCGTGTACGTGGCACTGTAATTACTGGATTATTAAACCCTTCCCTTCAATTAAACCAAGTATGCGCAGAGACCTTCGTCAGAGAGAGGGGGGGGGGGGTAGGGTAGAAAAGCGAACACTTCAAAACATTTATGTTTTGAAAGATGCTTGTGGTCTTGGTTCTTTGAACTTTCCTTGGTATCGTTCCAAGAAATGGTTGGTCACCAACTTAAGAGGGTGCCGTGACCTGGTTGTTGGTTTTCTAAATCGAAGACAAACTGTGTAATTCCTCAATGTATTCTGACAAGGTGATTTCAGTATACATTCATTGTGCCACAGTGTGGTCCAGACAGTCGTGAATTTCTATACGCCCTAGGACAATGCTTTGTGTTTCCCTTTGTCCCTGTAATACAACACTCTCCCATAGACTAGCACATAATTGTAAGATCAAGGACTGTTTTCAACAAAAAAAACAACGCTCGAGGACTGAAAGGATCTTTTGTTCTCCCTTTGTGTGTCTGTCCTCTATCGTAATAGCCATACATGTACTAGCTGTGAAGAAAAATGTGCCTCTGGACATGTGCAGTTTGCATGTTCAAGCAACGCATGCAGAGAACAGCTTGTCAACTTGTCCTTCACTGGTGCTTGTAAATAGCGCCATCTAGTGTTCATGCACAGAGTCCATTACAACTCTCTGAAGTGGGTGTGTCAACACTTGGGAATACTGGGGGGGGGACCCTTACCTAGCTGGTCGGCGAGCCCTTTCCAGTTGTTGGCGCCATAGTTGCTCTTGTCGATGTCACAATTCAGACAGAATTTGACCCAGTCGCTGTGGGGCAGTCCCATGGTGCTGCCTTGCTCCTCTCCCTTCAACATAGCATTCAACAACTCATGAAGCTCCTAAAAGAAAACAAAATTCAAACAATTCCTTAAATGTGAATGAAGCATCAACATCCAAAAAGGCAACAACAAATGCTCTGTATTTTTCTTTCTTTTTGTTATTTCTTGCAGATGATTCTTACTACTTCCAGACATATCTAGAAATTTCTCTTACACAAACTGGATCCAAAACGGGATTAATTTTCTGAAAAATTGGCCCAAAAATTGCTCTATTTTGCAATGGAATGGAGGGATTATATTTCAAAATGGCGATGGGCTTCAGGACAACTTCTAGTGGAGAAACAACTTTACAGCATAATTTATCCCAAAATTATCCAATTACCCGTAAATGTTTAAGAGAAAATGAATGATGGTATTATTAAATTGATGCCTATCTTGAACACCCTGGGAATTTGAATTATTTTTTCCCCCGATTCTTTGAAGCAAGGGTAATTCATCTTTGGAGTTTTAAGCAGGTTATTGACCAAGCCAGGGCTCTCTGGGTTATCTCTGCAGTGCACGCTTGACCGATGGATGGGAAAGGGTGGACCCTTCCGTCGAAACACTTCCTCCAAACACCAGCCTTGGCGTCTCAAGTGCTCCATCAAACAAAAATGGGGGCAGATACAAGTGGGGTCAGATGTGTTCACAGAGAAGTTGCATCTGTACTTGGTCTCTTTTTTTTTTGGTTTGTTTGTTTGTTTTGGTTGTGTTTTCTTTTGTTTTTGTTTTCATCTGTATTCTTCTGGGGTTTTTTTTTTGGGGGGGGGGAAGGGGGGAGGGCAAGTCAACCAAAATCACACTAGAATTTCAAACTAATTAGGGCTGGAGGCTCGAGACAACAGCTATTGAAAAGAAGAAGGTGGAGGCATTGCCGTATAACACTAAACTAAAGTGAGCAACCACCTCACAGAACACAGACAATAATACCGGCATTTCATGAAGGTTGGGTAAATATCTTGTATTTGTGCATGAAATCATGTTTTTACAAATGCCTTAATATAAAAAAGGCAACACAATTGTGAAGTGAGGACTGTAGACACATACTTTATAAGTTATTCATGCCTTATAAAGGGCAGCAAAAGGCAAGGCAAAACTTTAACAATAGCAGAGGAATGCATTTTCCTCAATTCATCACTTGTCATCACTTAACTAGACACTGGACGACTTGTGAGTTGCCTGTCAGGACTTGCGATGACTTGATTAAAACTCTGACAGTGTCAAAAATTGATGGCCTCGTGAAAGTTGGACAAGCGAACTGGAAGTGGCACTAGGTTGCCTCACGGATGTTTGAAACAACCAAACATCCGAGTGTGGTCTGCCTGCATAAGGTTGTCTTATCCGATTCCCGACCCAGATCTGACTTTCTTGTTCCTCTGGGGCCCAGGTCCAAGGACAACCCCCCCCCCCCCTCCAAAAAAAGAAAAGTGAAACTTAGGACTTTCTCTGATTCTTTTAATTGATCGCTTCAAAAGTCGTGGGCACGTGTCCTCACAAGCGCTCCCTTCCCCCTTACACAGCTGCTTCTGAGTGAAAACATGTCAACGCCATTTCTTAAGAAAGGAAGTTCGTGTACAACGTGCAGGCATTCCGTAAAGTCCTGGTGAGGCTCAAGCAAGCGTGGGCATGCCACACACCTCTCAAACTTGCTCCAATTGTAAGTCCCTGTGCAGTGCTCTTACAGGAATGAGCCTCGTTTGAACGGCTTCCCCCTCACGGAAGCTAGGCAGCTTAGCTCGGGGAAATTGGACAGAGGATATGGCTTATTGGACGCAACCTGGTGTCAACGAGGAGCTGGGGCAACTACAGGACTCGCCAGAGAGGAGGGTTTGGGGAAGGGGGTAGGGGGGGGGGCCTTAGATTTGACCAGCCATAGCGATCTCTTAAACCCATCTTGTTGTCTAGACAATGTTGATGCATGGTCGGTCGGCTAAAGACCGGTACCTAAGGGTTTTAGGCGTCTATTCTACGGTAAGCTGGGCGTGTGTGTGAGAAAAATGGCCAGGCACTCAACACCCGTTAAGAACAAAGACTTGTGCCAATTTGCGAGGACTTCATTTCAATAGTGACCTGACATTTTCAGCTGACTACTTCCAAAGGCAAATCTGCAATGGTATGGTTCTTATGTGGCAGAAGCGTAGCGATTTGACAATAGTGTTATGAAAAACAAAATATGTTTGCCTCATTATAACCAAAATCTGAAAATTATCACTCAATCAGCTTGAACAAGTGAACACTAAAAACCCTTTGTAAACGGATGACCCAGAGCTAAATTCAGGATACAAAAATAATTAAAAACAATGGGTTTTGAGGTTTTTGTAAAAAATGTGGCAAACTACATGTAGTACAATGTATACATGTAGATGTATTCATCAAGGAGTTGCCATTAACTTTTTGGCAAGGCAAAAATGAGGAAAATCTCTCAGAATGAAAAAAACGAGGAGAAAAATACAGTTGAGGAATGCTTTACTCCCTAGGTACATGCGCACGTAACTCGCATTACTTGCACATACTGTATACATGTATGTACACGACTTACACACACATAGAAACACCCACTTGCTGTTTTTCTGTTTGTACAAAACACTGCGCATCCTATAGCGGGAAGTCCAATTTACAACATATCCATTTGCGTATGATTCCAAACATGTGTTTTCTATTCGTGCCTTGGTAGGTCTTCAGAATTGTGAGCACAAAAACAAAGTATCGGTAGCGTTTCATGAAACAACATGCACACATGTTCAGCATGTGAGAAATGAGTAAAGTCATCGAGTATCGCTTACAACATTCTCTATATAGAATCCTTGAGACCCTTTAATTAAGACAATCCAATGGGCTTTGTGTATGACCTATAGATGGCGCAATTCGGACCACGTGAAGAACATGCAAGTACATGCACACGATAGTTCCAGTGTTACAGCAGTGTGCAAGCACATATGGCGCATTGTGTGATTAAATAAGGGGCAAGTTTGCGCAACAACCATTAGTCAACCAACGGTTGGTTAAAGTCAAACAGTGCTCATGCACTGTTACATTAAAGTGCGAACAACTCTAGTCGAAACCATTGTCAACATACCCGGGTAAGGCGGTCTCGAGTATGTTTGGATTGTTTACGTTCTTTGACCTGATGAATGAACCGGAAGATATCTCAGAGGCCCACCGGTGCGTGGTACAATTCACTACGTTTAATCTCTTGTCAATGGTTCCCTCTGCACTAAGTAACCAAACACGGCTGTTGACAACCAGTGATGTGACCAGGCCCAGTAGGCTGGTTCCAAATAGTCGACTAGCATTGTCCAACCATCGTCGACTAGACAGAGTTCGGGCTAACTCAGTCGATCTATGGTTAACAATAGTTCTTGCGCGAACTTGCCCCATGCTGAACCAAATATTCAAATCACATTCACATATTTGGGCATTGTATGATGATGCATCAAATACAATTCAATTATTTATGTTTGTTTGCTTCCAGGAAATGAAAGATTGCCTTAGATTCCTGGCAAATGTACAGACAACAATAAAGGGTACAGTATATAAACAGAAAAAGTAACACTTAGATATTCGGGTTAGAAGTGAACAAACAAAGTTCATTGTGTAAGCTTTCTTTATGTTTAATAGACAAGAACTACGTGCATTTACGACTAGTATGGGCACGGGATACCTGATTGAAAACAAAACACGAGAACCCGGATACCCATTAAAAAATTTCAAACCCAAAATTAAAATCGTGGAAGATTAGGTTCAGATTGTTTTATAAAGGTCCACACGATAATACTACCACATCAGTGCGTCAATACAGCAAGATACAAGTGTGTACAGTGAGCTTTATAGCTTTATGGTGTAAAATCCCCGCAAATTACATTTAAAACCATTCTTTTTCATTGTCTGAGAAGTTACTAAGTAATTTGCTAAGATGGTTACCGGTTCCTGACATCAGCAGTCGGGTACTCAGGTACCCGGTTCCCACGCACAGTCCTAACATCAGGTACATGTATGTGTACATTGATACAATACTATATTATTTGAACAAGTCTTTTTCTTTCATGTTGAAAACCCTGAATAAAAAATAACGAGTAACGAAAATAATCAGTTTTTAGTTTTATTTAGTCCTTAAAATAAAATGTGTACAATAAATAAAAAGTACACACATGTAAGTAGTTTGGACATGTTGGAAGGAACCATAGTAGTGATATGTCATATTTCGGGGGGAAAAAAGAAACAGGAATTTTCTCCATATCCAGGGCAACCTCATCCTAGAGAAACAGGAACTCAACTCTGCATGTTCACATGAAAAGCGGTTATTTTTAGATGACAACTACCTCTGCTTACACAAGCCTGATCTCTAAACTTTTTTCGGAGGAAACAATTTTTTTTCATTTTTGTTTAAGGTCTGGTTTCGGCCTTTGATGAAATATGCGTATATATGTACTGCACACATTAACAATAAAAAGCCTATCGGTAACAGACTGTCGGGGGGAAGTACCTTTGAGGCACCTGAAAATATTTGTTTGTATAAGCCTAATTTTTTTCTTCAGTTGAGAGTAACTCTCGCATGACTGGTTAACAATCAAACACAGTACGGAGTATTCTAGGAAACATGTTCACTGTAACCCCCCCCCCCCCCCCCCACAAAAATTAGAAATTATATTGGTATTTAAAAAAATTTGTTTTGGTTCCTTATAATTTGTACCTTCCGGCATTTTTGGCTTCATAACTTTCTGAATCCTCCAAAGTCTTTCCTTATTCTAAGAGCTGTGGACAGACCTGAATGCATTTGAATTTTTGTGATGAAAAAAAAAAAAATTAGTTGAAAAAAAATGAGGTCGATTTGAGAGTGTTTGAGGGGATTTACAGTGGTATCCATATTGAAGGCAAAGCCTGCTTTTGACATCTGATTTTTCAAAATACGAGCATTTTTCTCAAACTTTTTCTCAAACTACTAACTTAAACATAACAATAAAACAAACTTAACTTAAAATAAAACTACGATCATTCTTAAATTCAGTATGTACAACTGTATTAATACCTTGTCTATTGATCTGATTCACTTACCATAGACTCACAGCTTTTGGTCAGATTTCCTGAACCGTGTTCCGGCCTTCTGTTCAGGAAAAGAACAGGGACACCAGTAAAAAAAAAGCAAATTACTATCAGCGATCTGTGTAATAAATACGGTACACAGATCCAAGAACCTAACTTAGGCCAAATAAAAAAAAACATGTTTAGCGTCCCCGCCAGCTTCCTTTTGGAGGCCGCCTCCTTTTTTCTTTTCTTTTTTTTACCGAAAAAAAAATGATAAGTTTTAAATACCGACATCATTTTGGCCTCTTTGCCTGTTGCATCTTGCCCATATAAAGCTAATATGTCATATCATGAGTCCAAGTGGTGGCAATTTTTTTTAAAAAGCTGGCGGCCATCTTGAAAAAATAGCCCGGTCGGGCGGCCATTTTGGAGGAAAAAGATCAGAAAAGGGCCTCCTCCTTCCTTTTTTCAAAAAGGCAGGACACTAAACAAGTTTTGTTTATACTTGGCCTTATCATATTCTAGAGCCAATATTAAGGCGGTTTGGCATACATATAGAATCCAATAGAGTTTGTTTAGAACTTTTCTGTTTAATTTTTTACAATTCGTATCAGTGAAACCACTGTTTTCTTGTCACTCAGTTTTGTACAAAGATGAACAACAAAACAAACAGGGTTTGTTTTATTGGAGTTTTCACTTTCCAGCTTTTCACTGAAAAACCAACAACTAAACTTTAGTATGCAATACACTGAAGAACATATTTTCCTTCTATGGAAACACGGCCGAGGAAATCTGCTGGACCCGATTTGTCCTTCCTGCCAGTTTTGGAAGCAAATTGTAAACCAGTATATTAACTGTTGGTTTGGATGAACTGCACCAGTACATACATGTATGCAAATTTGAAAATGTTGTGGTTTCCGTTTTCAATGTCCTCTGAATTTCAAGGTCTGCGACTTCCAAAACATTCTGACTGCAGGATTCCTGTTATAATTTGCATGTAAAGGACCCATTGCAAAAGAATTTTCAAACTGGTACTTTTCTCATTTGGAATTCTATTCAGACTCTGTATTTGCCAGGATGTTTGAGGTCTTCAGACATGTACATGTACCGGTTAATTGTAGATTTATGGTGATGGAAACTTCCATCTTCATGAACAAAATAATTGTGTTATTTTAGTAGGGTTGAATAAGAGCTGTAGGCCTACTATGCCTGTACTTATGTTGTTTGATTGTGTTGTTGATTTTTTTTTATATCTATACCATATTTTAAATTAATGGAAATTAATTTTGCAACATATGTAAACAAAACATGTGAACAAACTGCTAAAAGGAATGAATTTAAAAAAAGACCCCAAAACCCAGGACTGGTAAAGTGACATAACATAGGGTGCGTTTGTTTAGCTCACCCGGGTCGACACGGGTAAGCGGCGAGTCCACGACAGCCGGGCTAATCGGATGCTCAACCGCAGGCCATCACAATCCTCACGTGACGCCCGTAGCCGTTTTAGATTGGGTCTTAGTTTGAGATTTACTGCTTTTTAGTCAATTGCAAAACTTTAAAAAGTTGGGCTGAAATTATAGCCTCAAATGTCGCAATGAACTCAATAAATGATTACCTTTAGACTTCAAATAAAGTCAATATTTAAGTCCACTTGAGATTTCTGCTGTCTGGCCACCATATTTGTCCGTTTCTAGGGAATGAACAACGCATGCGTGACGTACTTCCACCAGTGACTCTGCTCCACGAGCAGGGTCTGTGGTGGTTGACCTGGGTGAGCCCTGAGAATGACATCAGAGCTAATTGAACGGCACAGGGCTGACCCATGTCAACCCAGATGAGCTAAACAAACGTACCCAATAACTGTGCTAGAAGGTAATTACATGCAGTGGAGAAATGCAAAATAATGCAACACAAACTGGGGCCCCATTCTTTTCAAACAGATCAGAGGCATGGATGTTTGCACAAATTGTGTTTAAGAGTGACATTCATCCCATGGCAATTTTATGGATTACTGAACTGGACTCACCTTACTGGTGCGGTTGAAGGAGGCTGTGGGTGTCGTGGAGGAACAGGTATGGGATTGACGGAAGGATTCAAAGCAGGATTAACATAGATGCTCTGTTCGTGCGCAATATTAATGTACATACTTTCTTCGTCATCGGTCGGTTTCGGAATTGTTAAGCTCTCCTTGGAGACGTTGATATAGTCCTGCTCTGTCGAGACGTACTCCGACGCCACCCTTTCTGTTTCAACAAAATGGTGGTTGTGTGGGAGCTCTGTGGGCACAGAGAATGAGCGACTGTAGCTAGGCACCTTGGGTGTGGCACTGGGGCAACCATTGAGCGACAGAGCGCTGGTTCTGATGGGACTCTTCTTTCTGGACTCAGTTGAGGAGCTTCTGCTTCGCTCCTCGCTTGATGAGAGCGAGGACAGACTCTGAGTGATGTCCATTGACAGGACCTCGCTGCTCTGGGAGGTAATACTGGACATGGAGTCTCCGATAGAGTCGACATCGTCCTGCGGCACATGCCGGACCCAGCTTGGCTTCTCATTAGCGGTTGATACAACAGGCACTGGTGGCTTAGGCAGGGGAAGCTGTACTGCTGAAATAACACGGGTACTGTCAGGGACCTTCCTCCGTGGGGAAGGCACAGGGTGTCCTTTATCCATCGGAGGGTCTTCCCAGGAACGATCTCCCTCCAGCACGTGGAGTCTCCCTGTCGAGGCAGATATGCCCTTCTGCAGTTCTGGTCTGGTTGATGTGGTGCTGCAACATGATGTAGTCCTGGGAGGGATAATTGGCAGCGTATCTGGACAGACTCTCATCTCTTGCTTTTCTTCTGGGACCACACGCACACCTACGATCTTGATGGATGGGATTCTAGGAGCTTCTGCTTCAGGAGTTTTACACGTTGAGGATCCGCAGCTGCCATTGGACGAGGCCCTCTGATGGCCGTTAATCCAGTTCTGGTTCATGTGTTCTGCTGTGCTGATGTCGACTGGGGAGACTGGCGGAGGAGCTGCGGTTTGGGATGTACCGTTAGTGAGTACTTTATGTAATTTCTGGTTATCTGAGATAAATAGAGACAAATAGAATTACATTCGGCACTACACCCACTCTGTGAACATTGTCTAGGTTTGTACTATACATATCTTATAATCACAGAGGGTGTAATAGATGCATGACACTCCCGATATAAGTGGGAGTTCAATAACTAAAAGCCGACTTAAGGTGGTGGCTACAAACAAACAAATATTGTTATTAAAGAATCCTCACCAGTTTTGATGGGATCTGGAGACGTAATGCTGAGATACTGACAGCGTAGGCTCTCAATGACCTCCTTTATCCTCAAGGCAAATCGCTCTCTTTCCGTTTTCACCTCATAATAGCCTAAAGACAACAAAACAAAAAGCCTCATTAGAAGCACTGACAAAACTTTACACATGAATCAATGTCTTTGCTACCTGCTATTTAAACTAGGAGTCAACTTCACATTTTTGAAGCATTCTCTTGCTCATAAGTGTCAGAACAGGAGAGATGAGGTCAGGTTAGTTCTGGCCAGGTCAGGGCAGGTCAGGTCGGGTCAGGTCAGGTCAGGCCTGATCTTCCAGACCTACAGCAATGTCTATTTTCTGCGTGTACAGAGTACTTGCAATTGTCAAAGACCAAGACAATAGCCCTTGTATGACAAGAGATTCAGATGCAATCTTAGGTTTCTTAACTTGCTCTTTAGCATCCGCTCACAACAGTTTTCTGGAAGGAAGCTACTACAGCTGCTCAAAGATACTTCTTAAATCACATAAAACTTAAAAAATAAAATGCTCTAAACCAAAGGAGTTGGGTCAGGACACTGTGACACTCACCTCCATTATCTTTGGTCACATTGAAGCAGAGCCTGGTGCCATCATAAGACACCTGCTCCACCGTGTCCAGATACAAGCGGCAGTAATGTCTGGGTGGGTTCAGGTAGGCAAAGCATACACTGGCCTTGTTGAGGTGTAAGGTCAGGCCCTTCTCTTTGATGAAACTGTTGGGTCCCTTCAGAGGGGTGACCATCCAACTCTCTGTGCAAAGAAAAATGACATGTATGTACTTGGTTTACCTGGATGTAGAGACTGTAGCTAATGCTTATATTCTCATCTCTGTAAAGTATAGACCGACATATGGGTGATCAAAGTAAAACGTTCTAGAACTGATGAACTTGTTGTTAATTACTAAGTTTGGAAGTCAATTCTGGATGTTAATTCTCATAAATGAAAATATATTTTTAAAAACCCTAACTACCAAAGAATTTTCCAATAACAAAAATTCTGAATACTCCAGATCCACCACAGTGCTGTGCAAGTATCTACTGGCACCGTTTTTGTATGGTACTTTAAATCCCTAAAGGCTTTAAGCCTCAAGTAAAGCAACAGCGACTGGATGCAACTGTTTTTCAATTCCAGCAAAACCCTCTAAACCTCTGGTTGGATTATGGAAGGCTCTGGGAGGGCTAAGGTCAACTTTGTTTGAACAATGGGGTCAAGGTTTTAGCCAAAGAAGTGACTGGCTCTCGTTTGGAAAGCCTCTAGGCTATTTGGAAACGCTATTTTGTTGCGCACACTTATATTTAAGAAATAGAACTTCAGCTAATTGGTTGTCCGGTCTGACGATTGACGGCACATTTGGACAATCAATATTCAAACAATGACTAAACAGGCTTGATGAGAATTTTCAATAAAGATTGAACTTTATTATCCTTGAGGGAACAATTTTAATTTGAGACTCCCTCTTCCCGAACCACAACCTTTCAAAGCAGCGAAGACTTACGGTGACTCCAGAAATCCTTGAGTATCTTGTCCCATTTTTCAAAGGTGGAGACGTTCTTGTTGCTGTTGTGGCTGTCTTGGAATAACAAGGTCTGATCGTGGACTGTGATGATTGCCCAGTAAAGGGCTGGCGTTTTCTTGTTGTACTGCTTGACCGAGCCCCGCTCCGTACCGATGAAGTTCTCTTTGCCTAGGGTGTAGGCGTGCTTCTCACAAGCTTCCTTCTCACTTCGGAAAAGGCGTAGTGTGACCGACTCTGCAGGATGAAAAGATGAGGGCCTAGGTTAGCGGAAAAGTTGTGCTTTAACACTGGAGTAGAAAATAAAAAGTGGAGATGTTTAGTAATATCTAGTCTTGTCAGAGACTGCATACTTGGAACAAATGCTTACCACGGTCTGCTGACTGTTCCAGAATCGCCCATCTCTGAAATAAAAAGGTCAAAAAAAAAACCTCTTCAGTATTGTTCATAAACTTTATAAAATGGCTTCATTTTGAAATAGTCAATTGAAATGAAATGATTTATATTAACACTGTACGTTAACTTGTGCTTGTATCTCCTGGAACAGCAATTTGCTTCAAATTCTTGTTTAAATGCATGTCTGTATTTTGTGGTTTTTTTGGGTGGGTTTACTTTGTTTTAGTCCCTCGGCTTAATACTTTGTTGGTTTTTTTTTGGTGGGCCTTGCCTCTCGGTTTCCCCAAATACTTTTATCTTGTCCTTTTTTGGTACAAGTGGTTTAATTATGGCATTCCCAACTCAACTATGTGTATTGTAACTTCATCAAAATTAAAATCATCAAAGAATCAAGTAAATGGTACAGAACTTATGGACTACATCAGCTTTCACAGCGCCCAAAGTCCCCACATGTTCCTGATTAGAAATTTTAAGGTTGAGGTCCGTCCGTTGGATTAAGGCCTCCATGTACACGTAGGCAGATAGCTGGGGGCACCTCCCTTCTCGCAGTGTGTGCGTGTGGGGGCCTATCAGCAGCAAACGTGGCCGTGTAGCTACTAATGGGATATCCTGTCATGTCACTCTGTGATGGTTGCCTGGCTATCTGAAGGATGCTGCACGTGGCAACTGTCCCATGTTCTTATGCAGTCTCTTTGTGCAATTTCCCATCGTTGAAGACCTTGACTACAAACTTTACTCATTTTTGTGCCTGTACTTAAATATGTCAACTGTATCAAATTTCCTGTCGCAGAAGCAATACGTAGTGGACCGGTAATTACTATGTTGGAAGTTTTTTTGGTTTTTTTTTTTTTATCACTCATTTTATCACCATGAGACAGTAACATTCTCACTTTCTTCTGTCACTTTGTTACATTTAGTGTTTTTCATAATTGTATCATTTATATTTTAAAAGGTATGGAAATAAAATGTTCTGAATAAAAGAATTAAAAAAACGTTTCAGTTTGCGGTAACACCATGTGGTAATAACTACTGTCGCTCAGTAGATATTTAGTTCTGATTAACTTGTCCTGCTTATTATCAACTTTCGCTAAGCAGTTTTAGTTCTGATAAGAACCGTCCTGCTTTAAGTTCTAAAAGAACTTGGCTTTGGTCTCAACGTTTCAACTAGCCTGCTCTAGTCATCGTCAGGAGACAGTAAATCGCCAAAGAAAAAGTCTCTTTGAAAATTCAAACTTACTGCTTAGACAACACAAAATGGGTATAAATCCAATTTTAACTTTATTGTTTTAGTCAACACAGATACATGTACGTGTAGTGTACATTGTAAATGTGTTCATATATGAATGGAGGAGTCTATTCCTTCCTTCGTATTTATTAATATCAATTGTGCTTACATGTATATAGCGCTTTGCATCGTATCGACGATCTCAAAGTGCTTTTCATGTACTGGAACATTCCACTGTTTTGGTTGTGTAAACATACACACATGTACAGGTACATGTACCGGTAGGCCTGCATGACTGCCTTTATATTTTGGACAATAGTGCCAACTAGTCACCTACTTTTCAAGGTAACGGTATTGTAGAGATATATACTATAAAGTACATACCTGTAGTATTGTTCAATTGAATTAGCCACAGGACTTTGTTGATTAAATACCAGCACGCAATGCAGCTTATATGGTCTGCCATTGCTCAGCTTTACCGGTAGCTGCGCTCGTAATATACATGGGGGTGCCGCGGTCTGCACTGTAAGCAAGTACATACATGTAGTACTGTGCAATTACTGCAAAGTATAAGTGTCCATGGGTAACCGGTACATGTATTATTGTGCATGTACATGTACTTCCATATACAGAAGGGACAGTTATGCAAATTATACAGAGACTGTGTGTACTACCATACATGTACTATGAGGGATTTTTGATGAACCTTGATGCATACATTTGTACCTCTGTGACTCGGATTCGAATCCCACCCAGACTGACAAGTGGATTTGGTTTTCAGTCCCTACCTCACGCTGAATTGATTTTTCCTCCCACCTCTAAAACTCAATACTTCTTCAGCTCTCGACACGTTTCTTCAGGTTTGCAAGTTATACAAGAGCCAATGGCGCTTTTCAAGGACTAGGATTACCTCAATTTTGTGGTCTGTTGTAATAAATAATCAATTTACAATACCTAAACTTCCTACAAAACTAATTACACATGTATCAAAACCAAAACAGGAAGTCTGTCTGGGAATATCCTCTGGTTTACTTACAACTACAGATGAATGCAACTCAGCCTATTTCAACTGCATCACTTCTTTCAAGTCCAATGTCCATTGTCCAAGTATATCAAGCCTATTAGTATTACACTATTTACAGCTCTTTTATGCGCCCCAAATTATCCCGATATTCTGCCCTCCCCACAGCACCAATCCCCAGATATTCTGATGTCCCCGGTGCCCCTTCTACTGCAAATTAGACCCTTATTACATGATCTGCACTTTGCCCTCGATCTTTTTGGACCCTTTTGGAAGCTACAGTCCTGTATGAGGGAAATATAGTCCAACGCAAAGCAGTTTTCTCAAAAGGGCCAAACTTTACAGTCTGACGGTGAACTTTCTACATCCACGTATATTGTCCTATACTGCTAATCATCCAGCTTTCACTGTTGATGTACAGTTCATATAAACACAAATCTTTTGGGAGCCTTGTGAAAAATCCATTGTTACTCGCCAAAAGAAATTCCACTTGTGTGCATTCAACAAAGCATAAAGACAGCTGAGTCATCTATTGTCGAAGGCCAAGTGCAAAATGAAATAGGTTGGTAGTGTTTACAGATGGAAGTTGACTCTTTCCCATGACGTAATGCAAGTTTTAAAAACAGGATTTGCACTTCATATCATTCACAAATCTGAAGATATCCAGGCAATATCATTGCTTCAGAATTTGTATCCTTGGTTGAACCTTTTCCAGGCCCCACAACAATCATCATGTTGCGGCCATCTTGATTTTTTTCCCATTCAAATCAACATAACCAAAAGTGAGGCAGGAAGGAACAATGGGCTGGTTCCTTTTTGCACAAAAAAATTATCATTCAGTACAGCAGTGCAGCCTGACAAAGTCTATTCTACCTTTTTTTTAGCACTCTGATGGATCTAGGTTACAAACATGACAACTATGTGCAACAATGTGGTGCATCACAATGCTAGATTCTTGTGTGTTTATGGAAATGAGTTGAGCCGACCTTAGAGGTCATGCTGGCTGTTTTTGACTTTGAGTGAGTTACATGTACCGGTGTTTGCAGTGCAGGTTTGCAACATGAAATTCTGTGTATGCATGGCTCATATTCTGTCCACAACCATCTGTGGATTGTGGACCACACATTCTCAAGTGCAGCAACCCTACCCTCTTCCGCCATCCACCTCCCCTCCCCTCTTGACATAATTCAAAGGAAAGGGTGTATCTGCTTTGGCTTTAGTGAGATTAACTGGCAATAAGTTCTGGGGCTTGCATCATTACCACAGGGCTTTAGAAGAGTTCCCTGAACTAGTCGCTGAGGTTGCCTGTCTCCGGAGATAAAGCTAGGGCAAGCACGTATATCACTTGCGCTGTGTTCGCTTGTCAGCGTCTGTGTGTCTTTATCTTTAGTGAGACTTACTGGCGATAAGTTCTGGGGCTTGCATCATTACAATGGGGCTTTGGAAGAGTTTTGGGGCTTGCATCTGTTTTCAAGAAAGGATTCAGGCGATATGTGATTGAGAGTTGAATGTAATGCCCACCATGCGCCCATCTGAAGACAGATTATGATGTGTGTATTCACATGACAAAAAGCCTGCATTGTCTGCACCGTCAAACACTAGCTCTCAGGAGAAACTCACTAAGAACCATCAACTGTTCCTACACAGATTCCTTAACACCAGTCCATAATTTGGTCTCTTGCAATTAAAGGGTAGTAACGGTATAAGGGGCAGCCCCCCCCCCCCCACCCATGCTACCACACCTGACACCTGTCCCCCCCCCCCCCCCCCCCCCCCCCCACCTTGTGCCCCTAACTCAAACTTTGGAGGAAGGCAGAATTGAGCTTTTTATTGTTAAAAGCCCACTGAGCTGAGTTCCACCTTCAGAAAATAAGGGGCCACTACATGACCCCTGCAATACCAAGTGATTTCCAAAGTCACATGGTATGCACTCTTTCACTAGTTACTTCCAGATCCATAAAAACAGCATTTTGGCTATGAACATTCAATTCAAGAATTCTCTTCGACAAAATGATATAAAGACCATTCAAGCATTCGTCAAGTACCCTTTACAAAAAAATAATCCCTTCCTTTCCTTTCTGAAACGAGGGCAGAAAGTGCCCTTATTAAGATAATTGCAACACGGTAATAGACGTCAGTGCTGGTTTCCACAGCACTCATCATGCTAATCTTTGCCTTTGGACTTTTGCACCCCATGGAAATGCTGTAGTTGAAAGTGGCCCTTTCTTACAACTGTATCTCTTTCAAACTACATACATTTTGTTTTTAAAGTTTTTTATAATTAAGTTCATCTACAAGTGATGAAAAGACTATCATGTCTACATCATGCAATAAAATTTGATTGAAAATGTATCGGAAAAAAACTGTTACAACCTGACCACACTTCTGCGATTGTGTGCAAAGACTATGGAGAGTCAACAACATTTTCTAAGTATTTCCTAACAAAATTAGAAATGTTTCTCAGTCCCAGATTCATCTTATCATCATTTTTGCAATGAATGGCCTCCATTGAGATGATATAAAATATGAAGAAAAAAAGTGGCGTCAGGTGGCAATATTTTTTCCAATGTATCTTTCATTCATACTAAACACTGGGAAAACTATTTGTAAAACCGAAACCAAGTTCTGGAATCATGACGTGTATTGTCTGTTAGCAGAGCTCTGATGACCGAATACAAAGCCACAACAACCAACAATCCAGGAAGTGAGCAAATGTTGTTATCAGTACTTTATCCTGACCTTGGTCCAGCACTTTTAATGTGAAGGTTCAATTCACACCATTTTACTGTGGCTGCGCTCTGTCAGTGGACATTCATATCATTGTGCATAAGAATCATGGTTATGTTAATATATGTATCAGGCAGAGTCAAACAAGGAACAGCCAAAAAAAAAGACAAAGAAATTCATGGCGTCGCTAACCAATACGAATTTTGTAAATGTTTTGTACCTTAATTGTATTTCTGGTAATATTGTTTATGCTGTGACGTGTTGCTAAATAAGCCAATTTTGAGCTGACTTTTGCTAAGGAAAAATCTTACTGTACTGCAGTAATGTAACATTTAAAATATCTACTGGCTTGCAAGTACTTCTGCTAATCTAGCAGGAGGCATATTATTCCTAAACAGGGTCCATCTATCACAATGGACTTCATCCAATACAGATACAACGTTTCCAACAACTACAACACAAAGTAGAACAGTTCTGTAAGGAAATGTTTACAAATGCCAACTTACCATCGCTATTTTACCATCGATCACATGATCCAGCCACCCCGTGATCAGGCGCTTTTTACTCCCGTCCACTGTGCCCGCCATAGTCCCTAACATCCAAAAAGACTGTGAAAGTGACTCCCTTATGGGGCCTCCCTCGCCGCAAGACACTCTGGAACACTCTGGCGCACAAGGCTTGGCCCACTGGATCAGCCGGAGCCGCGGCTTCTATTAATAACTTCCGTCTGTCGCTGGATGTTGATACTCCTGTGGGGCAACGAAGGAATCTGTCTAGAGTTAGCGCTCTCCCACAGCAACGCAAAAAAGGAACTGGACAATTGCGGACAAGCCAAGGTTGCCCTTGGCAGAGATCAAGGTATTGATCTTTCAACAGCCGGGTGCCAGTGACCAGCACTGGTAACCCAGAAACGCTGTGGTCAAGACTATATTCAAAGCAGAGGTATTTGCAAACAATATGCATGCTTTTATAATACCGGGGTTTTAAACGCACATTTACTATGCCTACCACAGGGCCCCATTTGGGACAATCCAACAATGATTAAGCAAACTTGTAACCAAGGAGAAGAAAAAAGAACAAACTTCCCAGCAGTCTGTAGTCTATGAATAGAAACGGATGGGGCGTCACTAGTTCAGCATGGTTAACTGCCACATACAGGCTGTAGCAAGCAGAAAGGAAGCACTCACTTTCTTGACAAATTGAATTTGTAGAAACTTAAACCATAGAGCACAGAAATGCTCTAGTATGGTTGAACCAGAAGGGGGTAGACTCAGCGTATATCAAATAGCCAATTTCATGAATTTCATGGCACTGTTTCGCACAGAAATCTGCACTAGTGATCACCATTGTTTTTTAATGAGATGTACTTGTATGCATATGCATGAACACAAAAGCCATATTTCTCACACAAAAATATGCAAACCCTGAAATTTCTTGTTAAACTTAATGAGGTAACATTTAACTTAAAATAAATAAATCACAAAATAAATAAATCAAGGGAAATAAATTAATAAAAAATAAGAACGGCCTAATATTTCATCCTTAGCAAGGACTTCTTCAGTCTCAGAGGCAAATAAATGATGAAGCACATTAAGTATGATTAAGAATTATTGCCAATAAGGAAAAATTCCATACTGGGCCACCACTCACTGTCATATTCCTTAATTAACAATGTGACCTGAAAAGTACCAAAACTAAGTTGTAATTCTGATGAAGAAACACTGTTAAAGGAGTGCAAAAAAAATTTGATAATACTTTAAAATGTTCTGTCATGGCCCATAGACTTTGTGCAGGAGCTCTGAGTGGTGGCGTGGCCCAGTATGGATTGTTTTCCCTGACCAAGGATCGACCCGCGGAACTCGACCGGTCGGATCGTGCCGGTGAGCCGGGCCGGCGCATCCCGCGCCCCGCCCCGGCGCGCCAGCTGATCGGTCGGGTCATGACGTGACGTCGGTGTCGGCTCCATGGCTCCAGCAACCGGTGACCAAGTATTTAAGCAGGTGCCAAAAATGGTTTTCACGAAAGCGGTCCTTCTCTCACATTTAAACAGTTTGCTAAAAATACGCTAATATTACATTAAAGTCTGACAATTCAGAAATTGATACCTACCATGCTTTAATTCGAACTTCGAAGGAAAAGACACGAACTGAATGCGCAACAAGTGCCAACTTCCGAACTCCGGATACAGTCGAAACTATTTTTAGAACAGCTAGCGCAGCACTGGTAACATACCGCATCGTGCATGTTATTTTCGCAAATCAAAAAAAACGCGAACCAGTGACGCACGATATATCAATATTGCAATTGGTTCGGCCGCGATACGTGGTATGGTACGGTGGCGCTGTTTTCCGCGTTTACGTTTTGGAATCGACGAAACTGGAAAATGCTACGCAAAAGTTAAGTCGCTGAAAACTAGCGTGATTTCTACCCCTCTCTTACTTGCTTAATATTGTAAATTCTTCAGGTACCCTGCATCGTTTCGACACCTAGTCTGTCATCTTACTCGCCATGGGGCGGAAGAAGAAGAAGCCTATGAAGCCATGGTGCTGGTATCCTTTTGAAACCTACAGTGTCATTGTGCTTTCTTATTGGGAACGCGTGTATTTCCGACACACTAAAAATAACAATGCACCTGCAGAAGTATCATTTATTCTTGATATTGGGCATGTTGGGAGAACTTTTGCCATGTTCAGCTTATCTAGTAGTAGTACATGATTTGTCTGGCAATCTGGCTTGTAGAATTGGTCATGTTGGTAGAAGCTATCGTTATTTTTATATTTATTATACAACACTCAACAGCCGTAATGCAATTTTTAAATACTATCGTTACAGCAGTCAGCAGTGTAAAAAAAAGAATGCAAACGTATATCAGATTTCGGAGCAACTGTAGAATGCAGGGCCACGAGAGAAGAGTTTTTTTTAGCTGGATACGAAGTGAGGACTGGGCAAGGTGGCCGGTGGGTAGACGTGATTTGCATTAGAGGGCGGTATAGAGTAGTCCGAGTAACTTGGACCCAACTTATCACCTTTTTAACATTTGGACATGGTCTGGCGATAGTAGCGTCAATAGCAGGCGGCTTCATTTGGGGCAACATATTATGGGACCCAAAAAATTGGACTGGTATGTGTGTAGCTACATACACTCTACATAAAAAAACTAGAATAAAGCGCCCTCATCAGACAAAAAATACAAAAAATGCTGCACAAAATTTCCATGTATACGTAGTACCCGTTGCATAGGGTGATGATAGCCTTTAATTACAGAAAAAAGACTTGTGATTAATAGCAAGTTGTCGGATTCTCCCCCAGTCGCATATAACCCTTCTTTTTGTTTAAGTAGATTTCATATTCTTCCCTTTGAAATCAGTGGATTTAGAGGATTTTTTCAAAAGGGAAATAAAGTCTGAGAACCATTTGGTTCACATTCTGGTTCCAACAGCCAAAGATCCTGACGTTGAATACTATTACGTCAGGGAACCAGACAGTTCCGTATCGATAGCAGTTAAAAGTCGCATTACGGCTGCCGTAACCATAGCCACAGCATTGCAAAATACTATACAACTAAAATAATTTACTGAGTTCTAAATATTAAATTACTAGGGTTTTCAGTTCCCTGTCGCATCGATAAGCTTCCCATGGCAATATGTATGTTGCGCTATGGAAATCCCACCAGAAAAGGATGTTCAGTTCAAGTACCACTTGGATTAAGAAGGCTTTGCACTTAATTACCAGTAGCAATTGGAAATTGCTGGATTCAACAGGGTCCTTATTAGCTACTTGGAATGGGCTAAAGTTAAGACCGCTTCCACAAAACTGCCCGGTCCTTTTGAAGACTGTATTTCCTTAGCCAGACTTCACTTGCAGGTACTGCAACCGAGAATTTGAAGATGAGAAGATCTTGATCCAGCACCAGAAGGCGAAGCATTTCAAGTGTCACATCTGTCACAAGAAGCTGTACACAGGCCCAGGGCTGGCCATACATTGCATGCAGGTGGGTTACTTACATGTACCGAGCTGGTAGCACTGGGCATCAAAATGAGAGATGACGTCAGTGGTCAGTCATTTATATGTTCACTGTAAGGGAAAGATCACAAAGTAAAGCCTTGTACAAAATACACAGCTGCTAGAGCCAGCTAATCCATACACCTTTGCAACTGCAAACGCAATGGGAGCCAGCTAATGTATACAGGCATGCAATTTTTCCTTGAATCGGATGGTTTCCTTGTTTTTATCTTCCATTTTTGCCATCAATATATTTTTTTTAAATGTGACTGTATCATCAACTTAGATTTTCATCTTTGGGACTTCCCAGTGGCATCTCTTATTGAGTTCTTTTTACAGAAACTTGTACAAGTAATATGAAATAACAAAAAATGCCATATGTAGGAACTATCCTCAATCATGTAAACTGAAGCACTTACGGAATATGTCTTATATTCGTAATTTTCTTATTTTCCATCCATTTCACCGCTCATTTCTACCCTTATGGTCCTTGCATGTCCAGGTTCACAAGGAGAACATTGACAAGGTTCCCAATGCTGTCCCAGGCAGGTACGACATTGAGGTGGAGATCTACGGCATGGAGGGCATACCAGACAAAGATCTACTAACCCATGCTGCAAAGACAAATCATAAAGGTTGGCAGACCCTTTGTTTTGTGTAGGAATTTATACGGCTCTAATAACGACAGTGATGGCTAACATAGGGCTGCATAGCGCCAGAACAGGCTACAGAAGAACAGGGTCGCTGTCAAGTCAATCACAAGACTTGAAGCGATCACAAGTTGTCTTAAAATTGAAGCATTCTCTGTGTTCAACTTGATACGGATTCGGAAAATGTGATTCTAAAATGATACGGGATGAGCTTTTTTTGTTTTATTCTCTGGAACGTTTTGTGTTTTGTGTTCAACAGAAAAAGGCGAAGCTGAGGAAGATTCTCCGAAAGCCAAGCAGCCCGGGCAGTCCACCCCCCAGAATATCCCCCCGCCTCCGATGATGCCTGGCATGATGCCGGGACCGATGCCGGGACAGATGCCGGGACAGATGCCGGGACAAATGCCAGGCATGATGCCTGGACAAATGCCGGGACAAATGCACGGCCACATGCCGGGCCACATGCAGGGCCACATGCCGGGCATGATGCCGGGTCAAATGAGGGGTCCCATGCCCCCCGGAATGCCCCCCATGCCGCCACGCCATGGGATGCCGGGTATGCCCGGCATGCCCGGCATGCCTCCCTTCATGCCGGGGTAAGTTCACCGAACTTGTCATCAAAAATGAAGCGTGGAATAATAGAGAAATACAGTGAGCACATGATATAGTGACCATGTTTTGCCCTAAATGAATTATTCTGAGTTATTGAAACTTTGTCTTCTTTATCTTTTTTTTTTTTTGGGCTAACTGTATGATATATGTGAGCCTTAAAAGGTCAGAGTTCTTGTTTCTTTTATTCTGAGCAACTGATTTTCATAAAAGCCGTATCCTTCTTCCATTCAAAATTGAGATTTATGTTTATTGTAATGCTTTGAGTTGTTATTCATTGTTTTCCTATTCCCCTATTTTTGTCTCCTGGCAGTATGCCTATGCCACCCATGCCCCCAGTTTTCCGGCCCCCCATGGGTGGACCAGGGGGTATGATGCCACCCCGTAACCTCCCTGGTATGCCCCCAGTCACCATGGAACCTCCCGTCTCATCTACCTCCAACAACCAGCCTTCTACCGCACCCCAGCAGGCAGGGCCTAGTATAAGACCCATGGGTGGCACACAAATACAGCAACCACCCAAACCACTCTTCCCTAGTGCAGCAGCTGTAAGTATGCGTCAGAGGACAACCATTCCAACTTAGTTTAGTAGGCTCCAAAAAATTTAATTGACTCTGCTTTACCAATTTTCAGAGTTGATTTCAGAAAAGCGCCCAACAATTTTGAAGATTGGCACACTCTAACATGGATTAAAAATCAGCAATTCTTTGAAGAAACAAACTCTGTAAATAATACAAATGGCAGACAAAACTGATGGCCGTATTAAAACAGAATTGATTGTGCCAATCATTTTAGGGTTAATTTTTCTCAGACAGGAACGCTTACTTTTGATGTTCTTTTCTTTCTGCAGACCACATCGTCAGTTACAGGCCCTGGCAATGGTAGCTCTGCTTCCTCCATTGGTCCGGTCAAACCCACATTCCCAGCATATGCAAATCCGGCACCGGACCAACCCAAGACCGCACCGCCAGTCAGCAACCCCACCACAGCGACCGTCACGGCAGCCGCGCCCAAGCTGAACACTCCCAGCGCGGCGCCGGCCGAGAAAGCGCCCTCAAGCGGCAAGGGTATGACCACAGGTACCAGTAAGATAGTGCATCCAGACGATGAGGTGTCCCTGGTAAGTTTTGTGGTGAATTCTATGAAAGGCCAGAGCCTTTGCATTACCACCTTTTCTTACAGAAATCAACAGGTATTAGGAAGTGGAAAGATGGGGTTTTTTTTACGTAATTTGGTTGAGTAAGAGGCTGAATTGGCAAGCTTGGCCTCTAAAAGGGTTCTTACATAATATCTAAGCCAGCTACATATTAACAACGCCAAAGAAATCTCTTTTTTGATCCGAGCATAAGGATTTGTGTACTTATTCATGCTTTTCTTATCTTAAATGGGGGCAATATTAAGGGACTGATTCAGAAACTGATACCTTCTGTGTTGTGCATTTCAGGAGGAGTTCCGAGCTAACCTACCCAAGTACAAGAAGACGGTTACCGCAGTCGCCCCGTCAGTACCCACCAGTGCACCCTCTATGCCCCCTAGACCGCCTCATTTGATGCCCAACATGCCCCAACCACCAATCAGACCCCAAGGTAAGAGCCCGAGCCATAGCCCAATCAGTACCCATCAGTGCATCCACTGTACCCCCAGACCTCATGATGCCCAACATGCCCCAACCACCCATCAGACCCCAAGGTAAGAGTCCCAGCGGTAGCCCAATCAGTACCCATCAGTGCACCCACTGTACCCCCAGACCTCCTTGTGATGCCCAACATGCCCCAACCACCCATCAGACCCCAAGGTAAGAGTCCCAGCCGTAGCCCAATCAGTACCCATCAGTGCACCCACTGTACCCCCAGACCTCCTCATGATGCCCAACATGCCCCAACCACCCATCAGACCCCAAGGTAAAGAGCTCCAGCTTAGCCCCAGCAGTAGGCACCATTGCACCCACTATGCCCACTAGACTTCATACGACCTCATCAGCATTTCACAGTTGCTTATGAGAGTCAATATCTTTATAATGTCTCTAATGTCCATCAAATGATACATGAGTTTTTCTTTGTTATAGGTGGGATGGGCATGCCACCACAGCCTCCTAATTCACAAATGGGAATGATGCCTACACCACCTGGTAAGAGTACACACTTTCCTAATTTAGATTGACTTGATAGTGCACTTGTATACCTTTTGCCATGCCCAACATTGTGAAGCCGTTGCAAATCTCTTTTTTGGCCCCCCAAAAGGGCTGCTGCTGATCTCATCTCATAAATTCAGCGCACAGACTTGTATACATTTTGGGCTCCCAAGATGGCATCCTGTAACTTCAGTCTGTGGTCTAAACATGCTGTTCCTTTTTTGTAGGTGGCATGATGCAGGGAATGCCCCCTATGGGCCAGATGCCCCAGATGCCCCCTCGAATGGGCGGAGTCCCCAACCAACAAGGGGGGATGTTCAGCGGTCAGAACATGATGCAGCAACATCCCAGCATGCAACAGGGACCACGAAGATATTGAAGAGTTCAAAGGTTGGCAAAATAAGAAGAAAAATGAAAACACAGTTCGTAAGATGGAAAAATTTTCTTAAAAAACAAAGCGTGAACCTTTACTCCCTAGATATTTTTTGCCAGAAAACTTAAGTGATTCATAAACAAGTGGCACATTCTTTGCACTTTTAACTTTGAATGGGGATCAGACTCCATTCAGAAGAACCTTGTCCTCCACCAAAAAAAATATTTGAAATCAAAATTAGTTTTGCGAAGATAGTTTTTAATTTCTTAGAGAAATTCTCCTCTCCTGTTTCAGTCAGTCAAAGTATTAACTGGTTTATCTTGAAGTTACAGGGTTTTTTTTCAGGAATTATTGAAACTAACCTTTGTGTTTAGGATTAAAATTGTAATTGCTGAAGTCGGTGTTAGAAAGAAGAAAAAACTCTTTGCATTTTCTGCAGGAACTGTTGTGGTCATTCCGTCAGCATTCATGTAATATGACTTGACCTCTGTGGCCCTTGCATTTTAAAGGCAAGTTCTTAATATATCTAAAGTATAGTGTTTTTATAAAAGTGTGCATGGTCGTGCAGCAGAGATGTTTCTGCAGTCTGAAAAAAAAACGAAAAAAATAATTCAGGTCACAGAAATTATGGAATTTGATTTCATGTTTGAGAGAATAGTGTTACAAAAATTCCAATAGCTCTTGTACATACTTAAACTTCAGCTTCAGAAAACGAAAGTGATTGCAAAAAAATAAAATACACGGACACATAAACTGTACAGATAAATTACCAAATTGCTTTGAGAGGAGTGTACATTTTGTGCAGCATACACATATATTTGTTGAATAATTTCTAAAAGAAAAGTTTGGGTAAGTACATTTATACAAGCTGCCAAACTTTGCTATAAAGAAAGCATGTCAGTGTCTTTTCCCAGTAACATAACGTCGTCAACACGTTGGAGGTACACGTGTGTGAAGGCAAATCAAATGCTTTCAAATTAAACAACAAGATTGAGCAAAAAACAATCGAAATGGAGTGGTTGTAAAAGACACACCAGACTTGGTCCCACACAATGGTAGGTCTTGTATAATTTGCATGTGTTAACTTGGCAACAAAATTTAACAAACATGAACATATCAACAAAATTTAAAGGAAGATTTTAAAAATGCTGATGGAGAACATCTGAAAGGGAAGATTGATTTCTGAAATATTCCATAATGAGTATTGTGTACATGTACATGTATATTTGTTGAATATCATTATTGAATATTGTGCAAGACAGCGCCACTGAATCAGGTAATGTTATTGCATCAGCCATGGCAAAATTGACAATGTAAGTACACGAAGAATGTGAGTACTTTTGTTTTTAACAAAAAAATTGAATGAACTGTTGCTCTGAAAATGACCAATTGTCACAACTATCGATAACAAAATATACACCATTAATGGCAGTTTTTCAGAAAAATTGTAACATTTACTCCAAGCTGTTTACAAAAATTGTATTACTTGATACTTGTAACTTTTAAAAAAGAAGTGGAATTTTCTAAAGCCGTCAAATTTGCATTAGAAAATCTTACAGATTCTGAAATTATTGGGATGATTAAATTGTCATCCCACTTAATGTCCAGTTTAAAATTTATGGTAGGTGGTTTATGCTTTCAGTCATCTGCATGTAAATGTATTTTTTTAATAACATTTTAAAACATTTTTCTCCTCATACTTCTGAGTTTGGGCTTTTAAACTTTTTGCAAGCAGAAAGAAGCGGAAAAGGTTTGAATATTATTCACTATTATATGTAATAAGTGGAACGCACATGTAAGGAAATAGTTGTAAATGTGATTTTAAGGAAAGCAGTATATTGAATGACGTGCACTGTTCCTGAATATGTGCTTTGATAAACCTCATCCACGGGACTGTGTATGTGCAGTTCTCTCACTTGAGATGCTTTCTGACAGAAAACACAAGGTAACCTTTAGAAAATCTGGAGTTGTAATCAGTTTGTCACAAGTCATCACAAGTTGTCTCAAATGGTCACAAGTCATCACAATCACAAGTTACCACAATCAGTCACTAATTGTCACAAGAGGTGACTAATTGTCACAAGTCCAATAATCACAAGTTCAATCACAATCTATTCAGAGGACTTGTGGTATAGGCATTCCTTTATAAATTTGCAGCCGCTGTTACTTGTAAAGTGACTAGATGATTTGATTTGTGATTTCTTTGATTTCAACTCCAAGAATAGGATCCTTTTAAACTTGTTGATGTTGTGTATGTGCAGTGCCTTTGGGTACAATCTATCAACAAAAAAATGTAGCAAAGGAACCAGACTTTGAACTTGTGTTACAACGATTAGAAATTAGTCAGATCCCATTGACGTTCTGATGTTCCAAAATTTCTTAGGAATTTATATGTAGACCTCAGATTCACACGTGTATTTTACATTAATTGCCGAGATTGCTCGAAAAATGTTTTCTTTTCTTTCCCATATGTTGGGGCCAAGGTTTGTAATGTTCTCCTTTTTAAATTTCAATCATGATTAGTCGTAAAAAAAATAAAATTTGTTTCAGAAGTTATGTTGGTGGTTGTGTTGTCAGTTCCTGGTTTTGGGAAAGGTGAGAAGTATACAGGTATGATTCGACATCAACTATTCACTCCTTGCTCCCTCGGTTAAATACTTGCCTTCGTCTAAAACAAAATTTCTGAAGAATTCAGAAGAAAAAAGATGCTTGCATTTTAACAAAGTTGATATCTTTAAAAAATTTCAGTAATGCAGAATCATACCTGAATGTAAGCTGTAAGCATTAAGTCGTTAGAACTTCAGGCACTAAACTCATGTGTCTGTCTTTGAAAGCAAAGGTTGTTTTGGCGTGAACAAGAAAGTGCATTTTATTGTGATGTCGCACAATGTAAACTCAGCATGCATGCAGTATACAGCAGTGAAAATAGTTATAGCCAAGGGATTTGCAATGTTTTAAGAACCACACGTTTCTCTTCATTGTAGCCGCCCTTCTGCTCTCATGGGGACGTTTGGCTCTGGCTGCAGCTCTCTCCATGCTAAAATCTTTGATATTATCTCAGGCAAGTCATACAATCTCTGTTTGCACATGCTTGCCAAGAAAATTTCACAGCGACTCCTCTGGTAGATTTTCCTCATGGGATGGGTTCTCAGACCACTGTTTGGCATCAAGCACAGTGATGTGGGATACTGGGTACCAGACACGCAGGCACTTTGGACCAATCAGAAAGCCTAATCTGTTTCCAAGGACATGATTGGTTGGCTTATCAGCCATTCATCATTCTTCTTTAAAACGCAGGACTGGGATGGTCATTCATGTAAAAATTCTTGTCATCTGAAGAGCGAAAATGAGCTTTAAAAACTTGAGGAAAATCTACCAAAGCATTGCTGTTGGACTGCAGTCCCCTATATGCTTTGGCATATAAGGCGAAATGTGGCGCTAATTTTGATTTTAAAAATTAAACGAAAAGTTGTTGTTTTTGTATGCATTGAGAAACGTACTTGGCCTGGATAAAAATCCCCTTGAGCGTGTACTTAACCATGCTAAATCCCAATAAAATCAGTTGTTCCCCCCCCCCAATAATATTTTGACATTTGCATGCATTTTTATGTCAATTGTATAAATAAAAAGATTACCTCTCCTCTCTTAAAAAAAGATACTTCAATGCCCTTTCGAAAACATAAGACTGTGCTTCAAAGTGATGAAGTCCTTTATATAAAATTTGGATGCCAAACTCAGAATTTGAAACTGTTGGGTGATGAACTTTTTAATTTCTGAATGGCACCTTGGAAAAAAAATTTAAGGGCAGTGTCAAAAGTTTCATCCCTGGGCTGGCCATTTCAACTCTTGAAATTCTGGGGATTGTCAACCAGTGTTTAAGGCCCATCTCTTGATCTGTACCTTCAACGGTTGTTTCCCGTCTTCTCCTTGGTGGAGAGGAGCTGATACATGCTTTCCTCAAACACTCGAGCACCAAGGTCGCTGTGAATGGATTGGCAACATCCTGAAGACTTTCTCCAAAGAATGAGTCATAGTGGCCATATATTTAGCAGAGTACCTTCCTGTCAGAAAAAGTGTGCGTCTTCAACCATTGCTGTCATTGCAACCTTATGACATACTGTTCTTCCTAGTTTTTATCCCAAGAACTAATTTCCAGACACTGTGTTTAAACATATCCTTTTCAAAAGTTTCCCCCAGATTATGAGTAGACCGATTTATTAGGCCTGGTCCACAGTGCATGTAGTCTATGTAATAACCACTTACATACAAGCGTCTATGATATTTGCAGAGATTCAGCGATTAATTATGCAAAACATACTGCATCTTGACCTCCAGATTCTGACCATTCAGCGGGCGCCTTCTATCGGGTCTTCCGTAACCCGTTGTTTTACAAAAACATGGCAGCCAAATTGACCAATCAACAGCTTAGTCCACATTTCTGATTGGATTGTTGTCACAGTTACTAAAGGCGACTCTGATTGGCTGGCGCGCGGGATGGCATAAAATGTGCATGCTAGGATACATCAGACGTTTGTTCGTGTGGCTCTGCACATGTGAATGTCTGATCTTCAGACTACAGTGCATGCGGGCAACAATTACATGTGTGCAACAATTACATGTGTGCTTTTTCCAATGCCACCCGCATGGTCCAGCCACGCACATCATACACATATGAGCACATCAGAAGACCTCAGACTTTGCTGCACGCATGTCGGACATAAATCATGGCTGTGATTGGTCAAACGACAGACTAGGGTTTAATGAGTCGGTCTATTCTACCATAACACTTAATACGTAACCCTTGCCCAATTAAATCACATAAGTGCTCAATTGTGTATTGAAATGACACCAACTTAGCACAGAATCTTCTTTGTGTCATGTGCTTTCTCTCCTAAATATAGCCCCTCCTGTAGTGTGCTCCTAGGGGTCAAAGTTCACAGGTCACAGGATCGAACTGTAAACCCAGGCAAGTCTCCAAAATGGTTTTCAGTTTTTGCTGAAACTTGCCGGTTGAATTTCACAGCATTCCGCTGTTGGACATTTTTGTCCCCAATATGCCTGGGTTTTCTCATTTGTGTTTCCCCCCGTTTGCTTCCTTTCTTGTATTTTCCCTAAACTCGGGCATATTTGGCGAAAAAAAGGCTTTTAAAGTTTTTTTTGTGTATGTTGGTTTTTGGGCTTTTGTTGTTTTGTGGCATTTGAAGGGATCAAAATATGAGAGAGTTATTATTTAGTTGTGTTCTTAATTTTTTTTGGAGGAGCGGGGGATGCTAATAAAATGGGAAATTGTCATATGATGTCTTGATGTTTCAGGATTTGTTCTCAAAATTCAAAAGTCCTTAATTTGTTTCTAAAGCTTTCCAAATGAAATTGAGGAGTTGTAATGACTTGCACAAAGCAAGCTGTTTGTCTACATGTATCTGTTTGTTGTGATGTGCAAAGGCAAACAAATTTGGGATCCTAATGCAAGCTACAACTACAAGGTATCAGTTTGTGTCGCAGGCTCATGCAGGTAATGAACCCATTGTGCAAGAATATTGGGATTATTATAGTGCATGTTTTGCCCAAAAAGTTTGATTTAAAAAACCTGGCACTATTCTGAGAAAATTGATGGCACTCTTTAATTAGCAAAAGTTTTATTCATCACCGACAAAATGGATTTCTTTTCTTCACCAAACATGAGTAATTTTAAAGTTTATATTAGTTTTTTTAAATCGGAAAGCTACTATAACTGATATTGTATGGGATGAAACACGATGAAAAGCAAGATTTGCTTCTCCGATGGCAGAGTTCTGTTCTTTGAAATCATTAGAATAGCTGGTTGATGTTTCAACAGAGATGGGCCGGCTATTAGATACACAGTCAGCTTTTAATGCGAGACATTTGAAATAAGCATACTGTAAAAGTGTAAGGAAAATGTATGAATGGACTTTCAAATAACTAGTGCATTGAAGTCATTGAAGGTAAAGGCCTTGGAAACTTTTCTGAATCTTCCAAAATCAACCACAGTGCAGGAAGTTCCAACTCAAGAAGTTCATTTATTTTTGGGGGGATGTTACCCAACTTGCCTGGCTTTTTTTGTTTTTTCTTTTTCATTTTTTCTTTCTTTTAAAATATCCAGTCTTATAATTACACTTATGAGAAAAATGTCTAAAAGCCAACTGAATGACGTCGGTGCAATTGTACTAAATTTATGAAACGTACAAGTTTACAATTGAAAGGAACTTATTTTACCTCAATTTAAATCTTCTTAAAGAACTTTGCTACAAAGGATTACAATAATATTTTTATGACAACAGTGATACACATTTTTATATTTCAATAAAAAACCTCTGAGAATCACATTAAAAAGTGGCATTGATTGTGTTGTGTAGTTATTTGAATTTGTTGTGTGAAATTTGGTTACAAAACAGCATCCAGTAGCGGGTCTAGGGCAAACGCCCCCCCCCCCTCGCCCCCCCCCCCCCCCCCCCTCAGCAACATAAATTTTTTATATCAGTAAAATGAAGCCAAAACTAATACAATTTGAATAAAAGTTCCTAAATATATACTCAAATTAACTTAAAATGGGGAGGTGGCACACCTTTGCTCAAATTTCAACCCCCCCCCCCATCTCCATGCATTTCTTGAAAGCTAGATCCGCCCTTGGCATTTGCATCTAGGAAAGGATGTAATTCGAATAGAATGAAGTCATTGTCCAAGGATGAAAAGAGGGCATTATTCGGACGTCAATTTATTCAAAATATGTTTGATAGAGGCTTGGGTCCTTATTTCCCCTTCCCCATCACTGAATTTTTCTTCTTCTTTTATCCCTTTGGCGTTTGGACACCCCCCCCCCTTTAGTCACTTGAGAGCGGCCTTTATAATGCTAATAAATAAAATCTCCCCCCCCCCCCCCCCCCCCCCCCCCCCCCCCCCCCCCCCCCCCCCCCCCCCCCCGCCTACGTATTCAGGCGCGATCGCAACTCGACTTTTACCAAGAGAGGGCGGTATTTACGCCTAGCAGCATGTGCACGATGGGACTGCCTTGATTCTCGGGGAAACAAGTTTTAGAGCAAGAAAACTAAAGCAACCCTTCGACTTTTCGATAGACTTTTTGTACAAAATCGATCATGTAAGTCCAGCCTATTTATTTCTTAAATATTGAGCCCTTTAATTACTCTTTCGAAATTTCTGGACTGGGAAATTTTCGTATCGGATTGAATTTGGAAGTTGTGCACTGACGCAAATCGTTATATGCAGAATTGCAGTATTTTGCTGACCATTCATGCTGACAAGATAGACAATAGAGTAGACATGTGGCCCGGAGGGGGGGGGGGCCTAGTCTCAGGACCCCCCGGATCCCTTCCTCATAAAACCTAGTGAGTGGTGTGCATTTACAGGCACTTTTTGTTTTGGGATGATGATACAAGCAGGAAGTCACTTTATGTGTTTGGAATTATAGTAAAATATCATCGAACTTGTGGAAAGAGGGCCGGGTTTTGTGAACAGAACTTGTGAAAAACAGATTTGTCCTAAACTAAACAATTACCATTGTCTTTGTTGTGCCCATTCTTGAAAATCACGCATTCTCGAGAATGGGCATGCACATTCTTGAGAATGTGCAACTGGATCCTTGCTCAATCTTGGCAAAAAATAACTCTTCCAGATTGAGCGCACATTCTCGAGAATGCGCGACAAGATAACGGTCTTGTCGATGCCGAGCACCGGCTGCGCTTGGCAAGTCTAGCTGAATCCTCGTTCACTGATTCTCAATAATTATACTGTTGCAACGCAAGGCGCTGAAAAGTAGAGTGGATATGATAAGTAAAGGCGTATTAATATGGGGGGGGGGGGACCGGGAAAATATAAGAGACATAATAATACTAGTGCAAAGAATTCTGATTTTTGGGATAATAAAAGCGAAGAATGTGAAGAATGAGAATGAATACTGCGACATCCCATAGTGCTAATGCTATTTCCCATTTAAATTGCCACCAATTTATTGTTCACATCCCACCATAACGTCGCAGAGCTGGATTCTATCTAGTCAAAAGAGCAATTTTGGCAGCTTCTGGACATCGTTTTTTTTTCGTGGCACGCATATGATACATGCAGGGACTTGTAACTTGTCTAGCCTAAACAAAGCACTTCCCAGACTAGTTCCCAGTCCTCCGTTATTACAAAACTTGCCATAGTGGGCAGAAAAAAGCAATAATAACAGGTTTAATTTGATTCAAATTATCGTAGTTATACGAGTACAGAAGCATAGCACATTTTCTTTCCTCTTTATATGAATTGTTTCCCTTTTAACCGCTATACAATTCATTTAACATAATTATGTCGTGCAATGTTTGTTAAGATTGGGCAAAATTCATAAATTGTGCACGTGATATTCCCACCCAATCTTAAGAATGAGCGCTCATTCTTAAGAACGCGTGCTCGTTCTTAAGAATGGGCGCTCATTCTTAAGAATGCGCGCCCATTCTCGAGAATGTGCATGCCCATTCTCGAGAATGCGTGATTTTCAAGAATGGGCACAACATCTTCATTGTCTGAGCGCTTACTAAGTAGGCTAATTTGTCAAGTTGGTTACGGGTACCCGATCCCAAAATCTGGAACCGGTTCCTGACATTAGCAGTCAGTTGGGTACTTGGTTGAACAGGTTCCAGTGCACAGGCCTACAAGTACAACTAAAAAGTTGATAATAAATCATCACGAACAAAATTAATTGCTTAAAAATATGAGCACAGTAGTATCGAGTACGCCATGCCAGGCAGTATGTCCGTTTATTTGTGATCCCCGGATGATTAATTAGTGGGGTTCTTTTTCCATTTATTTTTCAGATTGCTGTTGAAATCTAGCTCCGATAGCCCACATCCACAAGATGGCCGACAAACAGCGAGGCAAGAAGCGATCCAAAGCCTTCTACATCCAAAGCAGCTCAAACAAAAAGATGCGTCGGGATAAGTCCCTGGACGTTGGTATGAGGGGCTTTCTACTGACTTGCAACCGCACAGAGCAACTCTGCGTCCGTGAGGGGTATTCCCTGCTGGGGGAGTATGCAGATAAGCTGTACGGACCAGAGAAACTGGGAGAAGGCGGCTATGCCAGCTCTGGAAGTGGTGAGAAGAACAATCTTTTGTAATGGATGGTGGTGGGGCGGGTTGAGGAGAAGACCTGTATGGGGCTATGTGAGTATGTACTGAACCACTGAATTCAAGATTTTGGTGATTTGGACTATCCCCATCTCAGAATCAGAGCCTGAAGATATCGAGGTATCGCTGCGCAAGGAAGTGGCCCAGATGAAACAGAAACAGGCCGAGAAAAAGACGAGGTTTGAAGCAATCAACAGCGGCGCCAACAATGTCATCTTTATAAGAACCAAGGTAAGAACCAGACTGAAGCCTCTTGTACTCGCTCTTCAGCTGAAAAATCTCAAACACAAAAAAAAATTATGCAAGACAAAAAGAAAGTTTGTGCAAGACCAAAAATTTACATGCAAGACCAAACTTTACATAGAAATAACGCAATAGTGATTGCAAAAGAAAGTAACAGTATTCCGAGTATTCAGGGGTTTTGAATTAATTCCAGTAAGGCTTTCAATAATTCAAAAATAAGGTTGAACTGTGGTCACCGTAGAAAGGCAAAGCACCTACATCTAAGCATTGATTTTAAAGGTTGTCATCACACTATTTTGGTTGCGCATTTGTTTACAGTTTATACCAGATCCGACTGAGTTAGTCCAGCACATATTGACAGATATATCCACTACCCAGACCTGCAAATCCTGCCACATAATGCGCATGCTGCCAGTGAACGTCACGTGTCGCGCCACCATCGAAGACATCACAAAGCATGCTCCAGAGTTTCTTTATCCATACTTCCACGCAGATGGCGTCGAGCCGTCTACATTTGCCGTCCGCATCAAAATCAGAAACAATGCTTCCATCAAGCGGGACGACGTCATTAAACTGATGGCTGCCATGGTGACGAGTAAAGGCATAAAGCACAAAGTGGATCTTGACGACCCGGAATTGTCCGTGGTCGTGGAGATCATCAAGAACGTGTGTTGCCTGAGTGTCTTGAGGGACTTCAACAAGTTGAAGCGGTACAACTTGCAGGAGATAGTCGGGGACGGGGGTGCAGCACGGAAGAATGACCCAGGCCGGAGTGCAAAGGGAACTCCCAAACCGGCAGAAACGAATGACCTTTCTGGGGCTGCTCAGGATCTAGAAAACAGTGGCGAAACTGAGAATCGGACAGAATCGGAAGGTACAGATTTAGCCCAAATTCAAAAGAATTAGGTATCTAATTATTTCTGAACAGTGTTTGTATTAACAAGAGTCGACTGTACTTATGTTCTATCTTGGGAAGAAAAAGTCATCATTTTAAAGCCAAAGTTTCGAGTCTTTCCCTAAGGTTTAAATATTAAATACAACTAATTTTTGTCCCAAGGAGTGCCTCATACACATGACCTTACTTTTTATTATCAGTTTCATATAGTAATTTGTAAGTCTGTTACAAATAGAAAAAGACGAACAGTATGTTGTACACATTTGATATTAGTTCCAATTACCGTTTATTGACCAAGGACTAGAACAAATATTGTAAAACACATCGCTAGTTTGGACAAATTGTTACGGATATACTTGGCATTTATGTCTCGATGTGACCACCAAACCTCACTAAATACCTGTCATTGCACAGCTTTGCAAAAAGTCAGTAAACATTGGTTTGCCAAGTTAATCCTGCAGTTTCTGATATGTTTCATGCAGAACAAAGTCTTGTAACATTGCTTAATTGTAACAAAGTATAAAATAATATTGATTTTTACAAAATAAAAGCTCAATATTTTAATACAAAACTCAAAGATGCTCAAATTTTGTTGTGGCGTGTTGTAAGTGTGCGTTCCAACATAAAACATCTCCAAAATTCACACAAGAAAGACCTCTGTAACACCTCCCCCTAGTCTCAATATACATGTTTACATAAAACTACTCAGCACAACTGGTTACAATATATTTACATAAACACCAACCATACCAAAAATATATTGTGTAAAATATGTTCTCTTATGTTAATAAGATTAAGAAATAAACAGTTGCACAAAAGCCAGAGTACTCTAAAGCAAGACATCTGTTAAGTTACTGTTATGAAATATTCAAAGAAAGTCAACTCCAATTAAAAATTCATATACATAATCCCCTTTTAAAAACACACGATTTTTTTTTGTAAAGGTAGCCAATCTGTTTGAGGTCACAATCCTCTCTGCGTCAATTTGCGTAATGCACAATACATATACAGAAAAGTACTTAGTGATGCAAACCCGGTATATATTCTGCATTACTTATTTGTAGTTGACATCTATAATGATGGGTTTCATAAAGTTAGTTTGTGATACCATTCATGAAACAATGAAAGACACCGTAAAATTGAAGGACACCGTGAAATTGAAAAACGGCCTCTGTAAGTGTAATGTGAATTGCCCAAACTGATAGCAGTTTTGTGAACCTTTTAAAAACTATAATACAGCTGCGGGTTGACGCGGCACGGCCTGTACATACATCCGTTCCTCAAGCCTTCCCATCATGGGGCTTTAACCAGAGAACTTCATTGGCTGGCCAATACAGTGCCATGACAACCCACCACCATATTTTTTTAGTGAGACACAGAACTACATATTCAATGTGTTCTTACAAATGCAAACGGAACTGGGTAAAGATGAATAAGTTCTCTTTACAAATACTGTTTGGTTTACAAAATCAGAATGACTTTGTGGTAAATAATACTACCTGTATCCTCAAATAAAATGTAACTTGGGATCCTCCGAATATTCACAAGGAGGTTTTGAAGGATTTTGTAAGATCAAGGAAGGTAGTTCACATTCATTGTTTATACAATTCTAGGTGCCCATTGACAATTAGTTCTTCAAAGAATTATGCTGTTAGGTTCCTATATAGTGATTTAGTGTTATTGTGGCAACAAGCCCCATGTAGAAATTGATTGTGATCTACCTTCCTCAATCCTAAAAAAAATTTCCCAAAACCCAAACAAATTTTAATGGTAGAGTTAAGGAATATAAACGGATCAGTGTGATCACCTTTTTATACTCCAACAGAATGTATTGTCTGTGAAAGCAAAACACAAATAAAAATAAATACATTAAAATTCCTAGAAAACCTTGGTAAAATGTTTGTACTGCAATCGGCTGGTTGTTTAATCCTGCCGAGAATGCTACCTGTAGTTCCATGTCTCAAAGTTGAAGGCTGCAGCATGTGCCAGCCTAATGCTTCACGTCTCCTTTCTTTTCTGTTGAGAGAATTTGAAGTACCAATATTAGAAGATTGATTAACCCTAACTCCCAGCCTAATTTACTAGGAACCATACCCATTCAGGCAAATTCCAACACCCACATGGGAAATTGTGCACACACACTGTTGGACTTAGTTTCTGGAGGTATGCCAACCCCAGTGTAAAAGACCATCTGTTTAGGGGAACTGTACCTATCCCAACAGATTTAAACACAAACCTGCTGTTGAACTTTGATGGGTTGAGTTCTAGGGTTAAAGAGCTTTCTAGACACATGTCAAGGTATTCAAAATAGTGAAAATTAACCATTTTTTTTCAAAACAAATTTAATCAATAAACTTTTATTTCCACTCGCTCTGCCCAAAGCATTGATGAGAATACAATATATTATATTTGTAAATAACCCAAAATAAATTTCAACTTGAACTGCCAATATTTCAGCATAATGAGGCTATGAGCTTTTCGATGAAAAACACTACCCACAAAACAAGTAACAGATTATATGGAATTGAAATTTAAAATACGGAGTATGTGTCCCTGATCCCAACAACATTTTTGAAGACAATAAGAATATTTGGCGATACAAAAAGTGTCTGAGCAGAAAAATGAAAAATGACGTTAACTGGAGGTTTTGGCTTACCCTTTTTGCCCTTTTTGAACTCAAGGGCAGAGGAGAATATTCAGAAGCGCGAATTCCCATCAGGTCCATCTTTTAAAAACTCGTGCCCAAGACCATTGTCACATTTGGAGCAAGACACCTGTAAAAGAAAAATCACATTTTACTTCATCGCTTTATTAACAAGCCATCACGACGAGTAAACAAGAGAAATGGTATCCTGACTGAACTGCAACAATTTGACACAGGAATAACCCATGGTACCAGTCTAGTCACATGTTCAAACACTCATAACTCACCTTGTATGCATGTGAACCTTCGGGTCTCTTGGAAACACTGTCTGGGTGCACTGTGTCTGTAAATGCTGGCCAGGGTGACGAATGCTTGAACTTTGACACACTGTTGAATAATTCATGACCGCACTGGGAGCAGACGTAAATGCCTGTGACAGTCAAAGTACAGAGATTCATGAGCATCATCACATGAGGATATGTACAGGTTTCTCCATGTAAGTAGAAACTACGTAACTTAGTACGAATTACCCTTCTTTTACTTTTAATATGAAATACCTGTATTACACCAATGTTGATGTACAAATGAAAAATCTGGACAAAGTTAAGAGTCAAATTCTACAATAAGAAATTCCATGTAGGCCTAGGCCTATACTACTGAGGCCATCAGGCCTACCAAGTACCATAATTTTGCAATACCATGGCACAAACATCATGAACATGACAAGAACGATATTGTTTCTATATTCAAGAAGAGATAATAATAATAATAAATAGTGAACATTTATATAGATAAGGAATGAGGATAGTTGTAATCTGCCACTTTTTGTCTGTTCTACCATGTTACCTTCATGGTTCTACAGAATAAAATATTGAAAATTATGCTGGCCAGGGGGGCAAATTGCATCAGAATACTGCATTCAATTCTACACGCAGTTCCATTGCAATAAATTCAAATTGGTAAACAAAAACATGACAAATCATATACAGCGGTCTCACGTACCGGCATCGAAGTGATTCTGGTATTTTTCACCTCCCCAGGAACAGAACGACATCTTGACAGCTTTCTCGACAGAACCCGGTCTTGACTTGTAAAACCCAAATCTACACTGAAAATCGTGACTTGTCGGAATTTCTACTACTTTCCAAACCCGGTCGTGACTTGCAGAAAAGCCGGTTCCGCTTCCTCGACTTCCCCCGGCCCCACGCGCGCGCATGACATTAGTAAATATATAACGAAAATATATAAATAGAGGGCGCTCTACCGATTTACCGTGTTTCGTCGTAAACATAGACTTCCACGCAGCAGGGGAATCCCCCCAAAATGTTCAAACGTCAAGGTTGTAACATTGGCAAGAATTCACGAAATTTAGAGTTGAGTATAATTGGCCCGGTCATTATGTCAGTCCCCCTTTTTGGAAAACTTGCACTAAATAAACTGCATATACATGTAGGGCTGAAATATTTTAAGTGAAAATTGCCAAAAAGAAGACATCGGAAATGCCTGGTATAGGTTCTTAGCCATTTCAAATTGTCAAAGACTAGTTTGGCCCATTCACATTAAAATAATAAATGTTTCTTTCATATCATGGATAAATCAAACCCAAAAAATTCAAACAGACACCATTCTGTGCATTGCATGTTACGATATGTTTATTTTTTTCACGTTGCATTTGATGTTGCTTTCTTCAGAACCCATGCATTCTGAAATCAGAAATTGGCTTCGATATCACACATTCGATATGCAAACAATAACAGAAGTGCTAACTTAAATAAACATGTACAGTCCAGCTAATTTATGGTAATAATTAAAAAAAATACCAGCAGTTTTCAACCAGTTGTCAAAATCAGTCCCAATATAGCTACAATTTCCCTAGACAATCAAGGAAGCTATATATTTTTATCCATACGGTGTCACTTTTTATGTATATCTTATATACATAATAATATTTAACAACTGTTGACTGCTTTGATGTGGGATTTGACATTTTTAACACCTGAGGGGTGCATAGCATGTAGCATTGTGCAATGTGCACAATGAACGCAGTGCAATATCACTGATCTCCACGTAAAAATGCATATTAGTGTGTGACATGCGTCTTTATAGACCAGACACGTGGCTGTTCTAGGCCAATGAAAACTAGTGATAATTGTCCAATCCTGAATAGAGAATACTCGATAATGGCACGAGCCGAATCACATATTTATTCCCATTCATAAATACCTTTTGCTCCAAAAGTCAAAACAAGTAAAAAATTCACTAGTTCTGAAAGATTTTGTTCAACACTTTTACTTCATTTTTTTTTAAACACCCCTCAGGCTATGACTGTGGTATGTGCTTAGTGCTTAGTGGTAAAAATCTCTTGATGTGGAAATTGGTGCGCACAGCATGTACTGCGCTATGTGGCGCAGAATGCAGAGGTGTTTAAACGTTGGTTTAAAACCACCCACGCGACGGTCTCTTATCCAATAGGAATGGGTAAACTGTCTTGGGTGTTTATGAATATGTTTGTAGATACTAACTTGGCGACAATTTGAAGTTTGTCATTTGATTTGAAACTAGATACTGTGTGACTAACTTTTATAACTTATTTTTTTAAAGATTTTCTTGTTGTTAATTGCTGTGGTACTTTAACAACGCTTCATAAATGCTTGCTATTAATTACTTTGATAAAGAAACAAACCAGATGCTTTCTTCAAATGTCACATTCATTGTCTAAAAGCAGTTTGACCATAAAAGGCATGGCAGATATCCACATTAAGCATTTATATTTACAATCACAAGCATCGCATTATCAACCTTGCAAAAGTGGACACCTGAACAATGAGATAACCTGCACAATGTGGCCAGCCTTTGAAAAAAATTTTAGAACCAAAAATGGGAAAAGCTGAACATGGTAAATAGTAACATACTTCAATTGTATGCAATTATTAAGTGTCACTGCCATTTACTTTCAGTCCATTTACATATTATTCAAATGATTGGAACAGTAAACACACATGAAAAGAAAACATAAATTTGTTTTTTTAAACAGGGGTCTTTCACTGTATGTACCAAACTTGAGATTAAAAACAATTTACAATGAGACAAAAAGACACTCCTAAAAAAGTCCCAATAAAGATGGTCACTGTGTACAATGTACAAAACGGTCTATCTATCACACAAACCCAACCAATCCAAATTAAGTTTGAAGAATCAACAATCATGCTTGCTAGATTTACTCTGCGGGAGTGCAACATAAATTATAAAGTAAATTACCTGATAACATCTACATGAACTGATTGTTCTTTCACCAACAGCAGGGTATTTCTGTAGAAATGAGTGTACTACCAATGTATCTGAGTTTACTTTTGAGTGGTTTTAAGTTCTAAAGTACCTATTAAGAACCCACTGTTTGCACATGAAGCCCTTTGATCAAAATCAGCCCCGCCCTTCTTTGTGGCATTCTGGTCCCGCCCCCAACACAATAACAAGTAAGCCCCGCCCTTCTTCATGGCATTACGACCCCGCCCAACACAATAACAAGTAAGCCCGCCCTTCTTTATGGCATTACGACCCCGCCCCCAACACAATAACAAGTAAGCCCCGCCTTTCTTTATGGCATTCTGGCCCAACCCCCAACACAATAACAAGTAAGCCCCGCCCTTCTTTATGGCATTCTGGCCCCAACCCCCGACGCAACGACAAATATCACCTTCCAAGTTGCAAAGTTATGTACAAGATACGTCTCACTGGCTGGCAGGATGAGGACAGGATATCCGCTGCGGTTGCCATGGATACAGGATGCAGGAAGAAGGAAGCTGATGAGGAGGTGGGCGTGTCTTCCGCCGACTGTCAGAAGTACTGCCATTTGAAGAGAATTGCATCTTTGATGGCGCTGGTGTACTGTGTGGGGACCCAGTAGAGCCAGTAGCGGGACTGTTCCGTGGGGCCAAGCTGGATGGCCTGTGGGGAGTTTTACACAAAGATCAGTCGTTAACATCAGCTATCTGGCATGCATTTCTGGCTATTTCTGTGCCATGCCTGTAGGAAGTCATACTCACCATGATATGGTACTCCTCATGTCCTTCTATGGGTTCACTGATCACGTTCTTGATTGAGCTCATCGGAAGCTTTTCTGTTCGCTCTGTGAAATAGAATTGGTCATGTTTAAAATACAGTATCTTGTAGTCAAGCAACAGGTATATTGTTGACCATGGCTTGCCAAATACTTGTGTGGCTGTCAATTCAATAGGTCAATCATTCAGATATTTACAAGTTGAAGTGAAGTCCGGCAAGTGACGAGGTATTTGAATAAACTCTGAGAAAGGGTTCTATTTATTTGTTAAGCCTGTTGCTTGTGGTATGACTTGTGCAATATTGTAGTTCACCTTTTGTCCCGATCCAGAGTTGATCAATCTCCAGTTTGAAGGTGAGTCGCACCTTCCCACCAGCCTTGTTGTACATGCCAGAGATTGGCACGGACGGTAACGCCTCCTATGCATACAGATACAATGTATGTAAAGAGGTTAAAGGACATAAAGGTCATACACATTACACATTGCTCAACTCTGCCCTTTTTCAATTTGTACTGCAAATAATTGTGTAACCAATCATCACAAATGACTTTTGTTTAAGAAATGAGATATTTACATATCTGGATTCTGCAGAACAAGAGCTTTCCAATGGTATACAACATTTAGGGGTACTGAGTTCAGAAATGGAAACATAGACCACCAACTTACTTGACGTGGTAAAACCGATTCTTGAGAAAATGGCATTTATAAATCTTGCAGTTATAGTGAATGCACAGGTAACTCATAAAACAGGATGAAAGTAGATGTTTGACAAAACAAAAATAAATTGGAGAACGGTAGCACAGAACTTACAGATTAAGGTTCACCCGAAAACAAAAAATCGACCACCCTTTCAAATTTGGGCTGTGTCCCACTATACTGCAAAATGGCAACTTCCGCCTTTTAGCTCATTTTGTGATGACAGGTCACATGTGTTTCTTACTTCAGTGGTTGTCTAGTTATTGCTTTTGGTCTAGTAAGACTTTGGAGCTGCTGTTCCTGTAGTCTAACTGGAATTTCAATCCCTGCCTGACGACACTGTACTTGAGATGATACAGAAATTACGGATGTGATTTTTCTCTGAGCTAATATACCTGTCTGCCTTTGATTCCTGGCATGGCGTCATCTGGTATGCCTTTGTCCAAGATCTTCTTGTGCATCTTCTGTTTGCAAAGCGGCTCCTTTGCTGGTGCTTTGGGAACACAAAAGAATTAATCAAACTTTACGTCAATTTAAAGTTTTAGGATTTCCAGTACAATTCATGAAACTAGAATGGAGCTCGCTGAAAATTCTGTACATAACATTTGGTCAATGACTAGCAGTCATATTCTAATTCAACAAAAAACACAACAAACAAAGAAATGATCAGAGCAAGAAAACAAAGCATTTATGCTGACACGACAATAAACTGTGGTTTCTGCCTAAGATGACAATTGAGTTTTGCTTATGATTATTGAAATTAGCATTAGCATTAACCCAAAATAGCAATACGAAGACTGAAAAATGAAGGTTAATTAATGGAACAAAATAGTACATTTTAAAGACTCTATTAGAATATGGAAAGCAATTTTTATTATCTGGACCCTTTGTTATGGCTATGGTAACACACAACGCATTGTTCACCTGCTTCCTCTTTGACTTTGGCAGCTCCCTTAGGGACGGGTTTGTTGACTTCCAGGATGTCATTCCTGGTCGAGCCAATCAGCATCAGTTTGACTCCCTTGGTGACGTTCAGTTCTCGCAGGGTCTTGTCGTCCTTCATCAGGCCTCTGTACATCAGCTTCTGCATTTCTGACGGGACGCCTGGAGTCAAACAAATAAATACTGTAATCAGAAATATGTTTGTGACGTCAAATTGATAACCAGAAACGTGTTTACACATGGGCACAAAAACGCTGAACCGAAAACAGTGTCAAAAAGTTGTAACCAAGCATGGCGGAGGAATTAAATGAGATGGCAGTTCTTGAAGCGAATTCTTGAATGTACAAACTGACCATGTGCGTATTAAAAATACGCATTACAAGCGTATTTTTCCCAACACTTTTTTGTTAAATGTCGTGTATTTATCTTTCCGCCATCTTGAAATGCACTCCGTAACCGACCCTTGGCCTTGGTTCGGTTTTGGTCGGAACAGTGACGTCACTCCAGACACCCGAAGTCACGAAAACGCTCAACCAATGACCCAAGCCGAAACATGTTTTTGGTCACAGTTCCGAAAACGTGCCCCTGAATGCATGTGCACCTCAATTTATAAACATGGGCCTCATGCAAACAAATATGGCACTGTTCCACCCCAACTTAGACAGTGGCCCCAACTATTGCTGGGACCGTCCCAACAATAGTTGGAGAATTCCCAAGTACAGTTGGGACGATCCTAACTGTGAATTAAGACGATGTCATTATTGGGCGTAACAACCCCACCTCAGTAATGTCTCCCCATTAAGGTGGCTGGTTTACTTGACAGAGAGAAGCGATGAACTCACCTGTTAATGTCTGTACATGCGTTTTAAGAGTTGCCACTGTGCCGTCCAGATCAAAACTGACGTCATATTTCTGTTTATTATACATCACTTTGAAGTCCACCAGTTCTTTTGGTTTCGCTGTTTCCTCCGCTGTTTCCCCAGAAGCTGTCGTCATCTCAGCTTCACCCGAAACATCCATGGCAGTTTCCTCACTGTTCCCAGAATCCTTTGGACTGTGTTCAGTTGCCATGCAGACGGAAGAGTCCGTGGGCTCACAGGCACTGTTTGTTTGACTTTGGGAGTTTGAAGTTTGGCTTTGCTGGCTGGCAGACTCCATGTTCACATCGTTAGAATTGTTTTTCACATCTTTATCTTGATCTGGCGTGTCCATTGTTGACTCTGGAGGTGAGCATTTTGGTTTCTTTGCATTGTTATCCCGCATATCAGCATCGCTGTCTGCTTAAAAAAATAATTTGGATGAAGTTCTCAGCAAAAACTTATTCAACATCAGACAAACATTTTGTGCCCTGGCAACCAGGCCTCAGGAGAAGAGGTAAGAAAGATCAACTACATGATACATCCCTGCTTCACTGCTTCTGACATGAAAATCTTGCCTTCTTATAGTGTACAAACATGACAAATGAGTGCCAAGCAATACAAGATGAGCACACTTATTATTTTTTAATGCAAAACTTGACTCCTGATGGAGTGATGGGTCATTATGGAATTAATTTTATAATGTTGCTGTCGTCACACTGTAAACAAGTCCCTAGGCTAGCCTTTCTTCTACAATGACAAGTGACAATGATTGTAATTTAAATGTTGAACAGACATGAATTTACTATCTAGGCCAGGGCCTAATCCCTAACCTTCTTTTCTAGGCCTGAGACTGAGTGAGAATCATTCCCAAATTTGTTGGGCAATAGGCCTAGGCCTACTTTGAAAATATACTTTCCATAGGGCTTAGTTATTAATTATACACAGCCCAATAACTAATACGTGGGGTCAGGGTACTATAATTAGTATTCGGAGCCAATTTCCCTCCCCCCCCCCCCCCCCACCAACGGTAAGCCCCCCCCCCCCCCCGGCCCGGCACGTCGGCTCTGTTCCGAGTCCGACATTTTCTCAATTGCAACCTATTTCTCTGGACGCAAATGTTCATATACTGGATACAAAACTCATGCTACGATTCTCTTTTAACCATCCCAATATTGTTATTACTTTCGATGACGTTAGGGGAAGTTTCCGACGAGTTTTAATATTGTCTACTTTACCTGTGTCGCCACTGTTCGTCGCCATCTTTGCTTTGATGTTGCAACCGCGGACTGGCCATTTTGGACCGCTGGAGGTCGCTGCGAAACAAAGATAACAGCTGGCAAAACCAAAACACGAGACACAATCGGTCGGTCGCGGTCGATATCGCGCGCAAATTTTCTGAACACGTTGTTTTCGGCGTTTGATGGCATCAACCTGTTGATAAAATCATCCCTTCCGCACTGCTGAAGATATGGCGAGCAGATCTACTTCACCGTGGAAAGGTTTTTGTGGAGATTATGGTTTCTGGGTAAGGCTTTTTTTTCCCCCAACATTTTGTTTTGACAACATTGTTTTTGTTTGTCAGACCATGGCCAGACGTAGGGCCCTCCCCCATTTGAGATTTTGAATTGCACACAAATAACATGAACAATGTACATGTTATTGTTAATGTTAGTAGTTACTTTCAGTGCCCCCCCCCTTTAAAAATTGGTGCTCCCCCAGTTACACTCAGACAGTGCCCCCCCCCCTTCCAAGATTAAACCTGGCCTAGTTAAGATGCTCAGAATGAATGTTGTGCCCATTCTTGAAAAATCACGCATTCTCGAGAATGGGCATGCACATTCTCGAGAATGGGCGCGCATTCTTAAGAATGAGCGCCCATTCTTAAGAACGAGCACGCGTTCTTAAGAATGAGCGCTCATTCTTAAGATTGGGTGGGAATATCACGTGCACAATTTATGAATTTTGCCCAATCTTAACAAACATTGCACGACATAATTATGTTAAATGAATTGTATAGCGGTTAAAAGGGAAACAATTCATATAAAGAGGAAAGAAAATGTGCTATGCTTCTGTACTCGTATAACTACGATAATTTGAATCAAATTAAACCCTGTTATTATTGCTTTTTTCTGCCCACTATGGGAAGTTTTGTAATAACGGAGGACTGGGAACTAGTCTGGGAAGTGCTTTATTTAGGCTAGACAAGTTACAAGTCCCTGCATGTATCATATGCGTGCCACGAAAAAAAAACGATGTCCAGAAGCTGCCAAAATTGCTCTTTTGACTAGATAGAATCCAGCTCTGCGACGTTATGGTGGGATGTGGACAATAAATTGGTGGCAATTTAAATGGGAAATAGCATTAGCACTATGGGATGTCGCAGTATTCATTCTCATTCTTCACATTCTTCATTCTTACGTCCCCCCCACCCCCCCCCCCCCCCCCCCCCCCCCCCCGCTTTTATTATCCCAAAAATCAGAATTCTTTGCACTAGTATTATTATGTCTCTTATATTTTCCCGGTCCGCCCCCCCCCCCCCATATCAATACGCCTTTACTTATCATATCCACTCTACTTTTCAGCGCCTTGCGTTGCAACAGTATAATTATTGAAAATCAGTGAACGAGGATTCAGCTAGACTTGCCAAGCGCAGCCGGTGCTCGGCATCGACAAGACCGTTATCTTGTCGCGCATTCTCAAGAATGTGCGCTCAATCTGGAAGAGTTATTTTTTGCAAAGATTGAGCAAGGATCCAGTTGCACATTCTCAAGAATGTGCATGCCCATTCTCGAGAATGCGTGATTTTCAAGAATGGGCACAACATGAACAAAGTTGACATGACGTAAATTAGGTCAAGTAAACAAATAAACCAGTTTCTTGTCTTCGCCCACTTCCTTTTTGTATGCTGCTAGCCTCCTTGCAAATTGTCGATTAGATGTGGTATGAAAATTTGATTTTTATTGGAAATTTTTAATTTTTTTATTGGAAATTTTTTTTTATTCCTTTTCAACAAAATTGTTTCTATGTAGAAAGGGTTACGGCTGAATTTTGTATTTTCAGCAATAGACTGAAGAGTTGAGAAAATAGACGAATCCATCTACCATCTTGGAAAATCTGCCATCTTGGAGGGAAAAAAGTGTCCGCCTCCTTCATTTGTCACAAAGACAAGAAACTTGGGTTTTTTTATCATTCTGAGAAATTTTGAACATCCTAGGATAAAATCAAACTCAAAAGTTGCTTGGACAAAATGAACTAATAGTACCCGGTATAGTCAATTATGTACACTTTGAATATTAAATTTGACTGATCCAATCCATTTTTTTTTGTTATTATAAAAATTGCATAGGATAAAACTGTCATTCTGTTTCCTTGTTCCTTGCTCTATGGTTCAAGCAAGGGTAACAAGCTTTAACTTGAATTTCTTTTGCTACGTAGCCTACAAAACACAAGTGAATAAAAAGCATTTTTCATTCTGTCTTTGATTCCCCTGTAGGAGCCGTCTCTTTTGAACTCCACCCGCCCCGATATATCACCTTGCTTCCAAGAGACGGTCCTGTCATGGATACCTCTCCTCTTTCTGTGGTTGGTGGCGCCCTTCTATTTCCGCTACATGCAGAAGCACGATCGCGGGAGCATTCCCATCTCCCACTTGCACAGAGCCAAGACGGTAAATAAATTTGATTCAGTTTTTTATAATCAGAGTTGAAATTTCACAAAAAAATATCTGCGAGACTATAGAGCTAGACTAGTGTTCGCCTGGGCAGAAGTAGACCTATTCAAATACAGAATAAAAGATTATGGAGAGGATGATTGAAACAATTGCTTCAATCGTCTTGGTCGGCCACCTTTTGTTTTCTTCACTTATTCTTGCACCTTCGCCTGTGACATCACACCTGTACCAAATTCCAGTGTAGCAGTTTGCTGAATAGGATTACACCTTTGAAGATTTAATCAAAGTCTTTTCTATGTATACCTGATTCTTGAAACTTTTGCTGTTTTATTTGTATTTTGGGCAATTTTTATCAGTAAAGCTAACAGAATTTGTGAATTATACAAAGTTTGAAAATCTTGTGAATCTGCAATATTGATGAATTTCTTCATTCTAAAAATGTTCTGAGTCATGGGAATTAAGTATGAATATGTCACAATCTTGCCAAAATATGCTTTCCACTTCTGTTAATTTAAGATGCAGAAACTTGTTTCTTCCTCTTCGAAAGAAGGTTTTTTCCCCCAATTTTGGACACAACTCTAATTAAAGTCAATGTTATCTCCAATACATGTCATTGTTCATTATATTATTTGCTTTTTAAATTTTAATGTCATTGTACTGTCCTCTGTTTTTTTTAAGTATGTGCAACTTTTTTGATGTATTTAATGTAATTTGACCACAAATCAGCTTTTGGCTGCTACAGTCAAATGATGATAAACCATTTCAAATCAAATCAAATCAAAAGACAAACATCCTTGAAATTTGTTTAAACAAAAGCTACAAGTCTTTACATTATTTAAGTAGCCATGCAGTTTCACTTGCATTTTCATACTTATTTTTGTTTGTTTGTTTGTTTTTTATTAAAGTGAGTTAAATTTGAGTTAAATTTCACTTGCATTTTGAGAAAGTTATAGACAAAAAATTGAAATGTTTGAGTCTACAGTAGAACTAAATAATAATAATAATAATTTGGGAGGCTAATTATCCTTACTCGCAGCTGGTATGCTAAATTGCGAAGGACGCGGCTACAACGTGTTCGGGCCGATGGCACGTAAGGCCAAAAAAAAAGTCTCCGGTTTCTGGTATGGAGCTTGCCCAAAAAGTGGTGCGGTGACGATGCTTTTTTTTTTTACCTGATTTTTTTGCTTCAAATGTCGGCTGATGACTGCAAATGGTGCCCGACTAAACTTAGTGCAACTATATGGGAGTCCAGAGAGGCCACATAAAGCTTATTCCCGACCATAACGCAATCCAAAAACACGTTAAAATTGTGCAGCAGCAGGATTCCAATCAAACCAGTGAGTTTGGCGGTTTTGAGACATCATCTTTCATTGAAAAAAAAACGTTTTCATTTTGCCGACGCGCATGGCTACGGCAACGCGCGCGCGCGCATACCAGAAACCGGAGACTTTTTTTTTTTGGCCTAAAGGCGCCTATGGTTGCCGGCCACATCGACCCATATATGACCACGGAGCACAGCCTGAGATCGACACGCACAAGCCACCCATTTCACTTTCACTGGCACTGACCTATTTCACTTTCACTGACATTCACTTTCACTGGCATTCAGGATGTTTATTTGCAGCAAGCGCTTTTGTTACTGAAATATTGATGTTAAGTAGACACAATAGGTTCTTAAAACCCCAGCAGGGCCAGCTGTTCCTTGCTCTTATCTCCAACAAGACAATATAAGAAATGGGCAGTGGAAAGAGGTAACAGAATGTTCAAAATAAGATGCCAATATAACAGGGTACTTATAAGTCATGGCATCCCTGCAGTGTCAGCATTGTTCTCCCGCCTCCTCCCCCCCCCCCCCCCAAAAAAAAATAAAGTTGTTATTTAGTGCTTCTCCAGAGCATGTAATGGCCAGGCTTTGGTTCATGTGGAGTACACAATACAATTCGGTCTCAAAGGAAGGGGCTAATAATTATACTGTCCTTGTGTACATCCCCAGTTTATTACATGCGCACTGATGTGTCTTTTGTGTTCAAGGATGTTCCACTCCAGTGCTAAAGGAATTAGGGGCTGCAGCAGGATGAGTAGGCTAAGAAAAAATATAAGGATGTGTGTTTCCAATCCACTATTGAAGCATGGAGCTATAAGATTGAAGTAAATGGCACGCAATGGATCCAGGGGTCGATTCAGAGGGGTTTTACATGCACAGATGTAACTTTGGCACTGTGCCTGTAAAGTGTTGCCTGTGCATGCAAAATGTCCTGTTTTTCAAGGGAAAATCTCAGTTGTGCGTGTAACTTTTATTTTCTTAAACAACCCCTGGATGGCTCATGCCAGACACATGGCAACTGATCCAACTGACTGGTACTACCATGTATTCCAAGCAAAGTATAATTGTTTGGAAATTTGGTGAATAAATGCTACCTTCTGATGTTACACTGTGTCACTGCGCAGTATAATCATGTAAATTAAAGTCACTCTTGTTACTCTTGTAGATTTTTTTTTTTTTGCAAATTTCCTAGAATAAAACAACACAAACAAGCTAAAAAAACATACACACAAGTCCATAGTGTTTAGTAGCCATGTTTGCATTGGTAGCCATGTTTGCATTGGCGTGATCCTGTTGCTGTGCCAATTATCAGACTGGTGGCGATCTAACGTGGTCACTTTGATAGTGAATTGCCCCAACCTAAAAAAATCATGCAAAACCTAAAACTTGTGTGACCACACCCCCCCCCCCCAATTCCCATAGACTTGTGCACAACAGTTTTAATTTTTAATGTCAATTTTACCTTATTCCCCACAAATATTGGTATATTTACATTTTGGACCGTGAGTAATCGATCTAGCCTGCCTCTTAAGAGGAGTTGTGACATGTCCGGTGTCTCAAAGAGTTGTGACCTTTTGAAAAAAATTACTGGTTGATATTGTTTTGAAAGATATACATTATAAGTTGTCAGCTGTTTTACTGAAAAGTTACAGTGAGGAAAAAACTATTGAGTGAATGAACATTGAACCCATTGCAACTCTTGTATTTGTTACAATTTTATGACTAGAGGTGCATGTATGTACAGTAGCAGTGTGTTTCCAAAGTCTGTTCTCAAGTGCAGACTGAAAATATTATTGAAGGTTCTAATAAATACAAGATAACAAGATGCTGTTTAGCAATATCAATGAAGAAATATTGAAATACTTGCAAAACAAGCATTGAGCTGGTGTGATGGAAAAGATTAAGTGTTTTTAAAAAATTAACAATAAATAAGTTCAGTTTTGGGGGACAATTTACAGGGAGGAATTTTTTTTAAAAATTTTAAGGACCATCCAATAATAATATTTTTGTTTGTATTTGTGGTATTTATACTGAAAACAGTCTATAAATTGAACATTACAATCTCTTTTTGTAAAACATGTTTTCCAGATTTTTTTTTTTTTTGCTGATGCCTTTAATTTCAGGTTTTCGGTGGGCTATTGATTATTGTCCCCCTGGGTGAGGTAGCCTATGCCATTGCAGAAGTCATCATACCAACACACCAAATAGCGGGGATTTATCTTCTAACACCAACACTTGTCACACTAACCATGGTAAGAATTAATTTAGTCATGAAAATCGTAGAGTAAGTAGTTACATTTTAGTTAATCCTCATAAAGCACCGAGATATGTGAAATAATGAATGATTAGGCCTAATAACCTACAGAATAAAAAGTTTCCGCAAACCAACTGCGATGACCTGAATTATTAGAATCATAAAAGTTTAGCATAAAATGTTATTCCTTGCTAAATTTTTCTCTTCACGTTTATGATAAGTAACCTCATCACAAGCTTTATCTATGCACTATTGAATTGTTTCATTTTCTATCTTGTCTAACGTTAATGTTGTTCCTAAAGTTATCAAAGAAATGAAAGAATAAATATACATTGTACTATATTGCCCAAAAGACTTGGCAAGCAAGGAAAACAGTTTCACTTCCAAGGCTAATGTTATCGTGTAACCTCAGAATAAGAATCAGTTTTGCACTCCGCCACAAGAATATGTAATGAGAGGACCATTTCATCACAAGTTCACCTTTGGCTTTCGGAACAATCTTATGTTTCGTTTGCGGTTTTTTGGTATGTGCTTTATATCACATGATACATTTCCTTTTGTGGACAGCACATTCTACGTATCATTGCATAATGTACAAGTAGTCCATGCTTATCCAGTGTAGTTACGGTATATTTCCTGTTGTTACTTATATACATGTACTGTAGCTAATTATACCAGAGTCATCGTGTTGATGTCACAGGAAACGAGTGGTCCATTGTTCAAGATTTGGGCGGGGGGCCTAAGAAGGAAATGGTCGCAATATACATGTGTTTTGTCCACAATGATTTTGGAGATTTCTATCAAAGGGAATATACAACATTTGCAAAAAACAAAACTACCAAAACAAAAGGTCAAATAAATCAGTGTAACAATATTTGCTATAAAATACTGAACCAAAAAAATCCATATCTGAAAATTACAGCAAAAGCAAATGGTGTATGTTCCTTTTAAATTCTTACTTTGTCAGCTTTTGGCTTAAAATACATTTTATTTATTTAATACATGTGAAAAAAGATATTTCTGCCATGTTCAGCATTTTGCATTTCATCCAGACTGCTTTTTATGAGAGACCACATTTACACTGTGATACTAGCCCATAATGTGATTTTCCCTTTTAAAAGCCAGGATCGTTTTTATACCATGATTTTCGATGTTTATAGTTGACTGGGTCCAGTGTAACACTATCAGGTTAATCCCGTAATGCAATTAGTTACACCACAGAAGGCAAATCCACACTTTTTGGGTATAGGCATTCATAATACACTTGCATTCTGCAGGTTACACAGCGATGACACTGTATAGTTTGACAAAATCAGGATTTCTGTTTTTCGTGCATCAACTTTAACAACCCCAAAAATTACTGGACAAAAATGCCTCTGAGGAATGATACAGGTGTTGTTCAGTCAAGCAGTACTTATTGTTCCCTGCTGGTGGTAGGCCTTCATCAGGTGCTAAACTTTAAGGTATTTATGACTGTTGGATACGACAAAGCAAAAGGCATGTGCTTTCAAAGAAGGTTAGAGTTTAATTCCTTTCCTACATTTGTCATACCTTATTGGCTTTTCATCGCAAAAAAAAAATAATAATAATAATTCCATCTTATGAATTATTGGCTTTTGAGAGTAGAAGGCAATAAAACATATTTGAAGTTTGTAAAGGCCAGCATTATCCCAGTGTCAATGAGGGTCTGAGATCAGTCTGAGTGAAGTTCCCTTATTGCAAAACGCTGAACGTGGCAGAAATGTCTCTTTCACATTTAAACAAAATGCATTTTGACATTATTTTGTCGGGATTTTGCTTAGTTTCATTGTTTCAACCTTCTTGAAAATTGTAAAACTTTAATATTAACAGTTCTTGATGAATAACTGTGCGGTTCTCCTTTTTCCCTTTACATATATTTATGATTGAGTTTGGCGGATTTGTATTTCTATCTGATAGTATTTGTTGAAATATGTTGGGTAGGTTACAGTTAAAAACAAGTTAAGGGTCGAAAGTGTCACAAAAGAAAATCATCCGAAGTTGTTTATCCAATCAGATTCTGGCATTCATCATCATGCAAGTCCAACGAATCAAAGGAGTGCAGACGTCCTGGGTGCTATTCATATTCTGGCTTCTGTCAGCTGTCTGCGGCATTGTGGAGTTTATATCTAGGATATACTCTGCACGGCATAGAGATCAGGTATATCAAAAATGTCTATACTGTTATTAAACAAATTTAAAATTCCATTACTTCACTGTCACGCTACCTCCGTTGTTGTTGTGCTATAAAGCAGAACTTTGTTTTGGTATCCACAGATGCAGTTTGACCTGTTCCACTTTGCGACTTTCTATTTTTACTACGCTCTGGTGCTAGCCAAACTTGTTTGTTCGTCAATCGTCGACAGAAGGCCCTACTCTACCACAGATACTGTAAGCAATGCTTTGTTCAATGATTATTCACTGCTTTTGAAAAAAAAAAAATTTCACAGAGTACATTTACAATTTTTATTTTATGAAAATGTTTAGCTTATTAATTATTGTTATTTATTATTTCTGATAATGAAACCAAGGATTCCTCGATGAAAGTTTTTGAAAAAGTTCTGAAGTTTGTTTAATTAGTACAATAACATACGTTTGAAGAACATCGTCTGCCTTATTGACAAGTAACAAATCACTAGACAATAAAAACCAGACAATTACTATTTAATATTTAATCAAAATGTTTAGCTTTTGTTTGTCAAAAAATTGATTCAGCAATTTTCACAACACACCGACTGCATGTCACACAATTTCAAACATTATTTTCTACACTGTTCCAAATGGTTCGCACATTGTGATTTAGATTAATTATTGCCATTTTAAAAAAAATTTGCCTATTCCTGTGTCATAATTTTTCAAGAAAAATTGTTCCATTTTTGCAGAACCCTTGCCCAGAATCTTCAGTGTCGTTCCTGTCCAGGCTGACGTTCTGGTGGTTCTCAAGGTTTGCTATTCCCTTTTTTGATCATTGCCCCTTTCTAATATTTCTAATGTTAACTTGTATGCCCCTTTCTAATATTTCTAATGTTAACTTTTATAAAGTTGTATATAGCCAAATACATTTGAGCCACTGTTTTCAGAAATATTCCCCAATTTGTTTCTTTCCTAAAACGTCACTCCTTAATCCTTGTGTAACTGTTTTAAATCTTGCAGCATGGTTGTGAAAGGTTACAAGAGGTCACTGACCTCAGATGACCTTTGGTCACTGCTGGACAGGGACAAGGCGGCTGCGGTCATGCCCAGATTCCTGAAGACCTGGAAAAAGGAGAAACTCAAGTAGGTCATCTTCAAGTTTTGATTCTCAATGGAAAAGTGAATTTGACGTCACAACATTATGTGAGGGCAGCAAAACAGCTTCTGAAATTGTATTGGTTGCTATGCCCTGTAAGAATTCTGCCGTCCCTGTATTTATAATTTATACTTTTATAGTACTGGGAATTATTTTAATATCAGAATTTATAAGGAGAATGAGACACAGGCCATTCCCTGAACACTGTCAATTTCCCATTTAGTTTGATCGAACAAAAATAAAAGCACCGAAAACTTTTACTCCATTTTAGATCGGACCTATCGGTCCATCCCCCGGCTGCTAAACAAAAGAAAATGGGCAGCCAGATACCCATGCAGAAGTTGGAGGAATCTGGCGACGGCCACCGTAACAAAGTTGATGAAGTCGCATTCTCAGGAACACCTTCCCAAAACACTAAGAAGCCCGAGAAACACACCTCAGACACTGATGCTATCATGAGGGGCTACAAAGCGTCTCTGTTCAAGACAATTGCTCGGACGTTTGGCCGCGTTTTCCTGATAGGATGCTTCCTGAAGCTTCTCCATGACATCTTGCTGTTTGTCAGTCCACAGATACTCAGGTTGGTATAGATTTCCAAACTCAAAACGTTGTGAGAGTGCATGCAAATGTATTCCATGTAAAAAACCAGCAGTGTTTACCTTCAGACACTCAAAGCGTTTGGTACCCTGAAACAAGGGACAACTTACAATGGATTTGTGTGTATTTTTCTAGTGTGTGAAAAAGGGGCCATGCTAACTTTTTTTCGACAAGCCTTTGCATGATGCCAGACGCAACTTGAATTTTTGGACAATCAAATAAAAATTGAAACCAACCAAATATAGGATGAAAAATAGTTTTACATAGCATTGTAAGTCTTCAAATAACAACCGATTTCTCCCCTTTTCACCCCCTAGAGGACTCATTAGATTCACAGCTGATAAGGGTATCTACCAGTGGGAAGGCTACATGTACGCCTGTCTTCTATTTGTTTGTACCATGATTCAGTCATCATTGCTTCATCAATACTTCCACATCTGTATGTTGACTGGCATGCAGCTACGCACGGCTCTCATTGGCGCTGTTTATAGGAAGGTAAAGTGCTGGTGAATTGCTATCCCTGTGGCTAACTTGTTACGTCAGTAACTTGTTTTTCTTTGAAATATGCTGAAAAACATCTGAATGCTGTGAAACATTCGAAAACATCTAGAAGAGTCAGGACCAGTACCAACAATAACAATTTAGCTGCACTGATTGACCTCGTAAACGTCATCTAAAAATGTGTCAAAATGCCAAAAACTTTCCAACTGCACTGATCAGCCCATAAACATTTAGGAGCCTCGGAAATTAACATATTGTTAATCAGGCAAAAGCATACAGCTTAAAATAATAAACTGCTGATTTTTTTGCACATGGAAGGTATATACTTTCAAAACATTTCCTGTATTTTTCCCTGTAATCTGATGCAAAATGTGGCTTTTCTTGTGGTTTTGTCTGTGTGGCACAATGTTTTGAAAATCAATTTACTGGATTTTATATCTCTGATTCCAAACCCCCTAGGCCTTGATTCTGACCAACTCGGCCCGTAAGGACGCCACCACCGGCGAGATTGTCAACCTGATGTCAGTGGACGCCCAGCGCTTGATGGAGCTCTGTACGTTCGTCAACACTCTCTGGTCCTCACCGTTTCAGATCTTGGTGGCTCTGTTCTTCCTTTGGCGGACGCTAGGCCCCTCGGTCCTAGCTGGCTACGGTGCCATGGCATTAATGATTCCACTGAATGCCTACATCGCTATCAAGATCCGGGGAATACAGGTATAAATGAAGTTTGAGTCTACCCCTTACTTTTAATATGTAGCCGTTCCAAAAGTGCAAGTAACTTTCTATACCTGTACAGGTTTTGAAAAAGAACATGTCGAATAATTTGTTTTCATTGTCCATTTTCTCTGAGAACATTGATATTGGATAACTAGCATGCTTTACCAGTTGAAATTAGAGTCCCTCAATTATCTAAAAAATAAAAAAAAGTGAAAAAGGAATACGAAAACATTTGATTTCTTGTATTGTTATGGTGCCACATATGTCATTGTAAACAAACATAAAGTCTGTGTGTATGATATTCCAAGAAATGGTTTTAGTTGTGCAGTATTTGCACATTCCATTTATACTGTCCAATGACTTGTCAGTGTACTTCTTAGGAAAGCTTATACATGTATTGAGTACCAAGTCTAAACCACAATCGATCAGACTTTTAGAAAATCTTGTGATTTCCTTGACTTACAGGCGAGGCAAATGAAGGAGAAAGACGCTCGTCTGAAACTGATGAATGAGGTCCTGAGCGGCATCAAGGTGCTCAAGCTGTATGCCTGGGAGACTGCGTTCCGAGACAAGGTCATGGAAATACGCAATCGAGAGGTCCGACTGCTACGCATGTCATCCTACCTTCAGGCTACCATGACATTCATGTGGACAAGCGCCCCGTTTATTGTAAGTTGGCAATTTGGAAATTGGCAGAGTGTTCTCTTGTTCACTGATTGGAAAAGAAAATTCGCTTTGTAAGTGTGTAATGAGCTTATGCTCACTGTGTGGAGGGTGTCGAAAAAGCTACAGTTTTGTTTGTAACATCTTTACACGCCTACTTGGGACTCGAACCCGCAACCTCCTGCTTTCTTGTGAAGATGTCTTACCACTCAACCAAGCTTAAAAGGTTTAGTCATGAAAGACCTTACAAAACACTCATGTAACATTTTTGCATTTGTTGTTTGTATTTTCTCAAGGTGGCCTTGCTGAGTTTTACTGTCTATGTTTTCGTGGATGAAGAAAATGTGTTGGACGCAGAGAAAGTCTTCGTCTCGATTTCGCTCTTCAACATCCTCAAGTTTCCCTTCTCAATGTTGCCCAGTATGATCTCCCGTACTATGATGGTAAGATACAGTATATTGCCCTCTTCACCGGTCAATATTTTACCCATATTGACCTGAATGGGAGCATAGTCAAACGACTGGGGACTGTGTTTAAGACTGTTTAGAGGGTACATGTATAAACTACTCATACCCTGTCTTCAAGTTTTAAACATTATTTTTTATAGAGTTTTCAGGTAAAGTATGACAAATTTATATACTTTTGAGTTTTTGTTTTGAATTTTTGACCAAAACCAAATACTATTTGTATGTTAAATATAAATTTTTCTTGTCTTGCCTAGGGCCATGTTTCTCTAAAACGTCTTGAAACCTTTCTGATGAAGGACGAGCTGGACACCAAGAGCGTGGAAAGATTCGTCGAAGGAGGTGAATTATAATTGCAAGATATACATTGACGTGAAAGAGACTAATATTGTTAGTTCATGGCTTGTTGCACAACTAATGAATAAGTTGGCTCAGATTATGTTTGCATTATCTCTGTTTTATTTCATTTCTCTATAAACTCCAGGATTATATCTGTCTTATTCTTAATTCTCATTTCATCTTCATTTCCGTGTAATATTTCATTTTTATTTTGCATTTAAATATTGTTTTGTTTCATATGTTGCATTGATTTCCAGACCATGCCCTGCACATTAACGATGGCAGCTTCGCTTGGTCGAGAGGTGACAACTTAATTTTAAAGAAGTATGTTTTTTTTTAGTGTGTCATTGTTTATTTAAAAATTTGAAAATATTTCCAGTTTAGTTTGAAATCGAAAATTCACTCCCAAATTGTCATACTTCCCCTTGATTAACTCTGTGAGCAAGATAACACACACAATCCCAACACACACACTGTTTGGGTTTTTTCTCTCTCTTTTCAGCATCAATGTGAAGATCCAGCCTGGTTCCTTGGTTGCCGTGGTGGGTCAGGTGGGATGCGGCAAATCATCCCTCCTGTCTGCATTGCTGGGAGAAATGGAGAAGATCAGTGGAACGGTCAACGTCAACGTAAGCTTTGCTTTATGCTCACAACTCAATTAATAATGTATTTGAGATCTGGTACCTAGCATGTTGGAGCTTGGAAACCAGACCACATACGTGCACAAACTCTGTTCATGAACAGTACAGTACTCTGTGGTATTGAAAGGGTATAAGAATTCAGGATTCAAAGGATTGATTTTACATTTCCCCCTCTTTTATCAGGGTTCAGTGGCCTACGTGCCCCAGCAGGCCTGGATCCAGAACGCCACACTCAGGAGTAACGTCATGTTTGGGGCACCGATGCACGAGACGGAGTACCAGCGAGTCATTGAAGGCTGTGCCTTGGCACCAGACCTGGAGATACTGCCGGCCGGGGACCTGACTGAAATCGGCGAAAAGGTATTTCGAATTAGGAATCCTGAAAAGATGTTGATGAAAATATCATGTAAAAATTTGTTATATTTTTAGTTATAAACAAGACCATTGTTTTTCTATCAAACGTATTAGTTTTGCTCATTGCTCAATTTCTATGGAATTTATGGGTTTTAATTGCTGTTTGCCCATTTCCCTTTTTGAGATGGTACTTGTGTATGAAGTTGACAAATACTTTTCCGAAACGTTCTGCAAACACGTCCTGTTTCATATTTTATATTTATCAGGGTATCAATCTTAGCGGCGGTCAGAAACAACGGGTCAGCCTGGCACGAGCCGTCTATAATGACGCCGACGTCTATCTCCTAGACGACCCCCTCAGTGCCGTGGACTCCCATGTCGGCAAGCACATCTTTGACAAGGTGATCGGGCCCCAGGGTCTCCTCAAGAACAAGACGCGGGTTCTGGTCACTCACGGGATCAGTTTCCTGCCTCAAGTCGATCACATCATCGTCTTGGTTGATGGTGAGATCACGGAGGTTGGTTCCTATGCAGAGCTGCTGTCACACAACCAAGCCTTCGCCGAATTCCTGAGGAACTACAGCAATGAGGCCGAGGATGCTGAAGAAAATCTGCCAGGTAGGAAACAAAAAATAGTCCGCATAGGAGGTGCTAATGGGGAGGGGAAAACATGACTTTTTGAAAAATCATGAACTTCCCCCTCTTTTGGTTCCTCCGTGACAACGTATAGTCGGATAAAGAACTAAGTATACAAACTGCGTGAGATTTAAATGCTAAATATTTCAACAAATTATTGGTTATTTTATTGTCCATTACTCAGAGCACATCATTATTGAGGGATTTGAAACAGGAAAACTTCATGTTGATTCATGTTGACAGAGATACTTTGAAGAAAAAGATTACAGTGTGAATTACTTGGGTTATTTTCTCATCTGTTTTCAGGAGACGTAGAAACAAAAGCTGCTGACGGATCACCCAGTCATAGAGAAGCAAGCCCAACTAAGTAAGTCCGCATGTAATTGCACTGTTTTAAACTTTGAACTTAATTCAAATCTTAAAAAAAAATTGATTCAGTATAATTCTGAAATGTAAGTCTGAATGTGGGTTACAGTTTCCAAGACAAATTGCAACAAATCAAACTATCATTTTTTTTTGCATTTTCTTTTCAGGATATCTACGGCCTTGAAATCCCACCAAGAGGAGGAGGCACTGAAAAAGAAGATATCTGAAGATCAGCTGAAGAAACAACGAGAGCAGGATGCGACTAAAGCAGCCCTGGCCAAGGAAGGAGACACTCTGATCAAGAAAGAGACATCGGAGACAGGCATGGTGAGAACCGAAAAGCCAGAGCCACAGCTCAATCCATTTATCCTAGGGCTATGACTTTGTGTTTTTTGACATGCTGAAGTATAGAGCTAGAGTTATAGCCGAGTCCATCACAAGTCTAATGACCAGCTTATCACAGGGAAGGTCTAAAGTAATCTTAGATGGGCAATAACAAAGGAATGCTTTTGTCACAGTTTGTTGGAATGGCTTGTGATTTGACTTGAGACTGAAAGACTTTGAGGAACTTTTAAAAAGATATTAACTTTGGAGTAAGATTTGAAATTTTGCCTGGCGTTAGTTTTAGCTAGTGTGATTTGCGGTAACACCATGTGCAGAATCTCTTTGGAAAAGATGTGCGGTTCTGAAAAGAACCAGTTGATTGTGAAACTCGACGTTCCAATCAGTGTGCTCTGATGATGTTTTACAACTAACTGGTTCTTTTCAGAACCACACATCTTCTCAAAAGAGGTTCTACACACGGTGTTACTGCAAACTCTCACTAGTTTGAGGAACTTGCGAGCTGTAAACTGAAATGCCCATTTTGGTTGGACCCAGCCTAAAATGTCCTAACAATACGAATAACTCACAATATGGAAGAGCGACCATTAATGTTTTTACAACATTAGACCTGTGACCTCAGGAACAAGGTACCATTGCTCTACCAACTGAGCTATCCAGCCCTGTGTTAGCGGTTTCCAAATTTATCCAAGTCCTTGTCAAGAGATACTAGTCAGAAGCCATAAACCCATGTGTGCTATGTGGCCAGGGACTGCGTCCTGCGTCACAAATCCTTATTCAACAACTTAAACGACTTTTGAATGTGGACGATTTTTTTCTGCTTCCATTTCACATATGTTAACAGACGAGGATGCGAATCTTTATCCTGTACATCCGTTCGCTGGGCAACTTTCTCTTCCTTCTAATCTTCCTGCTGTATGCTCTCTTCAACGCTGACGCCGTGTTTATCAACGTCTGGCTGAGTCGCTGGAGTAGTGAGGAACTGGTCAACGGAACCACTCCTGAGGAGATACGGGACAAGTACTTGGGAGTTTATGGTTTCTTGGTCTTCCTACAAGGTGAGAGGTCACAACTTGTTGTGGTTGACATGGAAGTATAGAAGTTTGTAGGTGACATTTTCTACAGTGTCCAAATGTCAGAAGTCAATGTCACAATACAGGGTGTAACGTACGGCATGCATAGGATTTATGCAACAAATCTGTTGTACAGCTGCGCAGTGAACTTACAAATGAAATTTATTTACTTGCTTGGCTGCTGATTTGATTATTTCTAATGAATATTTACATTCAGTGTTTATTCCTTTGTGATTCTTATTTTATAATAATAATACCGGAGTTTTATATAGCTTGTATCTACCAACAATTAGGTACTTAAGGCGCTGGTAATTATGTCTAATTTTAAAGACAGGTGAATGAAGTTTATGAGAAATGTGAATCTCACTATGTAGCACCTTTAAAAGGGTTTACAAGGTGCTGCGATGCATTAAGCAGCCATTGCCAGAAACACCTGGGCAAACCCCTTCTCTTAGCGATACGTGTTACTGGGTTCTTTAACGTGCATCACACAACACGCCTACGGCTTTACGTCCCATCCGAAGGAAGAAGCAATAATGGTAAAGTGCCTTGCTCAAGAGCACAAACACCATGTTCCCCGTCAGGGTTCGAACACCGTGTAACCGTTGGACCATAGTACCGCCTCTTGGCCTTGAGAGCTTAATAAATACATAAGCAATGAAGCAATAATTTACTGAAGGTCCATAAAGAGCCCAGCAACCTTTACTTTGCTCCAAGTTGCCAAGAGTGTGGCTAGATTAAGAAGGGCAAGGTTAAGAAGTCCTTGAAACTGACTTATTAGATTGTTGCATTTTGTAGGTGTGCTACTACTCTTGGCAGCCATGCTGCTAGCGATGGGCGTACTCAAGGCCTCTCGTTCCCTCTACCTACGCCTCCTGACTAACGTCCTGCGCTCCCCCATGTCGTTCTTTGACACCACGCCAACTGGTCGCATCCTGAACCGCTTCAGCAAAGACACGTACACCATTGATGAGAGCATTCCCTTCGCGGTGGCCTCGTTCTTGAGGATGTTTATGCTGGTTGTGGCCACGTTTATCGTCATCACCTGGAGCACGCCCATATTTGCAGTTGTCATTGTGCCGGTGATCATATGCTTTGCGCTTTTACAGGTATGTTTGAACTTATGAGAATGCAACCATTGTACTACTTTAAGACATGTGGGGTCAATTGCAATCAGTTTGACATCATTTACTGACGTAACAGTTGCATTACATTCACATCTCAATGATGTATGACACAGCTACGTGAGACAACGACTGCCAGTTTGCATGGCATACAGATCTTTTTATACTCAACCTTTGTTGTTGACATTGCAGAGATTCTACGTAGCCACTTCCCGTCAGCTGAACCGGATTGAGTCCGTGGCCAGATCGCCGATCTACGCACATTTCTCCGAGTCCATAGCAGGAGCTACATCCATCCGTGCCTACGACAGCTCCGAGCGATTCATTAATCAGAACCAGAACCTTGTGGATGTTGATCAGATTGCTTACTACCCAACCATCATATCCAACAGGTATGAGACTTTTAATCGGAGAAGCAGAACTAACTTGGAAAAAGTATGAACAGTCCAGTGAGGGTACATGTTATTATATGACTTTTTCTGTATTTTTTAACTCCTACAATTCACCGAAACATGCATGCAGTGGCAAGCATAACTTTTGTAGTGTGGGGAGTGTGACCTTGTAGTTAGGGTTCGTGACTCATGATCAGAGGGTCAGGGGTTCAAATCCAGCCCCTGGCAATATGTTGTGTCCTTGGGCAAGCCACTTCACCCACACTTGCCTCTCTCCACCAAGGAGTATAAATGGGTACCGGCATTAGCTGAGGAGTAACCTGCGATGGACTGGCATCCCATCCAGGGGGAATAGAAATATTCTCTATCGTTTCATGGGCGTACTGAAACTGGAGATACCAGCCTGATGGGCCTTATTGGCTTGTGACCGACTTTACTTGCAGCTTTTGAAGTCCGTGCTAACGGAAAATTAAGGCATGAAGTTTCCCCACAAACCAAAGCTACTCCTTGTACTTTCTGATGTAATAAAACCATGACATTTTGTTTTTGTCAATTTTATTTTGTCCTTCTGCAGATGGCTTGGAATCCGTCTAGAGTTTCTCGGCAGTGTGCTTGTCTTTTTCGCCTCCATGTTTGCTGTGATTGGTCGAGACAGTCTGAGTTCAGGAATAGTTGGTCTCTCCATCTCCTATGCGCTAGAGGTTGGAACATTCAAAATTTGACTCTTTTTAATTTGAAATTGTAAAAAAAAAATAAAAAAAATTGAAATTTGTAAATCACTGGCACTGGTGACTTTGCTTATAGCTTGAAGTATGAAGAACGGTCACTAATTTTTAGTTGACTGTACACTTGACGGTTACTTCAGTATCGTCCATAACTACATTATACAACCGGGAATTTAGTTTGAGAAATGCATGGAGTGCAGCCTTTGTTCCAGAACTAAATTGAAATTCCATTTATTTTTCCCCCTAATTTGTTCCTTATTTCAGGTGACTAGCATTATGACTATGCTTGTCCGTGGCACTTGCAACCTTGAAAACCACATTGTGGCTGTGGAACGAGTTGAAGAGTACTGCAATATACCAACAGAGGTATGGCTGTTGAATAACTCTGTGGCCCTTTTGACACAATCATCAGCAAATCCCAATTGCCAACCTCAAATGGATACCCTCACACACAAGGCATTCATCTAATTTCCAAAAGGCTTTGAGAAATCCAACCATTTTTCAATCAATTCCAATTGTTTTAAGGAGTAACGATTCTGTTTGAAATCACTTGACATGTCCCCTGTAAAAAAAAATTGGTAACCCGCAACAAAATTTATGAATGAACTGTTCAACAGCACATAAGAAGACCTCTTGAGGATTCATCGTTAATGAATTAACAGAACAAAAAGAAAACCTTCAAGATGGCCGCTGTATGCAATTGATCTATTGCAGTGTACTTGGGGACTCGGAAAAACCTACCTGCAACATGCATCTCAAGTTTTCTCTTTCCAACTTTTTTTCGGTTTCTTTTTTTCTATACAGGCACCGGAAGTTGTTGAAAGCAATCGGCCTGCCTCTTCCTGGCCAGACACAGGCAAAGTGGAGGTGAATCGCTACAGCGTGCGCTATCGGGACGATCTGGATCTAGTACTGAGGGAAATCTCCTGCCACATTGAACCGGGAGAGAAGGTAGGTTGATTTCAAGCTCCCAATTTCTCAGGGGTTTTAGTCCAAAGGCAGTCCCATATATGTGAGGCCAAAAAAACCTTTTCGATTTTCAGATTTATTGATATTTGTAATCTTTGAAATGTCAACTACACATATTTTAAAGAAATAGTATACAAATTGTGGTGTAAAAGAGTTTTTGAGGAAAAACAATTGGCATCTTTCATTTTCATGTATGCAAAACTCAAAACTTTGGGCCTTTTTCTCAGTATTTGACTTTTTTGACACGTCGATAAATGCGAACTTTAAACATCCATATTTTTTTCAACGGAATGTCCAATTGAAGTGCAACAAACAGTATTGTTACGAGAATTTTATTCTCTTTGCTTATACCTGCAAACTCTCATTTCGACCTCGGCCCAGTCTCATTTTGACAGAACGCCTCACATATTTGATATTCTATTTTTCCCACAATGCAGTTGGGCATCGTTGGTCGTACCGGTGCAGGCAAGTCGTCTCTATCCATGGCGCTGTTCCGAATCCTAGAGGCCGCAGCTGGCTCCATTAAGATCGATGATGTTGATGTCTCCACCATTGGTCTCCATGATCTCAGATCACGCATCACCATCATTCCCCAGGTTCGTTTATTGGTATTTACATATTCAATAATTTATGTTATGACCTACATAATTTTAATCCATTTTGGTCATGAAACCATTGGTTCCTTGAAAGTACAACGACACTGTAGCTGCTAAAAAAGCAATTTTTGTTCATGGATAGTTGTTGAAATAGCCGGTGAAGTTGCTTCATGGTATGAAGATTTTTTAAATTCTCCCAGTCGTAAGCAGTGAATACTAAAGTCAGCAATTTCTTTGAATTTGAAGGATCTCAATAGTCCAGCGCATTCATTGACATGATTGTTTTTGTGTGCAGGACCCGGTGTTGTTCGCTGGTACCCTGCGCATGAACCTTGACCCTTTAGACCAGTACCCGGATGACCTCCTTTGGGACGTGCTAAAACATTCCCATCTGCAATCCTTTGTCTCGGAGTTGCCTGAGAAGTTACAGTTCAACTGCACAGAGGGAGGGAAAAATCTAAGGTGAGAAACATGTGGAGTTGTCTTCTGATCAAGTTTGAAATGTTAACGCAAAACCTGTGGCAAGACAACATTCTTTGTAAAGGTTGAAGGTCCATTTTTTTTTTTGTGTATCATTTAACAATTATCTGAAGCATCAGCATCATCTTCCTATACTGTTCAAAAACCTCTTCTGGAGTACACTCACACATTGATAATAACTTTGGTCTTTTTATTTTGCAGTCTTGGTCAGCGGCAGTTGATCTGCCTGGCTCGGGCCTTGCTACGAAAGACCAAGATTCTAGTCCTAGATGAAGCCACAGCTGCCGTGGATCTAGAAACTGACGATCTGATCCAAGCAACAATACGCACTGAGTTTGCCGAGTGCACGGTCATCACCATAGCGCACAGACTCAACACTATCATGGACAGTACCAGGTAAGATTGTTGTATGTCTTACTCTGGAGAATATCAGAATGACTCTTTAACAAAAACAAAAAGGGATAGTTTACAGTTTTTGGTTAGGTCAAGACTCTGTGAAATTTGTTTAATCAGTTTCTGAAATGCTTGTTTGGTTTTCAAAATGGCAGAATTCTTGTCCTGGATGCCGGCGAGATTGCAGAGTTTGACACACCCAACGAGCTGTTGAAACGAGGAGGAATCTTCCATTGTATGGCCAGGGATGCAGGGTTGATCTGAGGGGAACATCAAGGACAAGGTCCTGCGATGGAAGACAAGGCCTTCTTGCTAAGCGTAAATCAGTTGCTTATAAGAAATAAATGCTGTGAACCAGTCACAGGGCCGATCACATTACACATTTTAGTTGGTAACCAGGAAACAATTTCATGGTTATGCTAACCACAGACCTTTCTGCTTATGATCAACGCTTAAATTCTGCGCTTAAAATTCCTTGCAGATCCTTTTAAATACAGTTACTTTTCAGCAAAGGAGATTCAGCCTCGGTTATCGAAGAGTTCCTGACTTAAGGTGAGCAGAGCCATGAAATTGGGACCTGGTCTTGCTGAATAATTGGGTTTTTTTGTTCAGCATAATTTTGTGCCATGGCTCCACAATAGAAACCCACCCTTAAACAAAACCCCCCTAAACTCAACAGTGTATTCCTGAAATGAAATCACATCAATCAGTACCCACAGTTGTCGGGGAAAGCATGGAATATTTTAAATATTTAAAAGAAGTGCACTTTTCAATCAAAGTAACCAAAAGGAGATGTCAAATAGCTTTGACATAATTAAGTGGAGTAGACTGGCTTAAAATATGTTTTGTTTTTCCACTTTTTTTTTCATATTAATATGTATATCCCTTTTTAGCATTGCATGTATTTTATAATGGTTTGATCTTTGAATACACTTTACTGTAAAAGTGGCGATGTCACAGAGAAAAGGCAATATGTTTCTACATTAAGTAGAAAAAAAAGGTTGTTTTATGTATACAGTATTCCTTCTTTAGAATCTAATCTTTGTGGAATGTGTGTTGGTTGTTTACTCAGTATTACAGCTAATTGTAAATATGCATTCAAATGTTGTAGAAGTGTAGGATTGCATGTGTTCATGATGTTCGAGTTAAGTGAAGTGAATTTTGATTTTTGTTTTATTTTGCGATCTTTAGCTGAATCAGTGCTAATGAGAGAAATTTTAATTATGAATTTTAACTATATTACTAGATGAAGCTTTTATAGTTCAAAATGTTTTTGCTGCTGTTTGTTATAAGGTTTTACATGTATTCCGGGCCTCAGCAAAATATGCAGACAACTATTTAAAACAAAGATTGCGGTTTCACAAGTACCCACAATGTTGAAATACTACTGAAATTTTTTAACAGTTCAAATGAAATTGTTCTTATCTGTACACAAACCATTTCTAGAAGTAAGAATTTTTGAATTTTCAATGAGTATTGGGCGAAAAGTATAAAAGTTTTAAAATTAAGTCTTGTCCGTGGTATATTTGGTCTACTTTCCTGCTGATCTAAAAATAACTCTTCTCATATGTGATTTTTCTTTAATTTATCCCACTTATTTGTATTTTTAATTTATATTTCCCCTATCTTTCAGAATTTGCTCCCAAAAAGGAACCTTTATTGTGTTTCTGAGTTAAAAAAATCTCAACACTCGAGAAACAAAATGCATGAATAGGTGAAATGAGCATGTATACAAGACAAAAAAAAATCCACTTTGCAAAAACATGAGGTGACTGTGACTCCAAAAAGCATGTTATTATGGAGTCAAAGGGCTGTGGGTTCCTGGACTGCCATCTTCATGAAGTGAGTTGAATCCTTTCCGAGGACCAAATCCTTTCTCTGAAATTAGGTAGTATCGTTAGAATTGCATCATAGAAAAACACGGTTCGGATCCTCGGCTCTTCAGGTTTTCAAATCAAGACCTTGCGGAAATATTTTGCATATTTCTTTCAATACTCATGTCAGGCCGTGAATCCTCATACTCATATTCCACTATTTTTTGCAATGGAATGTACAAGCACTTTACAGCTATAATAAGACTAATAAACTCCGATTTTAAAAATATATTTTATTCATGAACACATTTTGGGTCATTTAAAAAGTGCCCAATTTTGTATCCGGACCCAAAACCTGGAAAGGCCAGCGCAACATTAACAGCAATAAACCATTCAGATTTGCCCGCCGTTGCAATTTCGTAAGCGGTGCATCACTTGACGCTAGTGGGCGATCTACCCTTTTTCTTTTCTTTGTAATATTTCGAGAATCCTGGAGTAAAAGGGATTAGAATAAACTCCCACATCAATTTATAAAGTGCATTCGTCTTGACTCCTCTGGTTTAACTACATCCCAAAATATGCAAAATAATGGGAATTTGAAAACCCGAGGGCCAAGTTCCGTAAGAACCGTGGCCGGCCGTATGGTTAAAGAAGACGATTGGAAATCATTCGCATTTGGTTTTCGAATGCGATGCCAAAGTGATTTATCACATCCAAAATAAATACTTCACCTTCCTTTTCAATATGGACAAAACCAATCAATCATTTGTTATGACGTTGTATAAACACTACAGCGAAAGCAAACTTGAGTCGTCGACACTGATTTTTTTTATCACGCTTTTTTTTCTTCAAACTTTCCTATATCGTAGTCTACTTTAAAATCAGCGATACATAAGCCTACCATATGACACATTGTGTGCAGCTATATGAACCAAATGAAGAGGGTTCAATCTGGCGTCGCATAATATCGCCTGGATGAGTTAACTAATTCTCTAATCAATTTTTGGTAAACGATTAATGACAGAATATGTCACTTCATCGATTCATATGTCATGTCATATTTGTGTACAGAGCTGCCACGTCGCTGATCAATAAAGTCAATGGGCCACTTCAGTATATAATGAGCTACGATTAGGTTGTTGAAGGACTTGAAGCGGCACGACGAACGAGTGTTTCTCAACATTATTGGGTATCGACATCCACGTCCCAGAGGGCCAATAAGGTACGTCTATTGGTAGTACTTACATTTTAGGATTAGATCCGCAGTCTATTGAAGCATATTCGGAACTATATGTTAGCAGAATATATACGGGTCGGTTCGAAGTTATCACGAAGTGCCGTCTTAACACTTTCAAAAGAAATTTATTTCATATTTCGATTGGATTTGACACATTTTGAATTGTGAACTGTAAAAGATTGTCACATTCAAGGTCCCTCTTCACAAATTGGTCACTATTAACAAAATGCATCCGTTGTGTTTATTGTTCTGAACTTGTTGAATATTTTATTTTTATTTAGTATTATTTATTTGTTTGGTGTGCGACGATTTATATATGACATCTGAAAAGAATGCGATATCACTTTATAAAAAAATTGGAATTCAACAACATTATAATGTAATCATTCACCTTAATATGATATGGTACGCCCACATGTGTTTTGTATAGTATATGTTTGGTATTTGTCTTTTCTCAGGAGCCAAGATGGCGGCGTTTACTTTGGTCTTTGCGCTGTCTCTGTTGTTTATGGCAGGAGTTGCAAACACATGTGAAGTCGTTGATGGTGGTAAGTCATTAAAAACTCGTGCCCCAAGCGGCCATTGGCATACATCTGTTGGAATTAATACCCCAAATCAGGCACCAATAAAAAGCGAAGTTAGGAGCTTGCAAATGCATCGAGTTAAAACAAATATTCACGACTAAAATTGAACTTTTCTTAATATCAGGGACGTTCCTTATATGTAGCAGTGGCCTTTTGCAACTAAAGATGAGGCTCCACACTGCACATGGAGACCCTTTTCGAGTCATGTGTAGGCCCGGTAGATTGCTACATTTATTGGCCAAGAACCCATTCAGATGATCAAAACTTACATGTAGACTCCTTTTCAATCCAATTATTCTTTAATGCAGTGTAATAATCCAAGCTTTTTTTGTGTTATTAAGTGGAATGCAGCGTTGTGGGCGCCACAGTGAAAGACGGTCTGCCTAAAAGCGTGTCAGGTAACTGTTTCACCTGTATTTGCATCAAGTACAATCGTGCCACCGCTGTCCAGTGCTGCTCAAAGTAAGAACATTATTCATGGAGCGCAATGACGTTACACCGCGTTGAATTCTGGGAACCACTGTAATGTTCACCGTGGTCAATAACGTTGAGATGTGTTTTCTCATAAGATGATCATTATGTGAATTAACGGTTTTTATAGAGATTGGCTACACATGAAATTAATAGTTAGACTTGAAATCAAGTCGTTAGACACTGTCGTGTTTTGTCCGACGAGGCCCCCAATATTACTAGCGCGGCGCTAGCTGCAGGCGCCCTGTATCGTGTTTACATCCAGCATCCGCGAAGCAACGTACACTCATAATGGGGCCGAGGATGCAGGATTCGTTCCCGCGTGTTATTATACCACGCGCTTCACGTAACCCCGGGAACTGATGCGGTAGTCAACGCCGGTGATGCGGCGCATGCGGACTAAACCCGGCCAATTACCGACTTGATTTCAAGTCTATTTACCAGTTGGAAGTTGATTTGTTTCAAATCACAACACCTTTGGGTACCGTGATTTTCGGATACGCCTTGTGAAGTGTCTATCTGTAGGAACATGACTAATGTGTGGTTCTGAGAATAATTAGAGGCATTTTCTCTTTCCACTTTTCTGTTAAAGTTATTCCTTTCAAACGATGTTTATGAAGTCATATTTTATCTCTTTTGTTCTCCCTATTTTGTAGTGCTCTTATGCCAACAGGCTACGACGAATCCAAGTGTGAGTTAATACTGAACGAGAAAACTTGCATGTACGCAGTGCACGAGGTGGAGTCGCCGCACAATGGCTGTCCCTTCACGGGCTACTTCTTTCCTACCTAAGCCAGCATTTGAGTTCGATGGACAACGCGACGGAGTTAATTCTCACCAGAGATATTTTCAAATAGACAACCACAAACCGACGTTTCCATTGAACAAAATCCACATCAATAAAATTGATTCTGTAAGATCGGGTCGCCAGTAGTTAACAAATCAAGAATCTACAAAATAATAGTTTGAAATTATCGGTTAATAGCTTTGACATGGTAACTGATTTGCAAAGTAAAAGTATACAGTGGAGGTATACTCGTAAGAATAGACTGACAAGTACATGTACAAAAGCCCATTGCTAAAATTATTCCAACTTTCCTGACCCCTAACCCCAATTTCCATTATCCGACCCCACGAATGCTGGTCACGATATTTACGTTTTGGACCATGAGCAATTGATCTAGCCTATTTGCCGACATTAAATTTTTGCCTCTAATAGGAGTTGCGACATTAGGGAGACATTGAAATGTCTCCTTAATGTCCGGTGTCTCCCTTAAGGTATAACTTGTGACGACATATGTTTCCTTAAGGGTACATTAATAGGAATAAAGGACTCTCGGACCTTTTGTTGTCATTTTGACGTTATAGATACCAATTGTCTAAGTCTCACTGTAGTACGAGTCTACAGTCGAAATTAGCACTTCATAATTTAACGGTTTGTAATAAATTTAACATGACGGAATGCATGGAAAAGTAATATTTTGGAGGAAAAGTCAAGCAAAATGATGCTGTATTCTGATAATAATAACAATCTACCAAAAGTGTATGCGCACTAACTCACTTTATAAGTTATGACCAGAAAGAAGCTAGGCTCCATCAACTTATTGAAATTTCAACCTGTGAAATGAAACAGATTTTAGAGTTAGAATAAGAGTTAAAGAGTATGCGATAATATGATAGTACAATTAAGGTTTTTCCTATAGGCAAAATTGCTTAATCAAGATTACATTGTTCCCTCCAAATTAATGAAGGCAATTTTATTTGCATAAAGTTTTAACAAAGCTACCTGGGTTCATGACGATGACTAGTTTATAGTGTTCTTGTTTTCTATTCCTAGTCTGGAACATTAATGGAATTTCACCGTGGAATTATCTCGAAAACAATCATGTTAATATTACACCGTTTTTAACTTATACTGATACAGACAAATTAACGATTTTGCATGCCAATTGGTGTACTCGGCGAGTCAAGTGATGCATTTTACATGAAGCTCATTGATTTTTTTCAACTTCGTCTCGAGAAACAACATCTGTTGCAAGACACCGCTTGTACAAACACTTAGATTTTGTCCAAGGCGTGAGTATGACGGGCAGTGAATTTAAAAGTTAATCATACAAGGCAAGTAGACATGCAAATAAAAACAAATAAACAAACAAAGAGGAAACCTATATTAAAACAATAATAGTTACAACGCTGCTGGATTTTTATGAAAATCAGGGCCCTCGATCAATATCTACACAAAAAAAATATGTATTAGATTCCGCAGGCCCCTTATTCAGAGTTCACCTCTTTAATGGTCAAAGGTCATCCACTGTTGACGGATAGTTGAAGCACTATGCACAAAGTAAAGTTGGGAGTTGACAACTACACACGCACAGCTGTTAATTATAGAGTCAACCATCATGTATGGGTTAATGGTTCTTGCTTTGGTGCTCGTTGTGTGCTATGCATTATGCAAGGCTAGCTACTTCTTACAGTTTTGGATCAAGTTCTTCATGTTCGGGATATGGAACAACTTCCTGGGACTATTGGTTGCCGTAGCGGGTCTGCTGAGCTTCAGGCCGGGAGATTCCATTAATTTCTGGTACGTGCGGATCTATGTATTTTACTCACAATATGATCCATTGTGCACATTCAGTCAAGCGGCATTTGTCATAAGGCTTATCTGTTTGTTAGGTACATGTAGTAATGTAATTGTGTTATCGACATACATGTACTACACTTGCGGTGTGCATGTGTCGCGTGAGGGGAGGTGGCGGGAGGGGGGCATGCACATCGAACACCCCCTCCCTTTCCCGGCTTGTTTCCTTGGGATCCCCTTCCCTCTTGAAACTGTTCGATTTTCATGACAGAAATAAAAAGAAAACTTAAATAATTGGCTATAAAGATTATATTTGAAAAGTTCAGTCACCCACCTTTTTGGGGTTGTAAGTCTAGGCCTATACGCCCACGTGTACTAATTGTCCTCAGAATGGGAACGTTTATAGGGTTCGACTATTTGTGATATGGAAAAGGTGGCAGGGCGGGGGGGGGGGGGCTCAAAACCTACCAAATAGTAGTCCAGCCTCTTTTTCGACCTTTGTTGCCGGTCGTAATATTTCGCTAGGCCTATTATAAAAAAAAAAAACTCCGTGGCGATAGGGGCCTAATATAAAACAAATCCGATCTGTGCATCCTTGACATTGTTTCGAATTGATCATTCTCTCAGGTGGTGGAATTTCTTCTCCTTCTGCATACAGTCCAACTGGCTGTTCGGTTTTGACATCCGAATTCTACGCAGTCTGGACAGACTTGATCGTAACAAGCCTTATCTTATTGTCACCAACCATCAGACCAGCATGGACCAATTCGGTACGACTACAAAGAAGAAAAGGGTTTCCCCAAACCCTGGTCACATTTGTCACCAACATGCCTCTCTTGTGTTTATCTATTTGAAAAAAATACAATAATTTGTTCAATAATTTTACAAGTAGGATGAAGAAATTGCGTGAATCGTGCATCAACTGTAATCGGAAAAGTTCGTGTATACTGCACGTGTGATTATTTTGTTGTCAATAATTTGCTACTAGTTATGCCATATGGTTATCTTTGAATTTTTGGAATTTCCCTTTTTTTTTGTTCGGATATGAATTGACAGTGTATCTCTCAGCTTGGGCACCGGGTCGCTATACCGTTCTCTCCAAGAAGTCCCTCAAGTACGCCTTGTTCTACGGGTTGGCGATGATTGTTTGCGGTGCTATATTTATTGACCGAAGCAGCGCAGAGAAAGCCAGGCAGTCAACCGAACGCTGCGTGAGGTACCTCAAACAGACAAAGGTAAACTCTAGATTTTGTTCCGATACTGTTTCAACCATAATTCCGTCTAAAGTAACGTAGGCCCCCTATGGTCAACCTTTATATTATAAAAATACATGTAATGTTCAGGTTGCCAGGCAGACAATCCTTTGACCGACTATTAACCAATTTGACGATGTGATTTTGTTCAAATGATGTGATTTTGGACAGCCATTCCTAATTAGCAACATGTAAACACATCCAAATGTATAATGTACGTACACACGTATATATTTATGCCATATAGAAAATGGTTATCAACAATAATATCTTTGATTCAAGGTTGTTAGATCCATGGCTCAAAACCGTGACCTTTTGATAACCCTGAAAGATTAAAGCTGCACTTTGATTTGTTATTGTTAATAGATTGAACTCTTAAAATAGCATCACCAATATCTGTCTGAGATAAGGGATATGCTATTAGGCGATTGCCAGGGTGCATGGCGATGGAAATCACGAGATGTAACAGGCTGTTAGGCCCAAAAAAGTCTCCGGTTTCTGGTATGGAGCTTGCCCAAAAAGTGGTGCGGCGACGCGGCTTTTTTTTTTTTTTAATGATTTTTTTGCTTCAAATGTCGGCTGATGACTGCAAATGGTGCCCGACTAAAGTTAGTGCAAATATATGGGAGTCCAGAGAGGCCACATAAAGCTTATTCTCGACCATAACCCAATCTAAAAACACGTTAAAATTGTGCAGCAGCAGGATTCCAGTCAAACCAGTGAATTTGGCGGTTTTGAGACATCATCTTTCATTTTGCCGACGCGCATGGCTACGGCGACGCGCGCGCATACCAGAAACCGGAGACTTTCTTTTTTGGCCTTAGAGAAAGCCGTACCGTCTAAAGTAACACCATTCGGCACTGTATTTTCTAGGAACAGAACACAAAGCAACAACGAAAAACGTAAAGAAACATAAGCAGTGTTTTAAAAACTGGCTAAACGTTTTAATCAATCTGAGATATTAATTAACCCACTCAAATTATCATACAATTCACATACTAACTACGTTAACATCATAAACGACAATGGTTAGCACAAATTTCTATTAACCCCGCACAAGTTAAAAAGACTGCTACACATTAACATGTAAAAGTGTCGACATTCAAGATAGCGTCGAAAAAGTAGTTAAATCAAGTTTGACAAGAAAGCAGTCAAGCTTGCATTCAACTGACTAAACAGCTATAGGGTCAGCTGAGTACCAGTTTGACTTTTGCCAGTCAACTTTGACTAGAAATTGGACTAGAATGTTTTATAGATACGTAATATAAATATAAAAAGTAGCTATTCCAAATAACTCTCTTAGTTATGTAAACTGTTGGTTTTACTTTTCTTATTACGCTCACCCTTTAATATTACAACAAACGATGTAAAGTTGAACAATGATTTTGCTATTCCGTATCCACAGGGGAAACTATGGGTATATCCAGAGGGAACAAGGTCCCATACAAGCGAGATAGACATGCTGCCTTTCAAGAGAGGAGCTTTCCATATCGCCGTGCAAGCTCAGGTATCTGCATGCAACAGGTGGCACCACACGCGCACGCAGATCGTATACGCGCGCGTATAGTCGTTCGACCAATAGGGTGTCTAGAACTTGTAAAATGGCGCGCGAGTGTTACACCACCTTCTTAATTATGGTCGCTTCTAGATGCATGTGGTCGCTAGATGTAGCTCAAACCACATGGTTCTATATATATTTTCTATAACTTTATGTGCACGTCAAACACCTTTATAACAAGGTCCTTGGGACTTTACGAATTACCTTTTTTATATTATGTACCTTGTGTTGATAGAAATTGAAAACAAATGAAAACAAAGAACAACAAAGACTTGACCTAAAGTTTTGCTTGTTTTAAGCAGGATCTTGTATTAACAGTGCTCTTCTTATCGGGGTTCGACTGTATTTTTATATTCAATTGCCCTGTGAATTAATTTACAGGTTCCAATAGTACCTGTGGTTGCTTCTCCATACAAGCACATGTTTGATACTTCAAGGCGCCGCTTTGACAAAGGTATACATTAATTAGCAGTATTACTGGCATTAATAATTAAAAAGTTTGGCTGTGTTGGCAAGTGGGATAGCTGAGTCGTGAAATGGAAAAGAGTAAATAACATATGAATAACGAGGCAACACTGAAAGGCCATGTATCGGAATCAATGCGCGTAGGCCCTACATAAAGTCAACAAGCAGGTATGGCCTCCATCTTTGTTGAAGTCCGTCGTTCATCATTACATTTTCTTTATTTTGGTGTCTCCTTGATCCACTAGTTGAAATTGTGCTGGACACATTACCTGATGTACCTACCGAGGGCCTAACGGCCGACGACGTGCCTGAACTGACCGAGAAAGTCCGCGATATGATGCTGCAGAGATTCCGTGAAATATCTAAACTGACGGACACGATCAGGGATTCCCAGCCATTATCAAACACGTCAGGTGTCTCAGAGTCCGTCCACCATGGCACATCCTGAGCTTTTCTATACAAACTTAGTTATTAACAATACTCAGTATAGAATTACCATTACCATTTTTAGTGTTTAGGCAATTTGCATCAACAGGTAAAAATACACAAACCATAAGGTGTTACGTGCTATTATCAATACAGAGTAGTTATTTTCGAAAGGTTTTATTTCGGTTTGATTTCATTTATATGATGTGAACAGATAAAAGAAATGTTTGGGCGATTATTGGCGATTATTTTAAAGCTGCGTTTAATACCTTCAAATTGCACACACGAATTGTTTTTGTTTTTTTTGACGTTATATTATTAAACAAAGCATTTTAAAGCTGTTTTAACTTGTAGGGTCATTTTTATGTTCGTTTTAAAAAAATAATTTAGAAAAGATGGCTAATGTATTTTTCTTCGGTTGGTACTGCTCACTGTGTTCGGATTGTTTGCTGTATTCCCTCCATGATCTCGAAGCGGGGACGAACTCAGCTCCCAGATACTAGTCGTACAATCACACGTTTTTATTTTTTAACCGACAAAGGGACATTCACACTCAGTAAATCTGTGAGGGCAGAGGGAAATGGAAATATTCTTGAAGTGACAAGAATCACCAATAAACTATACATGTTAAATAAATTACATAGAGAGGTCTGATTGTAAAATAGTATTTTAAAATATTTTTTTTAATATATTTTATGGCGATATATTCAATAAAACCCCAAGCGATATTCAATTTTAAAAAGCAGTTCCTAAAAATATATAAGTTATGAGATTTTGTTATGCCCTGTGATATGAGCTCAATTTATTTATTAAATTAAAATTGAAGAAAAAAAAATGATTACGCAAGGATTTAGTAGTTTGTAACAGTGCTTTGTAAACATTATTTTATTAAGTTAGTGTAATTTACAGGTCTGAATTGTATTTTCATTTTTACCTCTGAAATGTAAACATGACCGGTCAAGTTTTGTAAAAACGACTAAAATGTGTGTGTGCGTTTGAAATGTCTTTCTTCTGTTTGTGTATCCTGCGATTTCACAACGATTCAATGAATGCCTTATCAAACATTTTCGTGGATTTTTTTTGCGATTTTATGTAACTCTTTGTAAAAATTTCGATCTCTCGAGATCGGTTCATCCGAATTTTACAAAATCGGTGTCAATATCGGAAGAATGTGCTGAACTCTACTTAAATACCAGGCAGCTCGTAAGTGCGCGTCTTGTAGTTGAGAGGGTCTTGGCTTCTCCAGTACGAGCAGTCTAGGTACAGCTCCTCGAAGATTGGCTTAGTGGCATCCTCTGCATCTACATCATTGGCCAGCCTCACCAGCTCCTTGCAGTATTCCCACTGCATATCGCCCAGCTTGTGGGCATAGTGATGGGGCATGTTCAGCTCCTTGCACCGATAGTCGTAGTCTCTTTGGGTGTCCGCGTCCATTTCTTCTTTACTCGGTAGAATCATGGTTCCTTCCAGCGCCGCCATGACAAACCGGACCTGGCAGCTCATCAGCAGGAAAGGGCAGATCCTCCAGACGAGCCCAATGAAGGACAAGGATGGGAACTTGGTATGGATGACGTGCTTGTAGAGCGGGGTAACTCGCTTCCTATCTACCGAGACCTCACACTCTGGGGTTAGGAACGGGAAGTCGTACAGGTAACCCGTGCATAGAATCAGCGCGTCGGCTGCCACGCTCCGGCCGTCCGTGAACTCAACCCTACCCTCCCTCACCGACTTGATGCCAGGGACCTGCTGTAGATTGGCTGGTAGTGAAGCCTGGAGCAGTGGGTGTAGATGGCTGAGGTAGACCCTCTCTGCGTACGCGTGGAGATCGAGGGAGATGTCTATCCCGGAGTTACCAGCACCGAGCAACACCACCGACTGGCCCCGGAAATGCTCCGGGTGTCGGTAGTCATGACTGTGCATCACCTTGCCCGTGAAGGTCTCTAAACCCGGGATGCTAGGCCAGTTGGGTACCGCATACTGTCTGTAAAACAGATTGTACAATTTATGAGATGGAGGCCAGCAGATATCTGTTTTTTTTGTCCTAAAATTAAGTTGAATCAAATCACGAGTATAATGAATTGTGATATAAACTGCTGAAAGCAATAACACTCAAGACGTGTATAAGCTGCAGCCCTTACCCATTGCAGACCATAACAGCATCAAACTGGTTGACTGTTGGTGGGGAGTCTGGGTTCACGACGCTTTGTACCGTCACTTCCCACGCAGTTTTGCCGCATTTCGTGACCGGCTTTACTGACTCAACTCGCGTCAAAAGCTGTAAATATAAAGAGGAGAAAACTGTGATGCCAGAGCGACGCTTCGCATGATATCAAAACAGTTAATCAATTCCCCCGAATTGTTTTCCTAAATGTTTTGTTTTCCTTAAAATCTCCCAGGCAAACGACAAGACCAGGCAGGTTGATTACCTGAATGCACTTCTGCAAGTGGAATGTATCGACATATCGGTTGAGATACTGCAGTACTTCGGTGTGCTTGATAAATGAAGTTTTACCGCCTTCTGCGATCGGCAAATCGGGAAATAGCATGACCTCCTTGGGAAGATTGGTCCTGTGATTAATTTAGTAATAAAAAAGTGCCACATCACATCAGTACTCAACAAATCAGAGAAATACTACGTCACAAATCCTAACACATTCTCGTAAATCATGACGTCATAAGTGCATGACTATTATCTGCAACCTTTAATGATCGACTCATCACTGGTACCGATACACATCTACTACCAGATACTCACCTAAGCCGGCTGTACATACTTGAGTGAATAGGCTGGCCATACTTGTCCTTGCCTACGTCATCCCTGTACACCCAAGTACCTCCAATTTGCTCCGACTGTTCGTAAACGGTCGCCTGGTATAACTTGGGCTTGGCGCACAGGTACCTGGCAGCGCACAGCCCTGCCGCCCCTCCTCCAATGACTGCAACTTTCATCATCTTGATGTTTGCACTGCACACAGGACGGAACAAAATGTAAGCTGTCTATCTTGTGACTTTGGCCTTTTGCTTATAAATACGGTATGAATATCGAATATGTTTTGAGTTTGGTGGTCAAAATAATCATTTGTTGTGCCAAATTAAAGTGGGCCTATTTCGATTCGAATGAAGAAACAAGATCAATGTTTACGTTTCAAAAAACGTAACTCTCTGGCGATGAAGAAAAAATGGATAAATAAAAAGGATTTATTGAAGATATTCCAATATGGAATGAGAGTTTGACTGTTTTGTATTTACCTGAGGGATATAAAAGCAACTTGTCGGTTTGGGACACCGTACAAATTCGGGGAAATAATGCAGGATATGAAGGCCTACTATACTGGGTCTATATCCTTCCTCCTTATGGTAAGGCCTAGTGACACGTTAAAAAGCCAGCTAGGCCTATGTCGACTGCAACTACATGTATACTTAGGCCCATATAGTACAGGTTACATTGTAAATAAACAGAATTATGCTAACCTACGTACCCGAAATCAGGGCTGCAGTAACAAATGCAATCCGAATGAAAGTCAATGTGGATTTTTTGCGTGTAAAACATTAGATTGTTACGATCATATTATTTTTGTTGTTGCACTGGTTCTCATGATATTCAATACACCTCTGACGCACATTGTGGAAAATCAGTGCACGAAATTTCAGTTTAATACCTCTTGTACTTCTTGAGTTATTCATCGGAAAACGAGTCGTTCATTTTGTTCAATAGTGCAGCATCGGCTGGTCTCACACTTTAATATTCTTTCAGTAGAGGGCGCGCCACATAAATAGTGGTCTCGATAATTATCTACCACCAAACTCGTATGGGGGGCAACAACTCCAGCAATACAAGATATATTAAATTGAATTTTTGAGTAGTGATTTGTCATTATGTTTAACATTAGGAGATTTAATTTCATAAGAAACCGTCAAACAATGAAGCTATATTGACCGTAACAATACAGTGTTTTAAGCGCGACAAATGTAATCCGAATGAAAGTCAATGTGGATTTTTCGCGTGTAAAACATTACATTGCAGCGGATGCTGCACTATTGAACAAAAAGAACAACTCGGTTTCCGATACATAACTCAAGAAATACACGATATATTAAACTGAAATTTCGAGCACTCATTTTCCACGATGTGTAACAGAGGTGTATTGAATATCATCTGCAACAGTCCAACGATAAAAATAATATGATCGTAACAATGTAGTGTTTGACACGCGAAAAATACACATTGATTTTCATTCGGATTGCATTTGTCGCGTTAAAAACACTGTATTGTTACGGTGAATATTGCTTCATTTTTTGACGGTTTCTTATGAAATTAAATCTCTTAATGTGAAACATAATGACAAATCACTGGTCGAAAATTCAATTAAAAATATCTTGTATTGATGGAGTTGTTGCCCCCCCAAACGAGTTTGGTGGTGGAATATTATCGAGACCACTATTTATGTGGCGCGCCCTCTATAAATAAAAGATTATCGGTGCGGATGCTGCACTATTGAACAAAAAGAACAACTCGGTTTCCGATACATAACTCAAGAAATACACGATATATTAAACTGAAATTGCGAGCACTCATTTTCCACGATGTGTAACAGAGGTGTATTGAATATCATCAGCAACAGTCCAACGATAAAAATAATATGATCGTAACAATGTAGTGTTTGACATGCGAAAAATACACATTGATTTTCATTCGGATTGCATTTGTCGCGCTAAAAACACTGTATTGTTACGGTGAATATTGCTTTATTTTTTGACGGTTTGTTATGAAATTAAATCTCTTAATGTGAAACATAATGACAAATCACTGGTCGAAAATTCAATTAAAAATATCTTGTATTGATGGAGTTGTTGCCCCCCAAACGAGTTTGGTGGTGGATAATTATCGAGACCACTATTTATGTGGCGCGCCCTCTATAAATAAAAGATTATCGGTGCGGATGCTGCACTATTGAACAAAAAGAACAACTCGGTTTCCGATACATAACTCAAGAAATACACGATATATTAAACTGAAATTTCGAGCACTCATTTTCCACGATGTGTAACAGAGGTGTATTGAATATCATCAGCAACAGTCCAACGATAAAAATTATATGATCGTAACAATGTAGTGTTTGACATGTGAAAAATACACATTGATTTTCATTCGGATTGCATTTGTCGCGCTAAAAACACTGTATTGTTACGGTGAATATTGCTTTATTTTTTGACGGTTTCTTATGAAATTAAATCTCCTAATGTTAAACATAATGACAAATCACTGGTCGAAAATTCAATTTAAAATATCTTGTATTTCTGGAGTTGTTGCCCCCCAAACGAGTTTGGTTGTAGATAGTTATCGAGACCACTATTTATGTGGCGCGCCCTCTACTGAAAGAATATTAAAAAGCGCGAGACCAGCCGATGCTGCACTGTTGAACTGAAATAACAACTCGTTTTTCCAACAACTCAAGAAACACCAGATGTGTTTAATTGAAATTTCGTGCACCGATTTCCCAAGATGTTTAACAGAGGTGTACTGCAATTGTTTTCCTGCGAACTTCTAGGGTTGGGCGCCCCCTCCCCCATCCAAATTCCACTAGAAAGTATTTATGTTTACCCAAATAACTTCAACTGCCAAGTTTGAAGCTGTGTGTGTTCTTTATTAACACTATTATTGAAACAAAGCAATAATCATATCGTTCCTTTTTTCAAGTTTTATACGGTGAATACATTACCAAGAGACAGTTTTTTTCGGGGAGGGGGTCTTCGTGGCCACGGGCCACCATTATGGTTTTTGATTATTCGTTAACCCAAACCAACTGACACTGACATACATTCTGTAGCGACCTTCTGCAAGATGCAATCTTTTTCTGATGGCTGGGAGCTGTTTGCAGAGTTTATATAGCCTATATATTGACGTCTTTGGATTTTAGGCCTTCTGGCCAGGGTCACCGCTTATTCATAGGGTAATGGTATACATTGTAGTGACAGTGAATACAGTATCACCAGCAGCCTCTGTGTTATATTGTGTTGGCTTATAACAGAATTTGTCAACGTAAAGCAACCTACAACATCCAGAGAGCCATATGGCAACCAACGACCACCCCCAAATATCGATTAAAACTGCTGACTACAAAGTTATCGTGGTTTTGATGAACACTATTCGAAGTTTGCTGAATATGAATGATAAGTAACAGAAGAGAAGACACAGTGAGGGCAAAAAGGAAACGAAAGTGGGGCTATGAATTCGTCGAAGACCGAGTTACAGTTTTCGTACAACAGAGAAACGGCCCGGCGTACTAGACGTCAGTAATGGTGAGTTTAAACAGCACTTTAGTTATCTTTACCGACATAACACTAAAATATAGTAAAAGAAGACGAAATGTTTCTGTTTGTCAATCAACTATTCAGTGTGGGATGTTTGCCATTCGATTTCCCTGTAAACTAGCTTATTGATTAGTGTGTTTACGCCATGGAAAGTAAGCAAACGCTTCTCTCAAGTTTATTGTTTGATAAAAAAATAATGAATAATTATAACATAGTTCAAGCCTTGAACTTTGTTCTTGTTTATGACTTTTTTTGCCGGCAGAATATCACCCTGCAAAGTGGTGTCAGTGCATGTGGCAGCCAAATACAATAGTTCAGAAATAGTCATTCAACCAGAAAGCTGAAGCGCACAAAGTAGGTCCAGTTGCTATTGGTAACTTTTATACGTACGCACTACGTGGGGCAGTATAGGACAATTCGGGTGTTTTTTTTTATTAAGGTCGTATATACACACTTCGTAGAATTAACTGGGACACATCTGTGTATGTGGATTTGTTTGTGTGAATTCGATTGGTTTCAGTACAGGTGAATCATCGACGATATTTTTTTTTGACATTTTTTTACAGTTACATAAAAAAAACCTGTTATGTTGAATTGATTTATTGCCCCACCAAACTCTCGACAAGCGGATTGGGTTTTCCGTCTCTTAATTCTGAATTCCTAAATGTGAATTTCTCCTATCATATCGTTTTAAATTTTTAAACAAAAACCCTCTGAATGTTTCATCGTCTTCTCTCATCACGCTTCCCAGCAGTAACTCTGCACTTCAAGTTGGGCAAATCAAATTGAGATTTGGCTTTGCATGCCGGAGCGCACATGATAAAACTTCTCCCCGGACTGTGGCAAGCCACGGACGGCCGTGGTACTCTGATTTGCATGCCTAATTACCTAATCTATCAGAGAATCTGGATGGACCGAACGGTATAAGCTCCCAATGTGGCAAGCTGACGGAGAGACGACCATGACGAGCCCCTCCGAGCCCCAGGCCGCACCGGCACCGGCCGGTGACGGTGACGGTGCGGATCCTCGTACGTCAAACACGGGTGTTAACCAGCGCAGGAAGGACCCTTACCGTCACATCTTGCCACAAAAGATGTCCTTCCACACCACCGGCGTCTTGGCTACCTTCCTGCGGCCACCGAGTGGCTCAGGCCGACGGACTGCTTCCGTCGCGCCGAGTGACGATCCGGCATTAACAAAAACTGGGACTCCCAAGAGAGGAAAGAGGAAATCTTCCATCCTCGTCCAGAATGACCTCCTTCGACGGATTGCTCCCTCCTCTGCGAGTAATAATCACATCTCTTTTAAGCCGGGAAAGCGGGGGTCATCAACGTTACAAGGGCATGATTTAAAGGTCAGTACATATAAAATGTGATAAAAAAAACCGAGTAAAATCCCTATATTTATAGCAACCTGGAGACAGAATCCGCCCTGTATATTTTTTTTTAGATATCATCGCAACAATATTTTTCGTGCCGATATAGAAGTTTTCCCACTGATTTCTTGCACACGTTTCTATACAAAGTATTTCCTCAAAATTGTATATTGTTTTCGAACGCAACTAGCATAAAATTTCCATTAGTTTTGTCTTGCATCGATTGACATGATGTTATAGTTTGTTTTCTTTAATTGAGATCTTCAGTCTCAATTGCCCCTTCGATCTTCATTGGATCTTCCTAAAAGGAAACAAAATATATTGTGGCCATATATTTTGCCTTTCACATGCTTCTTATATTACTGCAGATGAACTTCAGTAGGACTGCCGGTAATGACACTGACCAGTATAACGCGGATGGCTATGCGGCTCTGCACATGGCGGCTCAGAGCAACCACATAGGGTGGATGAAGGAAATCCTACAGAGTGGTGCAAGTAAGTGGCAGAACATCATGCAGGCTCTGAAAATTCAAGCTTAGGTTTTAATATAATGCAAAAGCCCACACTAGTACCTTTAGGCGGTACGGGCGCTATAATGGCGCCACGTCAGAAAACTACCATCAGAAGAAAAAAACAACGACCGTGTCCATTCGGGGCAACCGTATTGCGATGTGTGCCTAGCTGCAAGCTTGCCCGAAAGAAAATTGGGTTCACTATCCAAACAGTTTCCAAGTTGGTAAAACCTTGACGAACGATCTTGAAAGTTGTTAAATGATAACACTTATCGAAGTTATTCAAATCTCACTGACTCTTCGTTACTCGTTAGGGCAAACAACGCTACAACAATTCTCACTTCTCTTAGGCAAGTTCGTTCGTCGAGTGCTAGTGATGGGAAATTCGAAAATGAAGTTCTAAGAAATTGGGTAAACTTAACTTTGCCATGGTCTCGACGTCGGTTGACGAAGTATCAATAATGTCTTCAGTTTTTGCAGCTGCCATCTTTTCACACAACTACGTCGTCAAAACTAACCACGTACGTTGGGGTGGATGTGTCCTCTTTTGATTCTTTGAAAAAGTTTTAGCCAAGCTTGTTTCAACTTTCATTTCTCAAGTAATTTTGATACTGGCCTGGCTAGTAGATTAATGGTCAGGTAAGTATTAAAGTAAGATATAATTGTGGGTGATCACGTTTTTATTAATATATTATATGTACTCGAATTAAATCTCACCTTAGTTTGTTTATAAAAATAACATGAAATAGAAGTCAGAATTCAAAGGAAATATATGGAAATAAAAAGGATTATACCAGGTTATCGTAAGTTATGTTTTGTCAATTTGTTAGTGCCACCCCTAGTATGACAGAATAGATCAATCCTACATTATCCACCGCTGAGTAGTTGATGTCAAAAAGAGCTCGCGGTAAAAGTGCAGAAAAGATAACAAACTCGCTTTGTCACAAACTACAAGATGAAAAATGAACATTGCCACGTGCGTTTTGTTGCCATATGTCAACATGCAATACCTGAATACGGAAGTGTAGTTTCGTGCAGTCCGAAATTTTCGCAAAAAAGACGAGTTTCTGTATGTTTTTAAAACAAAGACTTACGAAATATTGTTATGTGATGATGATGGAAGAGAGGGTCATTCCACCAAGGCGTTTATTGAGGTAAAATAACAAGAAACATTTTCACCCTACTTCTTCTCAGACTCAAGGCCACCATGACCATGGCCACTGACAACGTCAATGACAATTGACATGACAGAAAGCTGTTATTGCATCACTTATTCTTTTATTTGGAGGATTCAGCATAAATTAAGGATAACCATGAAGTTTAAGACCCCGTTGTTTTTTATTCCTCACTGATGTCGAGAATAAAAATACAATGATAAAAAAGACACTTTGAGACAGGTTTTTTTTTTTTTAATTAGAGGGCAGGGTTTTTTTATTTATGAGTATTGAGGAAAATTCTGAAGTATTGTGACAACACCTGAACGCTGTACCTCACACGTCTAAAAACAATGTGGCAACACAGTCGCATTTTACAAAAGTACAAAAAGCTAGAGCTAATCTATTTAAAAAAGACTGCTTGGGGGCTTGGCAATGCTTGGGGCTGCAAAAAGCACTTTGAAAAATTTGACAATCATTTTCAAAAGTCATTTTGGAACGGAAGTAAAAAAGGTGTCCTTAACTACACGATTGTAATTAATAAGAATGAATAATTAAGAACATGCTCCCTTCTATCAATCAATCATTTTTGTTTTCTTCAGATGTGGACCTTCCTGCAGGCAACACAGGCTTCACCCCCCTCCACCTTGCTGCCCGATACCGATGCTTAGAAGCCGTCGCACTGCTGCTGAAGAGTGACGCAAGCTGCAATGCATCCACCCACCTAGGCCAGAGGCCTATCCACCTAGCTGCACGGAGGGGTCACGTTGCCATTGTCAGGGTCAGTGGCACTGATATCATTGGTTCAGGCCTGTTACCAGGGACTAGTGAAAGGGAGAAGTGTTTAGTCCTCAAAAGGGGTTGCATAACTCCACCACGGTTGAATTACGATTGCTAGTTTTATAGTCTACTAGAGTTATTGTGTCAACATTTGACTAAATATTCCATCTTCATACTGCAATAGACCCTGTGCGTGGCAGCCATTTTGGAGGTGCTTGCTTTGTTCACATATGGGTTGGTTTGACTATAAAGACCTTCTTGCATTCATTGTTATGAGTTGAAATACCTCCCCCCCCCCCCCCCACCCCCCAATAAAAAAAAACAAGACTCATTGGTCTGTTGTGGTCGGGGTGGCTTGAAAATAGTTTTACATCCCTCATAATTTAATTTGTTAAGAGGAGCGAATAATGCAGTTCATTCAATCCCTTGAAGAGAGAAGTACTGTAGAAATTGTGCCAGAGACTCTTACCCAGTTTCCATTTTCTTTTCTTCATATTTTTATTTGAACTGAGAAGGTTTTATTAGAAAATGATAAAGATCAGGTGAAGGCCGTTGACAAGGATCTGATGACTCCCCTACACATGGCCGCAATCAACGGGGACGTAGATGTCTGCCAACTGCTGGTAAGCTCATCAGTCAAAAGAGGAAAATGTTGATATGTGGAAATTTGAGGTGATATCGTGTGACATCAGTTGTGTGTGGTTCTTTTCAACCAGTATGCGCTATTAGTTGTTGGGAGATTTCATTCTGTAAGCGTACTGAATATTTACATTAATTATGTGTTTGCTTTTTTATATTTGACTCAAAGATTGATTCCGGTGTTGATATTAGAGCCAGAGATGTGAGTAACATGACAGCGTTAATGATGGCGTGTGCAACGGGACATCAAACCTTCATCCAGTGTTTGCTACAGTCAGGTAGTTTTCTTATATCCGCCTTTCAGAGTACAACAATTGAGTTATAGCTCTATGCTACAATAAAGTATGATTGATTTAAACATAGATGTGCCACATCTCATAGTAACGTTTCACATTTCATTGTCCAGAGTATTTTTTTTTTATTGGACTATAACATTTTGATCATTATGTCCCCGCAGCATCGCAGCAAGGTTTAAAGTCGCAGGATTTGCTGATGGATACAGACAACGAAATGAAAACTGTGCTGCACATTGCTGTCAGTAATGGCTACCTAGAGGTAAGTTTTGGTCTTTTGTTGCACAGTCACAGAGAGATCCTGAAATCAGATTGATTGGAGGGTTGGTGGCCTCAGGCTGTGTTTGACTAAGTGATATTTCAAAGTCTTAACATACTTAAAAAGCTGCTTTTAATTCTTGAAGTATTTAGATAATGCCCAAAATAAAGTCCAGAATCAACCCCTTATTATGTCCATGGCAGTAGAGACTCCACACTTCTTTTGGAAAAATATCATTATAGTACGTCAGCGTGACAGCGTCTGCTACGTTAGTTAAGGAAATCATTTGGGCTTGTAATGAAATATTCTAAAATTCTAAAATAACAATTTTATGATTTTTCAGTTGGCAAGATTTCTTGTGGATAGCGGGGCCGATGTGAACGCACAGAATGAACTGGGCCAAACACCCCTACATCTCACAGCAGTGGTCGGCAACACGGATATGGCCGAGTTGTTGCTAGATTTTGGAGCTAGTATCAAGAAAGGGGACAATGACCTCATGACACCTCTACACAGGTAGGAAAACGACAGTCAAGTTCAAATTTTTTTTAACAGACTTCCTTTAACCCGTTAGTCCCAGTGCTGCTCCAAACCACCCAGCCTGTGACACCCTGTACTGCCCCCAAACTATCCCAGCACCGTATAGTTTTATGGGTTCATCAGGCAATAAATACAATGTAATATAGAACGGGTGCTAAAGGGTTAAGAACCTGAAATTAAAAATCAGGTAACTTACACTGTTTTTGTGAGTTCCATAAAAAGTTCCTATCTGTTGATCATTATTAAGATCTTTTTTAATGTTCATTTTTTCTTCCCCATTTTTCAGAGCTGCAATGTACAACCGCCTTTCCATGGTTCAACTGCTGCTAGACAAAGTGAGTAGAGCCAATTTTATTTAATGCATTTTGAAGTAATTGTGGATTTGTGCATTTTCAGATTAAAACTAGTTCACTTCATTCCTTTACTCGTCCTAATATTAAAAATAACTGTTCTTGGACCAGGGAGCTAACATCAACGCCCGGGAAAAGGATGATTTCACCCCACTACTGTGTGCCTGTTGGCGTGGCCATGGCGAGATTGTCAACCTTCTGATCCGGCGAGGAGCGAACCTGCGACTGCATGACCATGAGCAGAAGACCTGCCTGCACTGGTCTGTTGAGATGGGACACGTGGAGATAGTCAAGTCACTGTTTGAGGCCGGAGGGCCGCTTATGTTAGGGTTTCAGGACAGGACGGACCAAACGGTGCTCCACTACGCTGCTGAGATTGCTAACGTAGAAGTGAGTCAACTTTTAGCATTTTCATTCTTCAGCACAAGTCTACAAATACCCTTACTTCCTCCAGTGAACTTTGTTTTTAGTTCGGGGAACACCCATGGAATCAAGCGGGGAACTGAAAACCCAATCCACATGTCAGCCTGGGTGGGAATCGAACCTGGGTCACAGCGGCACTACCGCACAAAACCAACTCCCCTGTATGTGGGTTAGACTTAAAATATGTCAGTAAGAGAAACGTGTTTGTCATCAAGAAATTTTTGTTTTTTCAATTTTCAAAACTTTTGACAGCTTTTGAATTTGCTGCTTGACAAGGGTGCTAAGGCAGACACCAGAGACATTGATGAGAAGACGCCTCTTCACATTGCCTCACAGTAAGTACATGTAGTCTGCAACTTCAGCTTGTTGGAAGATGAAAAAACAAACTGAAATTTGCTGACTTTGTAGAGGAACAATATTAAATGGAGGGGCTCAAACACAGCCCAGCTTGTCGGTCCTGATCGACCTTCAACTCAAGAATAAAAGTCAGGGTTTTTTCGCATTTTTGTATTTCATTTTTTTTTATATAAAAATATGATTAAATATCAATATTTAAATACTTGGCAAAGCCTTAGGATTTTCAAAATTAAGGCATTTGAACGTTTGGAATATCTATAGGAAAAACCATCCACAAGCAACGCGTCTCCCTTTTTCCTAGGTTTGGCCATCTCGCCTGTGTTGAGATCCTCTTGAAACACTGCCCCAATCTTCTGAATGCGGATGATGTCGACGGCATGACACCACTCTTGCTTGCCAGTCATAACGGTCATCCTAACATCGTCCGATTTCTGCTGGACACTGGCGCTGATATTGCAAGCAAGTATGTAGCTCTTGGCATGTTCAGATATGTATTTCTCCAGAGTTTAATAATGTCAAGTCCTCACTCCTCACAAGTCATCAAAAGTCCATAACCACAAGTTATAAGTAGATAAGTCAATCAACTGCAAGTAGAATGCCCCGATGCTTAGAAACAATTTTCCTTCACAATTCATATACTGTTTTGGGGGCCACGTTTCATTTATGATGCTCACCAAATTCGTTGAATATTTACTTTGAAGGACAGATAATTTGCTGTAGAACAAGGTATGGAAGGGGTCCCCTGTGAAGTTGAAACACTTGTAGAGTTCCTCAATGTCCCTGCTAAATGTATGCCTACCTCTCATAATTTCACATATTTTTGTATTCTTGCTCTCAGAAATGATGAATGGAGGACAGCTTTAGCCCTGGCTGTTAGTAGGAACCACGTGAGCAATGTGTCTGTCCTGATTGAACACAACGCAGATATCAACGCAGTGGACAGACAAAAGGTTTGGATTGTCTGTAGCTCCTTAAAGCTACAGTCCATCATTTGCAGCTATCTAAAGACATACCGTTGGAAATTTCAGACATACATGCACGCCCGGTTGCTATAATTTTTCGGATTTGAGCACGACATCGCGTAGCTGCATTCGGCTCAGTGAGAACGTATCTCAGACACTGAATTCAGGCCCAATTCAAAACATGATTCAGCAACTTTTGATTTGAAATCGAGATTCTTGAATGCTGTTTTTCTCGGAATATACAGCTGATACAGCTGGGCTGAAACTTCATCGGGTTAGTTGTCCAGCACCCTTTTTTAGATTTTGAGCAAGTTTGTTGCTTAAAATGAACAAAATGCACAAATTACAAATGATGGACTGTACCTTTAATTATAAGATTGAGAAAGCTTAAGTGTTCATTATAGAGCAATGTATTTATCATCACTTGTATTTTGTTTATTTCTAGAACACCCCCTTGCATCTAGCGTGTAACGCCGGTCACCATCCCGTCGCTCAACTTCTCCTAGCAGCCGGGGCTGACGTGACTTACTGCAACACCGTGGGGCTGTACCCCTTGGACTTGGCCATCCAGAGACAGCATACAGGGATCGCTAAGGCTATTCTCACTAGCAGAAAGTGAGTTCAAATCTTACAGGGTATTTTATTTTTTAAACACCATGCCAACGACTATGTTAAAAATCTGTCTTCTTAGACATCTTTAAAGCCTGGTTTTTCTAGTGTACAATTTAAGACCATTGCAATAACACATTACAAGGCCTGACACTATCTGTGTAATAGGAACAACTGAAGAAGTGGTTCTGCTTCTTAAACCTAGCCTGCCTGGGTATTTTTGCAAGAAACCTTTCTCAGTACTGCAAAATTCAAAGAGGCACATTCTTTGTACACAAACGTCTTCAAGTCTTTTAACAGGCATAAGATTTGTTCAGACTTTTGTCTGAATTCAGATTATAAGTACAGAAGGAAATGCATCTTTCAGACCTTTCATCCAATTTTCCGAGTTTTTTTTGTAATTGACAATCTCATTCCTGTCTTAAGCAATAATGTCAGGGCTCTACATTCCTCATCGTGTAAAATCCTTCAAAACCTGGTGGAATTTGAAGGATCTTGGAGAGTTGGTGCTACAGTGTGCATGTTTATATGATCCGGTAGAAATGTAAATTAGCATCCTGATTAACACAGAAGCCCTAAACTGGTCTTTCAACATTTGTAATTTATCTATTTTTAAGCTTCACAACAAATTAAATCACTTGACTTTTTCGTTTCTTTTGTTTGCAAAGTTGGGAGTCGGCTCTAAGCAACCATAGTGATGATGGCGTGCCACCCATGAAGAAGTTAATCAAGGATATGCCGGATGCCGCACTGCTGGTTCTAGACCACTGCGTCAAGAAATCACACAGCGATCCACACCATCCAGATTTAGAGGTAACTGCCACTGTCTGTGGAGTGCTGTGGCCTTGTAGGGCATCGGATTCGTGGTCTTCGGGTAAAGCTGCAGGTTGTGGGTTCAAGTCCAGCCTGGGGTCATGGTGCGTGTGCCCTTGGGCAAGGCACTTTTTCACTCATTGCTTCTCTCCACCCAGGAGTAAATGGGTACCTGTGAGGGCAGAGATGGTTATTGTGATTGAATTAGCTTCCTTGCGCCTAACAGGCTGCATCGAGCTGTATACTCCACAGGGAGCTGAGATGGTATTTGGAATGTTTCGTGGGCCCATTGAGCAGGGGTAATAATGATGTAGCGCCTTGAGCACCAGTCCTGGTGGATACGTGCGCTTTATAAATACCCACTGTTATTATTATTTTGATTCTGATGGCTGATAATCTGAAATGACCCATATTAATTTTTCTGCATCTGGACAACTAATCAAATGCCAACTAATCAGAGATGTTAATTGATATTCCTTTCGACAGATTACCTATGACTACAGCTACATTGATTCTGGGCCAGATAACCACCTCAGCAAAGCAAGCAATGTCAGTGGTGAAAACAAGAGGTTCTTTGGTGTGGAGGTAAGCGTTTCAAAATGTTTTTGATAATGTGCATGCAAACTAGGAATTGGGTACACATACACAATTGAGAAAGCTTTAAAAGTTCTGAATATTCCCATTTCCAGGTTTTCACACAAATGGCATTTTGAGGTTCTTTTGTTCTGGTTTGCTTTCAGACAATGGTGAAGTACAAACGTGAGAAACTGCTCAGCCATGAACTATCTCAGAGCATCCTGTCCAGGAAATGGTAGGTTTAAATTTTCTAATGATTTCATTTTTGGGGTATTTTTGTACTGTACTTTTTTGACCAGATATTCAGATTCCTACTTGAAATCAAAGCCTAAGTACTCCGACACTGTCTAGTTTCTGAGTCTCCATTCCTACTGTGTCATGCTATACAGGGCGAGTAAAAAAAAAATATTTTTTTGTTACTCACACTGTTTTTCCGGCAGCATTCTTATCATATTTGACCCACCAGCACTGCATGCTTGTTTGTTTCAATAGGTCCACATTTGCCGGAGTAATCTACATGTTAGATTTCCTGTTGTACCTCATCTATCTTGGCTGTATGGTCCACTACACAAGTTCCAGTCAGCTGATCACGTCGGAGTCACAGCTGGATAGTAAGGGATGCGTGGAAGTACAACCTAACGATACTGCGTATATCTATAATGAGGTAAGTAGTGTTCTTAATTGACTTAACAATGTGAAATGAAGACTTGAAGCACCTGGCCTCAAGTTTTGAAAGGTGACATTGTTCAGGTCCTTTTTGAAACAAGGTTTGCTTATTAAAAAACACTTCACACTTCATCGATTTCGCATTTGGTACTATGTGTTTACTTTCTTACAGTTAAGCCACTCTCCGAAAAGACGGTCAGAGCATACTAACCAGAACGTCGAGTTTATACCTCTGGTTCTTTTCAGAACATTCTCTTAAGTTTGAGAAATTTATTCGCACATGGTGTTTCCGCAAACCTTTCATTCATTAGTATCTCCACCATGCAAAGCCTCAAATCTTACTTATTAAAATAAGAGCTAAGTCTTAGAAACTTGAGAAAAATAGTTTTGAGGCTCCTGAAAATCAGACTAATCAGACTAATTTATAACATTGCTGCACATACTCACATTGGGAATTGTGCAATAATTAAAGACATTTCAACTCTGATGAATTTTGTTGCCAATATTCTGTTACATCATTTGTTTCTTTGTATTTGCATGAGTATGCCAGCAACCATTTGATAGCAGTAGAGATCTTTTAGTACGGAAGCAACTAAGAAGCTAAAACGGAACTAATTGGGGGACTTGTGGGATTTGTTTTCAGGAGGGCGTTGTCATCCGAGTTGCAGATCCCTGGTTGTGGGTTACTCAGAGTGGGATACAGATTTATTGCCTACTTCTACTCCTGGTCAAGTTGGTCCATATTTTACAAATGGTAAGTATTTAAGTCCATAAATTATGGTGAAAACTGTTCTCTTTGCCTGTGATATATTTTTTTCAACTTGTAACACTTTTGTTGAGGCTTTAATTTAAAAAAAAAATAAGAAGCGTTTTTTGTTACATCTTTAAGTTGGGAATTCCAAGAGAAAAATGAAAAATATGTCCAGTCCTACTTAGCGAAGTTGACAGTCACTGGACCACCTCAAAACACTCTGCCTGTCACAATGTTATTATTACCCCTGCTCATTTAGCCAATGAAAATATTCCAAAGACCATTTCATCTCCCTTAGCCTGACACCTTAACTAGTGTTGTCCTTCTTTTGTGCGTGTTTTCCTGTAGCGATTTGCCTTCTTTCTGGACGTTACAAACTACGTGGTGGTCACACTCTGTGCGAGTTCTCTTGTGTTTGTCTATCCACCCTTCTACCCACCTTGCGCGCTGCAATGGAACTCTGGGGCCATCGCCAACTTCCTAGCTGGAATCCACTTCATCCTCTATATACAACCGTAAGATATGCATCTGTTTCATTTACTGCTTTGTTACGAAAGGGAGAGTTGGGGGAGACCACTGGGAGAGACAATGCTGACAACGCCTGACGCTCACACAAAGACGCTACAGCTGTGTGTTCATTCAGACTAGAATTCAGTCGTGCGTACTTCGCGCCATGTGCACACGGACCAGTACGCGTATGCCGTGTGTTTTCCCCACTGGAACTCTGGAACGTGGTCAAAAGCGCCCTCTATTTTCATGCACAGAGCCCGTATTGAAAAGTCACTGAATTTGATTATTCTTCATTGTGACATTTCCCTTTTTTTCTTTCAGAATAAAGTACTTTGGGATCTATGTTGGAATGTTCTTAACTACATCCAAGTCTCTGTTGAGGGTAAGTGAAGAAATAAGTCAAGGATGCAAATTCCTCGATTTTGTGTAAAACATTGAATGAGATAAGTTTGAAACCAGTAATCTGATTGCATGGGTGTTTTAACGTGACTATTCAATTTCAATTAATTGTTTTCTTTGGAGCACTTTTTTCCCTATAAACTGTAATAATTGGCTAAAAGTTACTCTTTTATTTTTCGATTTCCCGACTTGACTTTGCTGAGTAATTCAACTGATGTCCTTTTGTTTTTTTCTAACTTATAAGTGTACCTTCTGTAGTTATTTCTATTTTTTTGTTGTCCGACAGGCTATGACGGTGTACGTGTTCTTCTTCTTTGCCTTCGGCATGGGTTTTTTCATTTGTCTTTCACGCTTGGTAAGTTTTGAAATGAATTTTCTCTCAGAACTTCATATTTATGAAACAAACTCCCAGTACTATCATATTCTTGCTGTGAAAATTGTCCATCTTCATAGTTATGGCAGTAATATTTTATAAAAGCTTGACATGTGTATGGGGTTGGGCTTTAGTTCCCCCTCCAAAAATGCCCAACTACTTCCTCCGATTTTAAAGTGAGTTGAAGTGAATCTGTTAATTGCATGGGTTTTTTTTCTTCTTCGTGAATTACAAAATATATATCATATATACAGCACTCCTCCACTTCCCTTCTACGGTTCTTTCCAATCCTCATGCATGGTTGCTGGAGTTCTTCTAGAGCAAAACCATTTTTGAAACTGTGTTTGTATTTTATTTCAGGATGCCTTCCGAACTCCAGGTGATGCACTCTTGACGACCTTAGTCATGACTTTGGGCGAAATCAGCAAGGCAGACATTTTTGACGGCGGCGTGTCCCTTGTTCCCTTCCAAAATTGCTCCTATTTTCTCTTCCTGTTGTTCCTTTTCATGATGCCCATGGTACTCACAAATCTGACGGTGAGTGGCACCAAGTGACATGGACAATGATAAATTGACAGTGACAATTTGCATTGACGATGACAAGTAACAAGAGATACTGACATTGACAGCAGTCAAGTATAATGACACAGTAGCGTAGTTTAAATACTCTCAATTCCTTGCTGACGAGCTAAAATGGCTGCCAACTTTTGATTGATTTGTCATTAATTATTCTGATAGGTAGCTCATTTCTTTCTCCAACAGATTGGTATAGCAGTGGGCGATATCAAAGCTATATTCAAGTCTGCTTATCTCAAACAGCAGCAGATAGTGGTGAGTCCCTTTAATACTGAAAATGTGAATCTTGTTAGAGGGAGGTTGTGGGTTCTACTCCAACGCGAGTCAGCCTGTGTATATGTTCTTGCATGCTCTTCTACCTTACTGAGAATACAATATGTATAAAAACTATATTGGTAAAAAGCAAAAACCAATGCAATCTTAAAGATTTCTTCCTCAATAATGCATTATTCCACCATACAGGTCATTGGTTGAAGTATATCTACACATTTTTACAAATACAGATTGACTTGATTTTGGGATACGAGACTAAACTGCCCAGGTTTTTGCAGCGAAGAATTTACAAGTCCAAAGTGACAGTTAAGCCGAATAAACAAACAAAAGAGACGTGGAAAAAGGTGAGTCAAATATACACCTGCCTGTCTGTTTGTCCATTTGTCTGTCTGTGTGTCTGTCTATTGTGAGGAGACAATGAGCTACACTCGCCTTCATAAGCTAAATGTCCATCCACACATCAACCAGGGGCAGATTATAGAAGAAATTATACAGATTTTTTTTTTATTTTGGACACTTCAATAATCGTCAACAAACTATCACTTTTGATCCCTCATTTATGAATGAATATCTTTTTAAAAGAAATCCATCTTATGCAAACAATTTTGTGTTTGTGGCGCCAAAATTGATCAAGAAGAGAAAAGCATATCAATGTCCAATAGCAAGAATAAAAATTATAACAAAAAATATATATCCACTAAAAATGTAATGTTCCTTTTCATTTATATTGTGATGACCTCTTTCAGCTCAAGCGGTTTCTGTTCGGGAATGCCTACAGCACATTTTTCACAAAGGATCAAGGATCCAAAGCCAGTAAGCCATCAATGAAAGAGATTGTCAACGAACTACGGCACAATCAAAGAAAGTAAGAACTATTGGAATGAATGCCTGTATACAAAATGTAGTAGGTCGGATGGTACATCTGTCCCAAAAACCCTAACTTGCACAATTGTTACACAGTGAGACAAATTGGAATAAGCTTGGGGAAACACAAAGTAAAAGCAACTCGCTCTGAAACAAGAACAGTGGTTCTTACAAGAAGTGGAGGTGTAAAATAACAGTTTTAATCAGCAGCTCCAACTGTCAGCCGAAATGAGCCCTACTAACCTCATCTCTAGTCCCCTAGACTGCATGTCATAAAGCAACAATAACTGGCCATTTTTCTTGCCATTGGTTAGAATGCCAGTAATTTCATTGGTTTATTTGAGCTGCCACATAATTCTTTTGTCACAAAATATTCCTGTGAACTGCTTCCCCATAAAGCATATGCAGATGCGATACCGATGGTCTAGTCAAGATAGCATCTCACTTCCCATTAATAACTTCAGATGCACTCTAGCAAAACACCCTTTTTTCTCGCTTAAATTATTCGATCATTTTAGTGGTAAAATTTGATATATAAACGCTACATAATTGAATTGATATTTTGCAGGATTCTAATGCAAGATGTGGTTCTCAAGCGACACACAGACACCTTGCGGAGAATCGCCGACAACTTTGGCATCAGTAATGAGCTGGGGGAATTATCCACATTCCAAGAGACAATGTCTGGTCTCCACTCAGATTGATAATCAGCAGGAGCGTGGCTTTTGCACAAAAATAATGCATTTGTTTGCAGTGTTTGTGTACTATATGACACAAAAATTAGTGGTGTCATGTGGTATTTAATGGGTAATTGGGATTTGTTTTTCTTTACTGTGAACATGTATATTGTTTGTGTATATTGCTCCCTGTCCATATTGAATACTCTGAAATGCCTTTATTTTTCTCATGAAAACTTATATTTTAAAGAATTTTATAGTGCAACTGCTGTTTGAAGTTAACCTTAATACTGTCTTGAGTTTTGTATATTTGCTTGTGCATTCACACAGATTTTTATTTTTGTACAATTTTTTTTTGTTATGATTAATAGAATAATCTACATCATACGTCGTTTATATTACACCACAAAAAAAGTGTTATTGCAATAGTTACACAAATACTTTATTCTGTTCACAGCTGTGATACCTCAGAAATACTGTATATAAGATTGGTTAAAGGTTGACACGGGTGGGCATGGGGGAGGTTCCAATCAGGGTTGCAGTCAAGCCGTCTCAAGTTACTGACAAGTCACCCAGTTTCTAGTCAAATGAGAAGCTGTACAATGAAATGCGGAAATGACATTCTCAACTTCTTATTTGACCTCTGATAAACTTGTGGTTGACTTGACTACAACTTTGACTCAAACACTCTCTCCTTAGATTGCTTACAAAGATAGCCTTGAGCTTCCTTGAATACTTGACAGATTGTTCAATCCACAAAAATGCTTGACCATTCAAAAGCAACATATGTGGGCTATTCTTTTAACAAAAGACATTTCCACTGAAAAAAATAATATATAATCGGTCAGCAATCAGCTGTATTAGCCAAACAAAATGTGTACATCTTTTCTCTGAAAAAAAACAACCACATACATTCTGCATTTGTGTAGTTGACGACTTCTGCATTTCATTGATTAAAAATCATGTACATGTTTTCAAATTGCAGAAAACGTCATTTAACCTATTTTATACACTTTTATGTATATTCGTTTTGCTCCTGTATTTTTACCTCGAGTGGGCATGCTTGCAAAAATATAAATCATAATTAGGTCGTCTAAAATCAAGAATTTTCAGCTCAGGAATTTCTAGTTCAGGAGGCATTATATCTTTTATACATGTTAAGCAATATATATAAAAATGACATGTTTATCTCATGTTGTACTTTTCAAACTTTGTGCGTATGATTCAGCAATTACGTATTAAATGCCCTTTGTTTTCAATAAATGGTGCTGACTGCTGACAGCCAAGAGTAATGTTAATCTCTGACCGTAGCTTGGATCAATGTTTACATCTTAGTTAACTCTGCCTACTGAGATCTGTTTTGGTAATAACACAGCTTCATATTTATATCAGAAATTCTTAGTGACTTTTGTGTCACTGGCCACCTTCTTATGTCGTTGACATTCCACTGCAAATTATCGTGTTTGAAATGTGAAGAAGAAAAAAAATCCTTTACAACATTGGGGAGATTGAATGGGTTTTGCACAGAGTAGGTATTGTTTGTCTCAATCCAATGTGGCTGATGAGGCCAGTGTTTATCTCCAGTTCCTTAGCACGGAGCCAAACAGACTATTTTGATTCCCCTTGATGGGTTGCAAGTCCATCACAGGTTAATACTGGTTCTCATTTAAAATATTCGATGGAGCACGGCCACTAAGGATAAAGTGGCTTGCCCAAGGACACAAAATATGAGCAGAAGCTGTGGTTAAGCCCTAACCACCAGGCCACACCCCTTTAAATCGGTTTGTATCAATCCTTGAGTGACTCTCGGATCATCTGCTGCTGGGCCGAGAGCTCTTCCATCTTGAGTCCGATGGATCTGGTCACAGTCTGCCTCTGTGCATCGTCCAGTTGAGACAGCAGGCGTTTGAAGTCAGCCAGTGTCTCCTCCACGGCCTGATCTGCATCCTGGAGATCTTCATTGAAGTAAACCGACCCCTTAGACTCGCGCTGTGGAGTAAAAGTGAGAATAGGGTGATTATAATTTGATTTGAGCAACTTGCATTTGAGTATGATTTCATTTAAATTTAATTCAGCCTCGCTTACTTGCTTTTCAATAACATAACTAGGAACTAACAAACTGCACAAGTACTAAAATTTGGAAATGAATTTTGTTACAAAATAGGAAAAATGTCACAGATTAAATAAATGGTTGTGCACAAGATATTCTGAGCATTGGGCATCAAAAAAAATTTCAATTTAGGCCGAGTAAAACAAAATAATAGTTTCTCGTTCAGGCTTTTCAGAAATGAAGCAGACGGGCACTTTTTTCCTTTTCTCTGAAATGGCAAAATGATTCTTCCATTTTCTCGACTCTTTTGCTGACACGAAATTGTGTTCAAAGGAGCCATAACACCTTCTATGTAGCTGCAATTTTGTTGGAAACAAATAAAAAGACAATACATGTATATTAACAATACACGTATTTGCAAAATATATTGCAAATGTATGAAGAAGAAAAAAAGGAGGCGAAGGGAAAAAAGAAGCAGGCGTGAACAAGAAACTGGTTAATTTTATTTACTGGCCATGTTGGCCTTATCATTCAACAACAATCCATCTATTTTGATCTTTTCGATGAATACATTTTTGTTGCCTTTAATTTGTTTATGCTACTGCAACAAATGTTAACTGACTAAAGAAAAGACAAGTTGACAAGTCATGGAACTTTTTTTGTTTTTGCAAGAGTCTAGTCTCACCGCATCGTCAAGAAGTTCTTTTGCTTCCATAAACCGATCTGTCAGTTTGTCCATCTCTTTTCGTAGCATGTCATCCGTAAGGCCAGTAGTCATCCATCTCTTCGAAAACACTGCGCGAGCCATTTTTGGTAGCATATGCAGAGGCCTATGGGCTCGCGCATTACTGCATGACACACCATCATGACCATGTAAACCTTGCACTTGCAGTTGCATGCGATAATGTGTTGATAACATGAACACGCGGGAATGTGTTGCGTTTGCACACTTGCTGATTCCTAATTGTCTAAAAAATCGAACCAAAGTTGGCGATTGACTTTTCCATTTATTGACTGAATAAATCTGACGCGAAAACATCCCACCCGATGTGAAACACTGAACTGAAAGATGATGGATTCTCTGAAACGAAAGTTTCATGGGCGCAGCCATCTTGGTTTAAGAGGTCACAACATTTAGTCTCTTTCAAGCAAGTACTATTTGCAACAACTTATTGAAATTATAAATGTTCAAATGAAACTTAAATAACTCCTTAAGTATGTTGATTTTTACTTTTATGATTCCTGAAATAATTATCAATCAAAGCGATTTTTATTGCTGATTACTTTTAGAGATAAATTTGTACATAATTAATTTATCAACTCAAGTGCCCGGATGTACTATATCTTTCCTCGTGTAGTTCGTGATGAGGTTATTTTCTCCGAATTCAAGTTGAACTACCGGCGCTTTATGTGCTCTGTCAAAGGGAAGAATGCATGAAGGTCACAATTTAAGATACTATTAAGGTAAGTGTATGTTATTATTTGTTATAGTTGTCGCAATAATTAGGTCTTTACATGTTACAAAATCGCAACTGGAATCGGCATGAGATTGCCCAGTTTCCGGACTATGCAGCAGTGCTTGCTACACACACCGCCTTTGGCATGTGTGTTTGGCGGCAAGGTTCGCCGGTAAGTTACTTAACTAGCGTCGTGTCTCACTTGTTAGTAATGACTATTTCGGCAGGGTCTGTGCTTTTTTATCATTTATTAAATTACTACTTTTGCCAGTTTTGGAAAGAATGTTGCATCCTTTTTTTCATTGTTTATTAAAAAAAATGTTTGTTGCAAAAATGTCGATATGATTATGACTGAGTCTGACTTTATTTTGTATCCTCTACCCTTCATAATCTGCGCAGGTGACGCATTGCCGACGGAAATTAATTTAAATGTGGTTGCGTAGAAATAGGTATGTGTAGTTTCAGGGGTCTGACGATATAGGCCTATGCCAATTCATGCATTTTTCAATTTGATTAGGCGATATAATATTTATACTTGAGACTGCACTTCGTTAACAGTTATTAACAGTTATTACCCTCAGACTTGGGTAATACAATTAAGCATATAGGCTACATAGTCATATGCTATGTGGACAATATGAGCCCTATATTTGTTAGCGTAAAAAGTCACCTTTTTTTTTACTTCTCCACAAGTTCCCATCCAATGATGACGATTGACCAAACACTAAAGAGAGATCTTCTGAAGACCAAGACCCCTGGTGCTTCTACTGACCCTATTCCTGTGGAAGCAGGGGTGCAGTCAGGGGCTGACTTGGACCAGCACTTGGTGGCTTCCTCCAAGCAGGTGCTACACAAGACCATTGATTTCCGCCCAGCTGAGAAGGACATCTCCTTCCAGTTGCAGAATCTCCGGGTCAAGTATGTGGCGCTGAACCCGAGCCAGCCAGAGGCAGTGGAGTCTGGAGCAGCGTCAAGCAGCAAACATAGTGAGTCCATTCTCCATTAAAACCCCCTAGTAGTTGCTCAGGACTACCCTGCTAAATCCAACAGAGTCCAATCGGAGTTTCCTGCTCCATCCACTGTACCTTACTTTCAGTTGTCTGCTAAATCCAACGGAGTCCAACTTGGCGTTATAATGCGGTTCAGTTGCTTGCTGAATCTAACATTTTGCATCAGAAATGTACACAAGGGGTTTACTGCTCAATCCAACAGGCTCCATCGGGTATATGATATACTTGGATCCTGTTGGATTCAGCAGGATTAGGGTTAGTGGAAGAGACACATTGAGTTTATTGGTTCAACCAGACTGGGTTGTTGACAGATATATTCATTGTATTTACAGGTCAAATGAATGGTCAAGTGGAGGTGAAAAATGATGGCATCCCAGCCCCCAAGAAGATCCTGTACCCGTTTGAAAAGATCGCCCTCTCTTGGCAGCGTTGCCAGCGAGTTGGGCCAGGCCTCATCAACTTGGGCAATACGTGTTTCCTGAATGCAACGCTACAGTGCCTCACCTACACGCCGCCACTCACAAACTATCTCCTCACTCACCAGCACAAAAGTGAATGTAAGTACTGTCAATTGTTGTGTGGTATCAAAACCAGTGGCATATTGATGTAATTGTTTGTGTTTATTCAAAACTTAGACACGGAAAGATTTCCATATACGAAGTTCACTCAACACCCTGTGTACAAACCCTATGAGATTGGACTGAAAATTTTTAAGTGTTTTCTAAGAAAATGCTTGTATTTTCTCACTGCTCAAATTGACTTTGATGACATGAAATTGCTATCTGGGGGCTTGTTAGTCAATACAGAGGAAAATTAGTGAACTTCGTATATGGAAATCTTTCCCTTAGACACTGTGCCCTGTGCAGTGTAGTGGCTGGACTCTACAGTCCAATGGATCTTTGTATTACCTTTAAATTGTGACCCGTTGTTTTTTCTTTGGTCAGGTCGTGAGCCTGGGTTCTGCATCATGTGTGAGCTTTGTAACCACGTCCATCGGACATTCAACCACCAGCAAAATGGTCAGGCCATTCGGCCAATGGTCATACTCCACAGACTCAAACGTGAGTCCAAGCTTGCTTCAAACCTTCACTCTGATTGGCAGTTTAAATCGGAACTTTCCTTGTAAACAATCTCCCAGTGTCTTCCATTGCAGGAAACCATTGGCATATTCTTTGACCTTGGCCTAAACAAATCTGTAGTTGCTAAAGACACCTAGAATTTACAACGGGATGGAGGATTTTTCAATCCAATCTGGCTGTCTAGGTTTAAAGACTTCGAAGAAGATACTAGCTGCTTTGTACAATATTTCCACTTGAAAATAGCGCTCAGATTTTAACTCATCAAGGGAATATACTTACAAACAAATTGTAACTTATTTTGCCAAGTCATGATTTTTGTTAAACTATTTTAGAATAAGCCATTCAAATTGAGTTTTTTCAGTATTTTTTAGAGTTGCTAGCAATAAATTGCCATTGTGAGCCTGAATGCATTCATGTCTGTTGTATTTTCCTTCGTAGATTTCGCTAAGCACATGCACGTAGGGAGGCAGGAGGACGCCCATGAATTTCTTCGGTTGCTCATCGAGGCCATGCAGAAAGCCTGCATCCACGGGTTGGACAAGTGAGTAGTCAATCACATCAGATTGCAATATAAGCAGTTGTCATTTTTTCATATAATAGAACTATGCACATTTCCTGTAGACCTGTACAGATTTCTTACTGCAATAGTAATGAAACCTTGCAAGTGCATAATGTTATTTAATCCTCATTTTTGATGTGCAGGTTGGACAAGTACAGCAAAGAGACCAGCCTGGTGTATCAGATATTCAGTGGTTACTACCGGAGTCGAGGTAAGACAAGTTTGTGAGTTTTGTTGTTGCGCCAGTCTTATTTTCACAGTAAAGAGTCACGCATGCGCATTAAAAAAAGCTAACAGAGAGTTACAGCATCACGTGAAAGGATTGACTAATCAGTCATTCGCTTTTAATTGGTTTGGACATTTCCTTCACAAACATTCTGTTTAAATGACGTGAGTCATTCCTTTTTGAGTGTTTCAACTTGTTGAGTGTTTCAATTTGCATCATGGTCCGAAGACGTTCTCTGTACGCAAAGACTCGTATAATAAGATTATCTTCTTCTTGGGCTCGGCCTAACATTTTGGAAGACCTCAATAAGGATGGTATTGTTGTCAGCTGACGTGCCATAGAAGGTGTTTCCACATTGCTTAAACAGTTAATTAACGAATTTATACGAAAATGACTACGAGTTGAGCTCACAAGATGTGTGCCTCATTCTGCGCAACGCTCAAATGGAAATATTCTTTTCTTACAGTTATTTGTTCGGTGTGCCAAAACAAATCAGACACGTTTGACCCGTTCTTGGATATTGGACTGGACATAAAGGTAGGATTGTATTTTCATAATATTTTTGTTTAAGGTTCCCAGCCATAAGTTTTCATTTGAATTTTCAACCTAGAAAGAAAGTCCCTTAAAGGAAAGATTTAGACATTTAGAAGACGTGGCTTCAAGGCCTTGTTAAACCAGCCCTCATTATCTTCCTCAATTTTCGATGTATTTCCTGTGGGCTTCATTCTTTGATGATTTCTGCCTAACAGCAAGCACCAACGGTGACCAAGGCCCTAGAGAGACTCATCAGGCCAGAGATGCTGGATGGGGAGAACCTCTACCAGTGCAAAAAGTAGGTTGACATCTTGTTATTCTTTCACTTAGACAATTTCTAAAAACGTATGGAATGTTACATTGTATCCCCGTCTTATCTTATTTTTTGTAATCAAGAATTGTACTTGACCATAACTGCAGATTGGTTTTTCGTAACGGAATTTTGATGGTCGAATATATGTTAATATATTTTGCAACAGGTCAGTGCCAAATGAAAATGCAGTGGATGCTTAAGTTTCATTAATTTGGTGTCTATTGATGGGACGGCTTATTGACATGGAAAATATTGCACAAAATGTAATATCCAATTTTGGTTTTGCTGTTTTATTTTACAGGTGTAGTCGGAAAGTGCAAGCTCAGAAGAGATTCACCATCCAACGATCTCCGGCAGTGCTCACTCTCTGCCTCAAGAGGTATAGAAACATCCGTTGTGTCAATGCAAACTTGAACAGTCTTTGTCTTTTCGTTTTCAGTGCATAATTATACCCTCAGCAGTAAAAAGGCAAAACCAAAGACTAGCATTGAAGGACACTTGGAAGTGTTTTGGGAAGCATGTTCATTTTTGACTGGCATTTAGATCAGGCAAGCCACTGGATTTCTGACTCATTGTGACTGCAGGTTAATGAAGGTTTGTGATGCTTTTCCTTTGTCCAGGTTTGACTTCAACCGGTTCAGCATGGGGAAAATCAACAAGGATCTAGCGTACTCAGAGAATCTCAATCTCAGGCCATACATGAGTGACCCAAAGGTGAGAAGCCTGTACCAACATCAAACAGAGTCGTGACTCCACTATTGATATCTCTCAAATGATATCACTGCCTGCAGATTGCCACGTGCATCAGCATTTTGGGAGTCAAATTTTCGTGACGCGCATCGGCTGTGTCGTATTTCAAAGAAGTTTTGAGCAGCATGCGCGCGTTTAGAACATTTTGCACACTTCACGCACACGTACCTTTGAATGCGCATTTGTAATTTGCCTACCAAGATGGCTGTCTATGAGAGGGGTCTATTATGAGTAACTTCTCATAGCTGATTCTTGAGACTTGATTCCAGACAGTGCCTACCAGTTCTCAAGACGTACCAACTTCAAAAATCAAGTGATTCTGGGAAGAAGCAGCTTGTTAATAGCATGTTGTGTATCACAGAGCATGCTGATGTGTTTTGTCCATGAACGCTCTTAAACTAACAGTGTTAAATAATAATGTTTCATAGAGTCCAGGTCCATAGCGTTGTGGGATATTTCAGCATACCCTCTTGTCTAAATTCCCTGATATGTAACTTTAATTAAAAGCCTGAGAACTTGAACCACATTTAATTCTTGCTAAGCCGTGCTATCTTTCAGTTTACTCAGCCTCCGAAACAATTCAACTGCAATACTGATTTGAAGCTCTTATTCGTCCACCAGGGTCCTCCGATCATGTACGAGCTGTACGCTGTTCTGAAGCACGAGGGCGCTTCTTGCAACTCGGGTCACTACTACTGCTATGTCAAGGCGGCCAATCAGAGCTGGTATTGCATGAACGATGCTTTCGTCAGCCAAGTCAGTCTGCAGCGGGTCCTGAACCAGAATGCCTACTTGCTGTTCTACATCCGCAAGAGCAACTTCAAGTCGCCCATGAACGGTGGGGAGGTGAGTAGCTCTCGGCAATGCCTGGGGAAAATGGATGTGTATTGACTCCAGAGGGCGCTGTTTGACTTAATCATAAAAGTGTGAGATGTAAGAAGGTTCCCGAGCAACATGCCTAGAGTGAAATTTGCATTGTTTAACCCATGTTTTGAAATATGTCTGTTATTTCCTGTCTCCCCCAGTCCAAGCGAGACGTGATGCACACAAACAACCCCAAGCCAGCTACAACCATCAGCAAGCCTCAGTCGCTATTCAACGGCCCCGTGGGTGTGCCTGTGCCCAGACCCTCCACCAGCACCCATCCCCAGCAGAATGCAGGATTCAAGCCAACGGTCATCACAGACGACAAGCAGAAGAGACCACTACAGGAACAGAAACAGGAGCAACCACAGCAGGAGGCTAGACATCACCTGCCAAAGATGATCCCCCTCCCCGTCCAACGCGAGAAACTCTCTTTTCAGTTTCGGCCCAAAGGTTCCGGACTAGGCTCGCCAAATTCACACGGACAGCAGCCTGTGCTGGTCACGAAAAAACAATCTCCGACTACCGCACCTATAAAGAGTCCGGTTGTGACTGGATCAGGTGATGCTGCCAGGCAGGTCCAATCAGAGAAGTCCTCAACAACAACAACAACAACCACAACGGTCTTCTCACCTCTCAGACCAAACCCCACCTCACCGCCGGCACTGGGCTCACCCAAACACCCCTTGCAAGGACTCGTGAAACCCAAGAGCCGAACACCCCAAGACGCTTCCAACATGAACGGCATCTGTAAAAAGCAGACAGGCTCCGGCCTGGTTCCCTACACAGCAGAGGATTCCAATTCCTCTAGCGATTCGGACACCAATTATGATCAGGTTGCTGAAGCTCTGTCTAGGAATCCAGCCGGAGATGCTGGAACTCAAACACCAAAAATCACAGACAAATCAACAACAAAGTCCCAAGACGAACAGAAGGATGTAAGTAGAATTGAGAATCAGCCGGACACTACCCCAATGAGACCCCCAGCAGCTGCTAAAACGTTGCCATCCGAGGGCCTCCAACTCTCACCCACCCACCTCAAAAAGGCTGGCTTGGCCAACAGTATAAACCTGACGACTATCCGTAAGCCAGACTCCCCGCTTAAGCTGACCATCACAACCAACGGGCAGGCCCAGCGCCTCAAGTCTACCACCCACTGGCGGACGGCGGACTCCGATTCCCAGATCTCTCCCTCCCCGGCTTCTGACTGCAGTCTCCACAGTAATGTCTCTACAAACTCCACCAGTGAGTGGAATATCCTGGAGAAGAAAGACGCTCCTCAAACTCCTGAGGAGGTCAAAAAGGAAGCTGCGGTCTTTGGCTGGAACATCACACCTTCTAAATCTGTGAACTCTGAGAAATCTGCATCAGACACAGATGAACGTAGAACTACAATAAAAGGGCCAAAGACAGCCCTCAAATTTGATAATATCCAGGACCAAACACCAGGGGAGAAAGACTTAAAAAAGAAGTTGTCACACAGTAAAGAGGAAACGAAAGGATCCACAGTTACATCACATACGGTGGTAGAATCTTCTAGTGTTCCAAAGGAGTCCGGTGATAAAGTGACAGACAATGAGGATTTGCAAGTACAGGGCACTTCAGTGGACCTGAAACCTCAAATCGATTCAGAACTTTTGGGAACTTCTTTGAAAAGTGAGAACTCACCAGAGAGGGGCACGAGTGAGGAATGTGGAGAAGTTGCAACTGCAAAGAAGAAGAAAAAGAAGAAGAAGCAGCATCTCAGTCCAACCGATGAAAGCTTCGCGGAACTTGACAAATCTGAACTCTTACTGTCAGAGAGCAACACAGACAAGGAGCCAGCAGAGGGTACCAGTCTGCAGATGAGCTCTAGAGAGACTGGAAATGCTTCAGACTGCTTGCTTGAAACTCCCAAGAAGCACAAGAAGAAGAAGAAGAAAAAGAAGAAGAAGGAAAAGCTTGAAGAGGAGGAAGAAGTAGAGTTGGTAGAGGAATGGGTGGAACGTGTTGTCGAGCCACAGATACATGACGACAGGGTACCTCTGTTGAGTGACTCAAAGACACACACTGACAAACACAAGAAAGAACATGACAGCCATGACAAGCACAAGTCCACTAGAAATCTAGACAGCCATTCCGACGAAGATGAAGCTAGCCATAAACATTCAACCTCATACAAGAAACACAAGGAAAAGCACTCACTGATCCGACGCACCATAGAGAAGAACATCAAGCTTCACCGAAACCGCCACTCCAGCAGCGATGACTCAAGAGAGACATCTTCCCGACACAACGGCCACAGACGCGACTCACACAGCGACAGTCATCACAAAAGAACGTTTAGCCACAAACGGACACACGGCAACCATGAATCATCCCTAGAGCATTCAAAGCACTACAAGGAGTCTCGAAAAACGCACAGCTCGGACGACCACAGTGGTTCCGACTACCCTGCAAAAATACGACTCCTAGAGGACGATTCGCCCGTGGATTCGCATCGAGAGAAGAAGAAAAGAAAACACAGTGATTCCTACCGACACAGGCACAGCTCTGACAGCAAACATTCAAAATCTCACAAGGAGCACAGGATCAGAGACTCGGACAAGGATGGAAAATACTCTGAGAAATCACCCAGGCTAAATGGGGATGACGATTCAAACAGTCACAGGAAAGAGAAAAAGAAGAAACGAAAACACAGAGATGAAGACGAGGTTGAAGAAGCCCTGCTTCACCGTGGCAGAGAGGATGAGGATTACAAACCAGAGAAGAAAAAGAAGAAGAAGAAGAAGGACCGACCATTAGATGAAGAAGAGGAAAGCACAAGGGATGTTGAGGATGCTGTTACGAAACACAAACATGAAGGTGAGCATCACTCATTTCTGAGAAGTCGTTTTTAGGACAGGTACAGACGTAGGACAACTTAGACGGACAAAAAGGGGATATGTAGACTGACAGACGAGGCAATGTAGACAGACAAATGGGGAATGTAGACAGACAAACAGAGGAAATGTAGACAGACAAACAGGGGAAATGTTGGAGAGATTCCTAACAACAGTTAGCCATCAAGTGTTTGTGTTAGAAGATGGCATTTCAGTGTCAACATCTCATCCTGCTTTTGATTATCTCGGGTGGCACACTGTAACTTGAAGTTGTTTGGCAAAACTCTTCTAGGTTTGTCAAACAATATCTGTGCTGATATGTCTGTGTATACGTTGCTGTTTAGACAAAGTGCCAGTACAGCAGTGGGACCACCATATACAGGATGGCCATCGAAAACACAGCGACGACGGCAACAAATCGAAGACGCACGCTACGTGGGACGGCAGTCACTCAGCATCGGGGGTCATGGAGGAGTTAGGCAAAGCATCTCTCAAGTCATATGGACCTGCAAGTAAGTCGGCCATGATGTGGGTCCTTTCATGTGTGAGATGCTTGACACTGTGCAAAGTAAAGTCTTTGTACTTAAACTTTTCAAAGGGTATAAAATCAGGCATGAGACTTGTCTTCGGATCCGCTGATTTCTTCATTTGTAACTTCTCATGAATGCCATGACAAATTAAAAATACTGACAAAGTCTTGTGTGGTTTGGAGTTTCCTCGTTTTTTTTCTGAATTCCCAGCTGCATGCCTGTGCAACGTAAGGCTGCATCCCAATTACTTGGCTACGGCTTGATATTACACACGTGTCAATGAGTAGCGGCTGCAGCCGGATGAAGCGGCTTACCATTGACACGTGTGTAATATCAAGCCGTAGTCAAGTAATTCAGACGTGGCCTAAAGGATCCGTGAGGGTTATGGTGTTACTGTTCTAAAGTTAGCGTTCCATCACAAACTGAAATGGTGCATTCATATCCTGTGATGTGAGTTTTAGGTTATTCAAGGGAAAACACTTTACAGAGCAGCCCTGGTTGACTTGAGATTCAAAGCCAGATCATTTACCTGGATTCATGATCCATGTTTTGTTTCCAGTCAAATCCTGGGATGGAGGTCGGAGTGTCCTGGATAACGAGGTTGAACAGGACTCCAGAAAGGACAGGCAGAGAGATCCATACGAAGAGGACTTTGACAGAGGCAAGGTAAGCGCGACTCTGAGAGAAGAGAAGTCTTAGGTTTTTTTGCCAATCTCTATCTCACTGACTGACCAACTGTCTAACTGACTCAATAAGCTGGGCGGTGCTATCTCATGGAATTACCCTGTAATGCCAACGAATTGGCTAAATCCGGCCCATTGTGTACACAGATGCGTGAAGTGTTTTTCCAGTGAATAGTGATTCTGAATCGATTGGGGCGATTCACAATGCAGTGCGCCACCAAGAGTTTGCCACAGAGAGTTCATTTTTCCGAGTGCATTGTGGGAGATGGTCCACAAATTCGCAGCGCAGGACATTAGAAATTGTTAATTTTTCCGGTCAGTAGTTTCGTAAGCGTATGATTCCAGTATAAGTTTGCCCTTTTCTTTTCATAACTACGGTGTTTTTTGTAAGGCAGCAGAACGCTATGCCCCTATCTATAACAAATCAGCTCAAAGTTGTCTACTGACACTCATTCAAATGGGCCATGTTTTGTCAACCGTAAACTTGAAAAATGGACTCTCCGTGGCAAACTCTTGGTGGCGCACTGCATTGTGAATCGCCCAAATTGAATAGAATTTTGTGCTCTCTGGGACCAGCTTTACTAGGCTACCTTGTCCTGTGTCCCTACTGCTCACACTCTCAATGTGATGTCAGATTTACGCTGTGCGTCGTCACAAAATTCCACTGCTTTGATAAATGGTGTTGAAGTGCTCTGTTTGTGGTTCTGTGATCAGACACTCTGCTTACTTCTTTGTCATGACTAGGTTAAGAAAGTCAAAAAGCACCACGATGACAGCAGACGCAAGATGTTCAGCGGTCGGCACAATATGTTCCAATCTGTGCAAAATATGAGGAATAAAGTCTCCAAGGTAAGATCTAACTATTCTTTAAGACATCAACAGATTAAATATTTGAAAGTGTATGAATATGGATGCGTAGACTTAAAGGTAATATACAACATCAAAAAATTGGGGGGGGGTAGTGTTTTAGAAAAACCTACAAAATTTCATCAGGAAATATAAACAAGTTAATCTAGTTCTGCCCACCCCCCCCCCCCCCCCCCCCCCCATATTCCCTAACATCAATCAATTCCACAGTTTTCGCTGAAGTAGGGTCTGGGAACCAGACTACAAAATTGACATTTTTTTAAATTGGATTTTCCAGCATCTATGAACACAAAACTCTGAACAGGTCAATATTTGAACAATATTTGCTATAAATACTAACCCCCAAATCCATCCATTTCTGAAAATTACAGCAAAGGCAAATGCTGTATATTACCTTTAAAAATGGAGCTCTTGTACAAAACACAATCAAAACACAGACAGCAAATTCAATTACCACTTTCCATTGTCGTTTTGTAGGAGCACCATGGTTACAGTCGGTTCTCGCATCAGTCTCATGAAGAGCGCCCTCGGTGACGGAAACCAGACAGCCGATGAAACAAGATATCACTCTCGGTATTTGTAATATGCTTATTGAATGTACAGACCATAACATGTCACAGTATTCAATGCTTTATTTATTACGACGCTCAAAACTCGGCAAAGAATTGATTTCTAATGCTTTAGCTTCCTGGAGCCGAAAGTAGAACTCAAAATATACAATATTCTTGATGGATATAAATAACAAGATGTCATTTGCTTTGTCATATATGTATATATGCAGATATTTGCATTATTTCCTTCACAAAAATGTGTAAGAATTATATTGAGCATATCCACCCATAATGGTGTTGAAGGCTCAACAACAAAGTTTGGACAATTACACATCTTTGACTTTTTGACGCAAGTTACTTTATTTCAGAACTAGTACCTTGGATGTCACTAATTTTAAGATAAATATTTGATTTTAAGAAATAATGTATTTCATTTTTTGAATCATCCTGAACATAACTTGGGCATTAAGAAATGAAAAGAAAAGTCTTTTATTATAAAAAGTTCCCCGGAGAATTCATTTATTTTTAAAATGACATGATGGTGGAAGTGAGATAGAGAAATCGTGAATATTTTTTACCCAAAAATCAATACAAAAAATCTGACTGTCAATCAATGTGGTGATCAATCTTAACAGTGTACATTTTTATTATTTGTATCGTTATGGAAGCTGTTTCTGCAATTTAATTTATGCTGGCACCAATGTGAATGTCTTGAAATTGTTCTGTTTGATTATTTTTTTCTTATTTTTTAATTGTAAATCTGTATTGAAAATGAAGTATAACCTGTTCAAAATATTGGTTCAAATTGATCCCAAATGTCAGGGTTGAACCTCCTGTCACTTCAAACATCCACCTCTCTCACATGTTCTCTGTACTTAAAACTTTCAAGGTTCATCAGTCCCATGTAAAGTAATGATTACTGGGTTCTATCTTTCTAAATCCTACAAAATTCTTCAGTTGGTGGATTTTGAAGGATCTAGGAGGGGTTGGCGTAATACGACACAAATGTGACTATCTCGTTGAAAAGCAGAACTGTTCCCCTGAAAATCATTTTTGTTTTGACTGGTCAAAATAATATAATAATTAGCACAACATAAAAGATTTTAAAATTAATTTTGTAAAAAGTATATTTTAATATTGTGTTTCGGATTAGCTGCCGATTTGAAGGATTAAGCTTGATATTAAAGCTTTACATCACCGTGCAGTTTCTATCGAAGACCCTATAGAAAGATTGTTCACCTTGGAAACATTTTCCATCCGTTTATCCGGCATGATTGGGAACTCGAACCTTTTCAAAGAAAATTTTACTGATTTTCAATTTTACTGATTTACAAATGCTGTCATCAGGAAATTATTATTTTTATTCCTGTCATAATCACTTGAGTCTGTCAATATTTCAGTATTGAAATACAACGTAGTGTCACAATCATTTTGTTTAAGTTGTGAAACTAAAATGAGAGGAGTTACTGACATTACTTTTCCGTGAATGAATGGTTCATCGTCAGGCATTATCTGCATACGTCGCACTCTTAATTTGTCAGATTGTGTATCATGTTGTAATTGTAATCTAAAAGATTAGTCTGCTAAGAAAGAAAGTTTATCAAATAAAGTGGAGGAGGCAAGTTTTTAACGTACATTGTGTGTATGAGACAGATTCCTAAGTGGTGTTGTCCTTATTTGGGAAAAGTATGGAAACAGCTTTTCTTTCTTTTTTATTTACTTGGAACAAATTTTCCCAAATACATATACTAGGAAGCTGAATTCAATAATGAGAGGAGTATGTTGAGTGCAGTGCGGTGTGGCAGCTTTCACCACCACTCTCTAGAAAAAAAATCGTATTTTCCTTCAATGTTGGTATTTAATTAGATCTAAAGAGCACTATGAGTCATCTGGATTCGACTACAGGCTACCAATTCGAGGAATTTTCGGTTGATTTTTGGTATCCCGTTTGTACCAATTCTCAGTAACCATTGACAGGTGATCCTATTGATATCTGTCATTCTATTGAGAGGGCGGATCCCAATGCGCCGGTCCAGTGCCTCACAATCATGAGGCATGTTGATGATAATCTCCTAAACAAGACCCGTGTTCAATATGGAGCCACCTTTTTGCACGGATTGAGTACCAACTTCTCAAGATGTCCTCTGTATCAGCTGAAACCTGACAGAATGTGGACTCCCTAAACCTTCTTTGTCAGTCGTACCAGACTTGGCAGTGTCAAGGTCTCAAATCGAAACGGATGTCTTCGAAGATTGGGGGCCGACAGCAGTGGCGTCGTTGCGGATAGCGAGGTGAGTAGGCCCTTAACTAGCCCTCACAACGTTTCGTTGTATTAAGGCATTGGTCAAAGATATACCTTATGTGTCGAACTGAAATTACATCTGGTGATTTGCCATGATATATAACACAAGCCTGTTGAATGCCAAGAGAAATGGTCAAATAATATAAACAAAGAAATATAGTGTGTTGATTAAGTGCGAATAATGCAAACCCAGTTGAAGTCAACTCTAATGGAATTTAAAAACAACAACCATTTTTTTCCAAACAAAAACTCTAGAAGTACCTCGAAATCGATGGTAACAAAAAGTACGGAGCGTCCCGACACACTGTGGTTGTTTTATTGTACAGTCGTTATGTGTATTTTTTTTCTTCGACGGTTTCAGTCGATTTCTAACATTTTTTGTCATTACATCACACTTATTACCAAACGAAGTTTCATTTCAATACCATTTGGTTTTTCTGGAGTTATTGTCACCAACAGAGTGCTTCATTTTTGTTCACTTAAAATAGCTTAAGATTCGGAATGAATTTGTCGTGATCAAAACACTTATTTTCTTCAAATCATATTAGATTTATTCTTCCACGGTTCCTGTCAAGGTTCAAACGGTTGTGTCAAATATCGTGGCCAATTATGTCAAAGAAACGGTCAAACAATAGAAATAATATAAGCAACACAATGTAGTGCGTTAAGCGCGAAAAAAAACTGCAATCCCAGTTTTAGTCAACTCCAGTTGACACTCGTTGTGGACAAAACATCTCCAGAAATGCTTGTTGAAGTTTTGTTAATGTATTGGTCCTGATGTTTTAGAAAAACCTACAAAATGTCATCAAGAAATATAGACAAATTAATTTAGTACACCCCCTCCCCCCAAAAAATACTATAGACTGTGGTCAGCGCGCGAATTAAGTCAACTTTAATGGAACAAAATCAACATACTCTATTTCCAGACAAAAACTTCAGAAATTCCTCATGTATCCAACTGAAATTAAATCTGGTAATTTGACATGATATATGACATAATACTGTAGAATGCCAAGAGAAATTATGGTCAAACAATAGAAATAACATCAGTAAAAAAAACCTCCAAAAAACCAACAGTTTATCGTGTTAAAATGCAATCCCAATGGAAATCAACTTTAATTGATCAAAATAATTACCCTCGTCGTAGACACAATAACTCATGAACCACTTGTTGTGCTGAAGAGAAATTTTGCTAATAGATTGGTCCTGATGTCTTTGACATATCTACAAATTGTCTTTAGAAAATATAAACAAATTAATTAAGTATACAATCCTCCAAAAATAGAGTATGGTCTGCGCGAAATGCAATCCGAAATAAAGTCAATTTTAATGGAACAAACAACATACTCGTTTTCCAGACAAAAACTCTAGAAATATCTTATGTATCGAACTGAAACTCTGGTAATTTGACACGATATATCACAATACTTTGGAATGTCAATTAGAAATGATTTAACAATAGAAATAACATAAGCAAAACAATGATGTGTGAAAGTGCAAAAAACAAACTGCAATCCCAATTGAAGTCAACTTTTCAACTGATCAAAATATTTACACTCGTTGCGGGACACAATAACTCCAGAAATACTTCGTTTAAGAGAAGTTTTGTTAATTGATTGGTGATAGTGTTTTAGAGAAACCTACAAAATTTCATCAGGGAATATAAACAAGTTAATCTAGTTCTTCCCACCCCCCCCCCCCCCCCCAAATTGATTGTGTGGACAGCGCGCGAATTAAAGTCAACTTTAATGGAACAAAACAAGTTTAACAACATATTCGTTTTCCAGACAAAAACTCTAGAAATACCTCATTTATTGAACAGAAGTTATATGTGGTGATTTGGCAAGATATATATCACAAATCTGTCGAATGTTAAGTGCGATTGTCAAAAAATAGAGCAAAAACTGTAGTGCGTTTCATGCACGTCTGTTTAAAAAAAAATAAAAAATTCAAGGACGCCCTCTATAGTCAGCCAAAACTGACAATGCAGGAAACAAGGGCGCCCTCTAATGCTCGCAAAAGTGCAACTTGCATCTTGTTTCAAGGACGGCGCCCTCTATAAAGTTCTTTTAAAGTTTCCAAAAAATAAATGGCGCCCTCTTTTGCACTGAATTTTAATGTTCCCGGCAAAAAGTAGCAGGTTAGAGTTCAGATTCAATGTGTAGGGGATTCATTTTTTTTTTTAATGTAAAGCACTACCACTTTTTTTCTGACATTAGTTTGAAACAGTACTTTTTGGTAATTGTTTTGCTTAATTTGATATAAAAGAAATATAGAGGAATAAAAAATAAAGAAGAGAGGCAGGAGCTAAAAATGTTCATTACCCTAGCTACCTAACGAGCACAGTGGTCAAATCAAAAGAAAGCCTCTCACAAACTTCTCTCCTCGTAATATGTTGTCTTTAATAAAAAGTCTATTCTTCAAACCCCATTAAGAATGTGTAAGATTTAAAACATAGGTTAAGTGACGTTTTACTTGATCAAGTAAAAATCCTTATAAAAGTAACAAACTACTTGAAAAAGTAACAATAATTTCAATCAACATAGTTTAGTCTAGATAAAATAAATATTAAACTGTGGCCTCAAATTTCCTTACCTCTTTGATTCCACTAAAAAAGGCTACTGCCCACATTTGATGACACTTTACCCTGTCAATTGTAAACTATTGATGAAACAGTTTGTAAGGGTTAGGCATATTGCCCTTGACCTTTGACCTAAAGCTCCAAATTGAACTTCTACTTGCAAGCATGTTTCTTGTCATACAGTCTAACTCGAGTTATTGCAATGACACACGGTTTGTAGCCTAAATATTCCAAAGGCTTCTTTTGGCAGTTCCACGTTATACGACAATACGTCAAGTTGAACTCGAGTTCACAGGAAGACACCAAAATGGGATGAGGAAGTTCAAGAGGTGCCCACAGATCCTACCTAGCAAGTATCACACAGACTCTTGTGAGAATTTCCTACGTTTCCGACTTCTCGTTATTTTCCTGTGATAACCTTTACCAAACCAGCCTGGTTTGGTTACCACTGATGTTGGCTGGTCCCCGTCACAAGGAGCTGACAAATCCTTCCCTATCTGCCCTCCACCCGCATTGTCCACATCTGCGGCTAGTTCTCTCTTAACGGTTCCCATATCAGATGGTTGTACGGCAACCTGTGAATCCCCGGTACTCCCTTTGACATCCTGGTCTGAACCGGTCGGGTCTGGTTCCACCCGGTCTGAACCGGCTGGAGCTAGTTCCTGCTTGACTGATTCTGGAATCGGAGTTTGTAACAATTTGGTGCTGAATGTGCTTAGTTCCTCCTTCCGTAGTGGAGTTGCCATGGAGAAAATTGGATCATGTGACCTGGTGGGGAAAAAAAGGCAAATTCCAAGGCAACAAGAAATCATCAATCTGAGAATTGTGCTTGAAATGAAAACATAATTTGTTTAAGCACTGTGCTGTTAGCTTAGTTAGAAATACTCAAAGCTTGCTCGGTGGGACTCGAACCTTCAATCTTATTGGTGCAGATGTCTGTGAAGGGCAAAAACTCAATAAAACCTGATTTTTTGTAGGCCATATACCTTTTGTATTCTGGTATCTTCAGTTCCAGCTTGGACATGACTTTTTCCATCACACTGTCACATCTGCCGTGGATTTTCAGCACTGCCATCTTATCTTTTGGTGTCCACTAAAAAAAAGGAAAAACAAAACAGAAATTACATTTACTTCTAGCTGGTCAGTAGTTCCTCCAAGGTAAACTTCTGGACTCCCAACCACTTTGTTGACCAGCTGGCAGATTTGACTTGTTATAATGCAAGTCAACGAGGAACACTTTCCAACTTTAAATGGGAGATTAGTATTACCTGAAGGTTGACGATGTACAGCTTGGGTTGCTTGGCTTTTGCTCGGTTTGTCCCCCACAGACAAGTATACCGCTTCAGAACCTGCAAAACATGGAGTGAAATGATTAGATATAGGGAGCTTTGAAAAATACAAGATGGCACCATGAAAGTTGTAATATTGGGTTTTATTTACACCAATGACTTATCAGATGGTAATCATCCAGCTAACCCCAAGACGTCTGTACTACTAAGCAGGAGGTTATGGGTTCAAGTCCTACCCAAGTTAGCTTGTTAGGTCAAAAGAGGAAGAACAATGACACAGTAATAATGTTCATCATACCTTAAGTGTAGAACCCAGACACAGTATCATGTCTGCCTCACTGGCTGCCGAGACGGCACCTGGCCAATTCAATGGTCGTTCAACTGCTCCCTTCTCACCAAAGTGAACAATGGAATCCCTGAGTGGTCCCCCGCAGGTATGGCATCGGCGACCGGTGTTATGCCTTCTGCAGGCCGTTCTCTCTGTTACATCAAAGAGACGCACGTATTGGGCTTCTGGGTTGCAGTCTGTACAAACCTGTGATGGCAAGTGTGAGATGTTGGTTTAGCAACAGGGTTCAATTTCTAAGGGGTTGGGCTGGGTACGGATGGGTGGGGCTGGGTTGGATTGGGTTGGTTTGATTGGGTTAGGTTGGGTTGGGCTGGGCTTGACTGGGTTGGGCCGGGTTAGAAAGGGTTGGGTTGGGATGCATTAGGTTTGGTGAATGGGGTTGGGCTGCATTAAGTTGGGTTCTGTTGGGTTGGGCTTGGTTGGGGTGAACTGGGTTAAGGTGGGTTGATTTGGTTTGATTCGTGCTGGGTGGGGCTTGGGCTGGGTTGGGCTAAATTGGGCTCGGTAGGGCTCGGCTTATTCTCACCTCGATGAACATGTTTCCATGGACCTCGGACAACGCCCTCAGCGGCATGCCACTTCTCAAATGCAAACCATCACAATTCTGAGAAACAACATGCTGGACCTGTAGTCACACAGCACAAATTAGAAAAAAATATATAAATTAAGTTTAACAAAGACGACAAGTGAACTGTCAAACAAAAATCCAAAACTTTTCATATTATCAAAAGACACTGATTGTTCCTTTGCAGTGAACTTTGTCTGCTTTGTCTGCTTTACAGTGACGATGAAATATTGGCCCTGGGTGTCAACTTACCACGCCTTGTCGTTGCAGCTCTGTGATTGCCATGTGTGTCAGGGTTGGATCAGCATCAACAAGGGACTTAGTCCTGCAAGAGTTGTACAGTTTTACTTAGGGTTGGGTGACAAAAATATCTTTTCTTCACGACTGACTTGTAAGGTAATAAAATGTAAAGGCAAGTGGTTTTTTTTTGGGGGGGGGGGATTGAGAAAGGGGTAAACTAAAAATCAGACAAGTCATAAGAATGCAAGAGATGGGGAAATTTTGCGGAAAGATCATATGAAGTTACTAACGTCAGCCTGGTTTCACACCTTCATTCCTCGAATGTTTTCCAAACGTCGGTTTCATCTCCGGCTTTGGCTCCATCTTAGAAGCTGAAACTGAAGACAAAACCGAAGTTTGGAACACATCAAGATTTTGCAGTAGGCCAAGTTTGTGAAAATTTTACCTGACTTCTTGCCCCTTCTGTAGCAGCGTCCACACACCGCTTGGTCCCCTGTAATCCGGTATGGAAGCAGCCTAAGAGCAAAGCAAATTGGATCTTTAATGGAAAGTGTTGAGCCTTGAATAAAGTTGGTTGCAGTCAGAGTGCTACAATGCTCCTTTCAGAAAAAGGAGGAAGTTTGAACAGTGCACTTCCTTGTGAGTCCAACAATTACACAAAAGCTTAGGTGGTAAAGTGTGTATCATTTAAAATTGGAATGATGTCAAACTTTGCTGGTGAAACATTTCAGACCTCATTTTTGGTTTTGGGATAATTTTGTTTGACAAAGAGTGAGTGTAGTTGGCCTGATTTTGAATGTTTTGAGTGAATTCTGTCAATACTGACCGTACTGATTCCAGCTCCAGTGTACACCACTAGATGCTTGGACTTATTGATGGCCGATACCAACTCATCAACCTTAGCTTCAAGAACATCACTGCTGTCTTCAACCTACATGTAGAAGACATTTTTCAAATATATAAACAAAAATGTAAAAAACAAATAATAATTTCTGTATTATAAAAAATGTGTGCATAAGGAATTTACACCGTTAATCTCCATTTCTAAATGGTGGTAAACTACCCATAATCTTTTGTGTTTCCTTTCAACTATTCATTCAAAGAGATTAGCCATCACCACTCTAAAGTTGGTGTTCTTCATTTTCATCCTTCAAAGGATATTGTGCACAGCGGCCATAGACTGGGGTTCAAACACCAAAAACTGGACCAAGGCCAGCACGTCACACGACTTTCTTCAGCCAATCACCTCTATCGTCTTCTTCTTCACCAACTCCTTGAGTCTTGCTCGTCGTTCCAGCTCCTTGACGACATCCTTGCATTCCCTCAGTAGTTTCTTGTCATCTTTGCTCCTCAACTTGACTGGCTTGGAAAGAACCTCCTTGACCTGAAAATAAATTTGAACAAATCTTAATTGAGTAATTAATTATATTTTTCCAATATAACAGATTAATACTGACTGCCGAGGGTGTCGCATGCCTTTCTGATTTTACTGGTTCATCACTACACCAGCTCATCGGGCCATCAGACATACAGATCCCGGAGATCAGAGTGGTGTACATTGAGAAATCAGACTGATCCGATCGGCGTACACCGGGCAACCGGATGAAACCAAACATGTTCGATTTTGTCGCATCCAATTTCACCGGAAAGGTGTGAAGCCAGCATTTCGATTTCACCATTAAGACCATGGAGGAATAACAAACACATCATTCCTCCATGCGCGCGGCGCGGATGCATGTGGGCGCGGCAGCAGGCAGGCAGGGCGACTCAACATTGTCAACAACGCAGCTAGAATAAGTATAAAAAAAGCACGATCTGACACGTCAATCCCACCACAAAACACTTCCCAATATTCCTCACCCTCCTCTCCTTTTCCTTGACCTCCTGTTTCTTCAAAACAGCAGAGCGATCGATCTTATTTGCACAATTTCTGGCAGGCCGCGATCTCTCCTGCACATTTTGCAAATTCGTCGCCATGTTTATGTTTGAAATAGTCAGGCCCCTACTTTCTACTGTGTGGCAAATGGGATACCCGGGGCTGGGTGTCGCACATCCTGCAGGCGAATTTCTGTGATCGCCAGTAAGTTCCATAAGTTGCTTTATTTTTCTGAATTTAAGCACAGTTTAATCCTGTGATCTTTATTTATGAAATAATATGCATGTACTTATAAGTTTCTGCTGCCTTAGGGATGCATACAGAAGTTGACTGCTAATGCGATCACTTGGTGAAAAATCCTACACAGTCTTGCACTTGCAGTTGCAACCCTGGACGTGCTGATTCCAAATTTTCAATTGCACAGCATCATGAGACATGACATCATAATTCATAAAAAAAGCCCTTTGAATTTTGTGCCAGACTTAATCTATTCTGTTCTTCTTACACTTTGTCCCGGAGATTTCATAGCTCAGTCCGCTCAGCCCGCTCAGCCTCTTCAGCCATTTCGAGAGATGCAGCATATCCATGGCAACTGTATCACCATGGTTATACCGCATCCTTCGTGTCGTCTAACTTATATCTAAACAGAAGTGAACTGTGAAGTTGTCTTCAGTACATCCTTACTAATTCTACTTTTTTTCTCGACAGCTTGTAATGATTTGGCCAATTTTCCGGCTCCTTGGACAACACTTGAGTGTTCCTTTGTCTGTTACCAAATTTGGAGCCTGGAGAACTAGAACCAACGTGGTGTCATTTTTCAGGTAGGCCTATGTGTGGGTTTGTAGATTCAACAATAAGATAATATAATTGAACTTGTGAGATTTCTCGTTATATCATTGTCTGCTGAAAAATGTTGTGGTCACACCCCCTTAACCCTTCCTTTATTGGCCACACCCCCTTTCCTTTATGGCCACACCCCCTTTCCCTATTGGTCACACCCCCTATCCATATTGGTCACACCCACTCCCCAATAACTCTGGCGAGCTACCATGGATAACAGAACATTATAATAACTGCATCATTTTTAAAAATTTTTTTTTGGATAACTGCCATTTTTAAGGACAATGGCCACGGGAGGTCCATCCGAGAAGTCTTACAGGAATCGACTGGCCAATGAGAAGTCTCCGTACCTCCTCCAACATGCCAGCAACCCTGTTGATTGGTGGGTTTTGTTTATAGTAAATTTTTCAAACACAAACATGCAGATATCGTTATGTCACAATTACTCAAAATTTGCAGTGTTATTAATTTATAAGGGCTCCAAATTGTTCTGTTTTATTAGGTCTCCAGATTTTTCTGTTTTTAACAACTGCCATTGACAGCCTTATTGGAAATCTGTGTTCAGGGTTTTCTGTTGACCATGAATTTTTTAGCATTTATTTATTTCACATTTTCGTGCAGGTATCCATGGGGACCAGAGGCATTTGAGAAAGCCAAGCGAGAGAACAAACTCATCTTTCTCTCAGGTTGGGAAAGATTTAGTTTGAAAGGAAAAGATTGTATTGAATTTTCGAACTCTTTAAATTTGTGTCATCAGTCCTAGAGATGCACAGCTTGACCTCACTGAGGTCAAATCTCGCATATAAGTTTACTGTGGGAAAACAGCTGTGCATACCCCCATACTCTGTATGAGAGTCCCAAAACTGAAGGTATTGAAAACATGCAACACAAGAACATAGACTGGCACCTGAAACAACCAGTCCAACACCCATTTAGTACTGCATCAATCAACCGTGTCAAAAGAAATGTCTGGTACCACATTCTCTATGGTCATGACACCAGACTACTGAAGGGTCAATCTTTGCAAACAGTTGGACATGCACCAGTCTAGTCTTTAGCTTCAAATTGAAACCACTTGGCTTCACTCTCAGGTGAAAAATGTTGGAAGAAAAATCACCTCTGATAATTGAATTGAGACCTCAAATACTGAGGATCTTGTCTTTGCCCAATGAACATTTTGGAGAATTTTGTCTGCTAAAGACTGAGTAAAGTTGTTCGGATCTTGTTTTGCATGTTTTTCACCACTCGAGGTCCTGATCCAGGATAAAATCCGGCCCATTGTGTACACCAGAGTCATGAAAAGACTTCCCGTGAATTGATTGAATAGAATTTTGAGCGCTCAGTGGCCAGCTTTGTTTAATGCTTGCCTAGTCTTATTTCCTGACTGTAGTCGGTTACTCCACATGCCATTGGTGTCACGTGATGGAACGGGAAACGTTTGAGAATGAAGAGATTGGATCGTTGATGAACAAGCATTTGGTCAGCATCAAGGTGGACCGAGAAGAACGGCCAGACGTTGACCGGGTCTACATGACCTTCATACAGGTCAGCAGTTAACCAATCAGCATTATCCCTAATACACCTCATACATATTTATAGGCAAATGCAATTCTGTCATTGGCCAATGTTTGAATTTAAAACTAACTCCTAGCCCATTAGAAGGTCTAGTACCATCAGCAGTACCCCAGATTAGCTCCAAGACTCTCAACTGTTTGAAACTAGTGATCACAGGCCAGGTCCATAGTGGTACCATTCTAAAACTTTATTTTCTTTCGTTCAGGCATCTAGCGGTGGTGGTGGTTGGCCAATGAGTGTATGGTTGACCCCTGACCTCAAACCCATCGTAGGAGGGACTTACTTCCCGCCAACCGATCATTTTGGCCGGCCGGGGTTTGGCACCATTGTCCAGAGCATTGTCAACCAGGTGAGAATATCATTTGACATTTACAGTTGAAATAGTAAATCAACAATTATTGTCAGGATTAATAAATAGTGTTTTTCAAACAAGTCGATTTGTAACTTCTTGTAGCTTTCTAAGCATATCACATAAGGTCAAGTCATTTAACCTAGGTCAAGTTATTTAAATCTGAAACCTGGGCTTCAGCCTCCATCTTCAGATTTTGAGACTCAATTTCAGTCAGTGTTTTGGTCAGTTTTTCTGGTAGAGGAACATCAAATTCTGCATTGTGAGTCCAGATGTAGGAAACCATACCAGCTGAAATTTCAGGGACTCTAAGGATCTCATTCAACAGCAATGGTTATTAATTTTCAACGTTGGTTTATTTGCCCACCCAGTGGCGTAGAGAGCCAGACAAGATGGCGCAGCAAGCCGGCAAGATCCTTGATGCCTTGCAGAAGGCAACCACCTCCAAGGCGCCATCGGACGCAGGAACCCTGGCCGTAGATGCCAGCATCGGCCGTTGCTACAGACAGCTGGCACAGAGCTATGAGCCCCAGTACGGGGGATTTGGCGGCGCTCCCAAATTCCCACAACCAGGTACAAACTACAAAAAGGACATATGTAAATTTGGATATTTTTAAATACCAACTTCAAGTATAAATGGAAAACATATAAGAGTATTGATGTTTATTGTTTCACACTAAAAGAACTTACTAATTAAAAGAAGGGAAAGCGTGTTGCATCCCGACGCCCCTTTTTTCATCATATATCATCTCAATGAAGGTCAGCTATTGCAAAAAATGTTGAAAAGACATGAATCTGGGACTGAAAAACATTTCCAATTTTGTTAGGGAATACTTTGAAAATGTTCTTGACCCTCCCTAGAATTTGTACGTAGCCGCTGAAGTGGCGTCTGGATACTACATTCTTTCCAAAAGAAGTTTAAAATAAGTAGTCGGTTCTCTTTTTAAGAGTTGCTCTTCGTTGCAGTTTTATTGGATGCATACACAAAAAGGATTATCTTCCATTGTCTTCACTTTTCCTTTTTGTCTTGTTTTTAGTCAACTTCAACTTCATGTTCAGGCATTACGCTAGCAAGCCTGAGACTGCAGAGGGAAAAGAAGGATTGGAAATGTGTCTGAAAACGCTGCGATTTATGGCTAAAGGAGGGATGTATGACCATATTGCTCAGGTAAATATGTAGTCAATTTATATTCGCTAATTTAAATATATTCTTACATATTCATGAGTATATTCATTTTTGGTCATGATGTTATAGTCCTGAATTTATTATATGTACTTCATGCATATTCACGGCTAAGTTTCGACACTCGTTGGCCATATTTTGTCATTGTGTAGGGTTTTCATCGCTACTCTACCGATGAGTTTTGGCACGTGCCGCATTTTGAGAAGATGTTGTACGATCAGGGGCAGCTAGCTGTGTCTTACCTGGAGGCCTATCAGGTATTGTAAATATAATAATAATTCAACGTGCCTTTACCTATGGAAACAAAACACTTTGACGATGTGCAACTCAAAATAAAACGGTTGTGTGATAGTAATCCTAACCACCGACCTGTTCTTAATAAATTTGTTCTGTGTATTCTTATAGAATATTAATCGCCTTTCTCATTACAGATCACAAAGGATGAGACGTTTGCAGATGTCGCCCGCAGTATTTTGAAGTACGTCTCAAGAGATCTAAGCAGCAAGGTATTTTATTCAGTATGGATTTATGGACCTTATTAATTCTCTGACAACTTTTGAGAAAAAACATTCCTGGATCTGCCAAAATTTAACAGTATATTGTATCCAAATGTCACATTCATTGTAAAAGCAAAATTATGACATGTCCTTACTAAACATAGTCCAGTAACTACGAATATACGAATAGTTCATCAAATAGAAATTTGAATATCCAGGTATTGAATTATTCAACGTATCTCAACCCAAGCATTTCAGCTTGATCACGCTTTTTTGACAGGCGGGTGGTTTCTTCAGTGCGGAAGACGCCGATTCCTACCCTTCCCATGATGTCGAGCACAAGAAGGAGGGAGCGTTCTGCGTCTGGGAAGAAGAAGAGGTCCGTCGTCTGCTCTCCGATGCCGTCGAAGGCAGCGATGGCGTCTCATTGGCTGACGTGTTTTGCAAACACTACGACGTCAGGAAGGGGGGGAACGTGAACTTTGAGCAGGTGAGATTGCGCAGCGAGTCTCTGTAGAGGGCGCTGTGTCCTACTAATGAGAACCATTAACTAATACATCATGTAGCGGCACAAATTTGAGGATGCGAGTATGTGCATGTAATCTCTGTTGTCAAATGTTTGCATTATAGAACATGCCAAATAATTTTATGAAATTTCGGTCACCCAGGATCCTCACGGTGAATTGAAGCAAAAGAACGTTCTGATCGTGCGCGGGTCGCTAGCCATCACCGCAAACAGCTTCAACCTGGACGAGGCGTTGACAGAGAGGGCGCTGTCCAAAGCAAGGGAGATACTGTACAACGAGCGACTGAAGAGACCCAAGCCACACCTGGACGACAAAGTCTTAACCAGCTGGAATGGTAATAACAACACCTCTAAAATGTTTTGGATCCTCAGCACTTCAATGTTTGGAAATTTGCTTTAAAAGCTGATTTCCGTTAACTCCATGTATTTTACACTGAAAGAAAACATCTTGGGAATTGTTTTGTGTGAATGCCTCTCCTCTTTTTTTTTATCCCAGGTCTTATGATTTCCGGCTTTGCCAAAGGAGGTCAAGTTCTTGGAGACCCAGCCTACACCTCTAGGGCCATCCAAGCAGCCTCCTTCATCAAGGAACATCTCTACAACAGTCAGACGGGATGCCTGATCAGGAGTTGCTACACGGACGAGCAAGGAGATGTCACACAGATGTAAGGAACCTGTCCCAGAGAATATCTAGACCAAGTGAATCATAAGTCTGAGTATCTGACATGTACGCGTGCAGAGCCACACAGCGAACGTCTGATATATCCTAGCATGCAAATATGAGACCCGCACGCAAGCCAATCGGAGTCAACTTTAGACATTGTGACGTCATTTCGATCAGAAATGTGGACTAATCTCCACAGGCTTCAAATAAAACTCTAAATCATGCGTACACTTTATACCAACCAGGCACACTAGCTTCTCACTTGTGCCGTATGAGCAAAGACCAATTTGGATACCAGTTGGTAGAGCACCGGTACATTATTCCAATGGTCCCGGTGCAAATCCCACTGCACTCAATTCCTCTATCCAATCCAACATTGATGTCATTTTGTCTTTGACAGAGCTGAGCCAATCGAGGGCTTCGTTGATGACTACTGCAATCTGATCCGAGGTCTACTGGACCTGTATGAAGCCTGCTATGACCAGTCCTGGCTGGAATGCGCCGGTTCCCTCCAGACCAAACAAGATGAGCTGTTCTGGGATGCAGAGAATGGTGGCTACTATGGTGCGTCAAGTAAGGATCCCTCCATCAAACTACGACTGAAAGAAGGTAAGAGACTTTAACATTTTAACCAGACTCCCTGGAAAAATTTGCCAGCAACCATGCCGAATACCCTCCAAAATCCTCCACTGTGCATGATAGCTATAGCTAAGTCTTGGTGCTTGAACTTTCAAGGCTCATACAAAAACTGTTTTAAATCAAACCATGACGTCAATTTCACACTTAATCAAACTCATGGGTTGTACAGTGTGCATTTTTTATTAACTATTTGCAATAACCGTGCAACTTTGTGGAGCGCCGCGTGGTCCAATAGTTACAGTGTTCGACTCATATATGTGCCATGGTACCTGGGTTCAAACCCTGATGTGCTCGTGTTCTTGGGCAAGACACTTTACTACGATTGCCTCTCTCCACCCAGGAGTATAAATGGATACCTGTGAAGGTAGAGACCAGATTGCACTGATCTCAAATTGCTACAGAAAAAAAGGTCACATTGCCTGATGAACAGGGATGATAATTGTGAAACAGTTTACCCTTTCCTGTTGGTCGAGAGCCCGTCACATGGCCGGTTTTTAACGATTGATAAAGACATGGCTGGCTGGTCTCAAACACTTTTCCAGTGTCACATGAAATTTTGACTTCTATGAAATCCAATGCCTGCACCATTTTATTGGTTGAGCGTTCACAATCCTCATGTAGGCATGCGCAATACTACCATTGAGTCAGTATTTCATAGTCCTAAATTCACACACTACACCGTTACATCTGCGTTGTGCACCACATCATGCAGAACGCGCGACGAGCGCGTCAATCTCCATATAAGGAGTTGTTTACCAGAGGGCATTACCATTGTACAGCTAGAGGGGTGTTTTGTTGATCAAAATTGTTGAAAATTTATAATTTTTGACTTGTTTTGAGTTTTTGACCGAAGAGTTTTTATTTTTTGACCGAAAAGGTATTTATGAATGGGAGTAAATATTTGCTTGGTCGGTATTAAACACTCATTTTAAGAGCGGTTGGAATCTGGATGCTGATAATTACCCCGCCTTTGGCTCGGGTAATTATCAACATCCAGACTCCAACCTCTCTTAAACAGAGTGTTTAATACCGACCAAGCACATATTTATTCCCTTATTATTATTATAAATTTATGTTGTACAGTATACGTGTTTTTTTAAAGTGGCCATGCAATTTCCTAGCACACGAGGGCACTAATTCCATTAGAAACTGTTACTTGTCACTGTAGATAGGAAAAGAACAAAAAATGGCACAAATCCCTTTAAATTCAAACTGTTTTCCCGCAGCAATTTGATGTATCATTTGAAGTCAAGCAGTGTCAAGTTTCTCTGGGATATTCAACTCCAAGCGTAAGGATAAAAAAAATTATATATAAGGTGGAAATATCAGCGTTATGAAAGAAAATGTAATGTCCGTGACAGAGCCCAGTAACCATGATATCTAATTAATTTTTTAGAGAAATATGATCCAGAACTCCTAGTCTGTAATCTCCTTGACCATTACTAGATCATGAGACCTAGACTGGTTCCCGGTCCATCCACTGCGTATTTCGAATGATCCAAAGTTATTGGGGGTGGGGATTAGTCTGGGAGACCATCGCAAGTTAAATTTGAACGTATTCGTGCACCGACTACGCCTGACGCTCACGCGAAGACGCTGTGGCTAATAGCTTTGGCACATTACAGTATGCACACGCTATGTGTCCCATCTTCTGGGCTCCCGAAAATGGTAAAAATGCGCCCTCTTTTGTTGGCGCACGGAGCCCATAGGATTTTAAAAATATATTTTCAGGTTTACTCACTGAGTTTTTAAAATTTCACAGATATTACATTTTCTTCCATTGGGGTAAAGAAAAAATTGGGAGAAAAGATACCAATAGCACACTCATTCTTTGTTCTCTGACCTCCAAGCTCCGTGTAAAGTATGACTGTCTTGGCAGTACTTTCCTAACTCCTGCAGATCCTTCCCAACCTCCTGAAGGATTTTCCAACGACCTGGGAGGGTTAGGGTCAACGCTGACTATCACAAGTCAAAGTACACTACATAAGCGGTATCTCATAAAAACCAGCCTGTGCTAGCATCTAGAGCCATTCCACGGCCTCTGGCCAGCTTGTTATTGAATCATAAACCGCTCTTATCAACCACACGCCACTCGTCAACTGCGGAAATGTTAGAATGTGGCATCTGTCACCGCAGAGGAGAGATATGCCATCCGAAGGAATCCAGCCCCATTTTTTTTCCCTTTCCTACGTCTTGTAAAAAAAAAAATTGTCTCGCGGTTATGGTGATTATACAGCATCCATCTTGTAAACTTGTAAGTTGACATGTTGCTTTTGTAACCCCACCGGTTTTCGTAATCCGTAATCAATCCGGCGTTGTGGCAGTTGCAAACTGTCTGTGGGAGGATCGCGTTATACATGTATCTGGGCTCCGGATACGTGGGACATTCCTTCAGCAACTTGACTCTCTGAGGTGATGCCCTGTTCTAATTCTTCATCCTCCAATGTTAATGAAATGGGTTTTTTTGGGTTGCTGCATAGCAAGCGATTAAGAAGAAGGTGATATCTAGGAAGTGATGGCAAGAATTCAATTAGGACTGAAAAGGGCGAAGTGCACAATCAGTGATATTAATAAAAGTCAACATCTAGTTTTATTTAATCGCTCATAATGGGATTTCACAAAGTTATTTCAAGATATCCTAACCGGAACCAACACCATAAACCTACTCCCACGAAACTGCAAGGGAAAACACCCCAAAAAGTTCCCCGTTTACAGTTACGTCTCACTTGGCTTCCTCAAATCAGGCTTGAGAATCTTCCTGCTTAAACAGGAATTCCTGATTTTTTGTTTCCCAAATTTCCACATTTTTATTTATTTTGAGCGTGGTTTGGGGCTTTTGTGCCTGATTTCACATCTTTTTCCTGTTTTTGCACAAGTTTCCTGGGTTTTTTTTTCATTGAAATTCATTCTCATGTCTGGTCAAACCCCTTATTAACTTTTTTTTTAAATTCCTGGTTTTTTTTCTCACAGTGGTCTTACTTATATTTCCTTTTGTTCAGCAAATGTGGTTAAGACCAAATCATAAGCAACAACATTTTTTTTAAACAAATTTAAAGATTTGCTTAAACAACATTTTCAAGGACTTGCTTGCCTGTTTGTCAGTGGTGGAGGCAAGACGTGGGCGTTTAAACCTTATCAATTCCTTATGGACTCTCACGCCAACGTTACAAGTGCCAATCTTTTCCATGAATTGTATTGATTGGCTATCAATATGCATTAACCAATGCAATCATTTATTATGCTTGACCAAGAAATCTTGGCTTTCTGTGTGGCTTGGAATGTGTGGGTTGGAAGCAGTCCGGAAAAATCAGAATTACCCAGAGGATTGAGTCGCATCTCACAGATATTATCTGCGTTGTGCTTTATCCTTCAAGTAAGATTTATGGCTAAAGAGTTTACTTGAAAGATTGTTGCACCACCATGGAAATATTTGTATTTGTGTGGGAAAGTGGTTTACAGCGAGATATTTCTTGCAAGAACCAGTGGATAAACAGTCAACGTTTCAGTCAGTATGCGCTGATCATCTTCACAAGTCAGCAGTGATCCTATCAGATGCCGGTGTTGCACATATTTCCAAGGAAAATGTTTTTTTTAATCTATATAATATATCCTTTTTATGTTGTAATGTGGGACATTATGTCCAAATATTTCGTCGCAGAAGTTTACACTAAAGTGTACATAAGTATTCATGATTAGCTTGGCAAATGGCAAAAATGTTACCTTTCTACACGTGATATCCTTGTGGTATATTTATGGGAATGTAATTTCTGTGACTACTTTGACACCTCAGACTCTAACGAAATGTGCAGAAGAAAAATTGCTAACATACAGAAGACGTCAAAACATAATTGAGCCAATCACCAGCAGATTATAGGAGAAATGTCAATAGCACAGACCGAACCTTTTCGCCAGAATTAGCTTGACGTGTGCCACAGCTGTGCTGTCCTTGCCCCTAAGCTTGATCTATCGCACCCAAGCAAATCCAAACTCCAAAGTGTCGAGTGTAAAACACATGTCCTGCCTCACGGTATGTCGTCACAGCTTGGCAATTCAGCCGAGCTTTTATTCTGGACTGTTGCGAATCGTTGGATGTTTGCATATATCTTGCAGGATGCCTTTCTCCGAACGGAACACCTGGGGAGACATAAGTCACCTCATTTTAGTCTCAAGAGCCTCCCCGTGCGTTATATGTCAATTTTGAGCCCGACACTATTCATTCAGCATGGAAATAATTCATTAATTTTAATTCTTGCTGAGGAAACCAAGGGTTCCCCAAAAGTAGCTGGAAGCCTGAAAAAAACACAAGATGATAGACAACAAATATTGTTAATTTTAGAGGTGGGCAGAAAACCCAGTACATGTGTTGATTTTAGAGGTGGGCAGAAAACCGAGTACATGTATTGTATTCAAGGGAAAACTCACCTAATCAGACAAGCACTGAAAACTGAATTAATGTGTCGGCCTGAGAAGGATTCGAACCTGGGCCATAGAGGTAGAAATATAGAAAAACAGACCATTTGGCCAATTTAGCAAAATTAAGATAAAATTTGTCCCATTTAAGAAATGCTCCGGACATACAGTATCACTCACTGAGAAAAATTAAGTTCACTTTTAGGATTAACAAAAACACTTCCAGAAGACAACAACAAGTGTATCAATCAAGAACACGCACTTGACATTACGATTGTTTACGATGAAAATCACTTAACACGTGCCATCTATCGTGCTTCTCTGAAATGGTGTCCCCGCGCACAAACAGTTTTTCAGGAATTTAACATTTCGTGGAGGTAATTAGTTTGGAAGATGATAGAAAAAAAAACCCAGTCTTTCAGTTAGAAATGCATTAGGCAGGATGGGTAATAGCGTGTTATTATCTCGGCACCTGTTGGGGTATATAAAACCCACATGCCTGCCATATATAGCGATGATTTATCAGGCAACGGTACCAGCCCACCTATATCCCATGTGGTGCAGATGGGAAACGTTTGACAGATTCAGGCCGGGTACACAGAGTTATATTTCGACCCACTTTTTTGTTGGCAACATTTGCTAGTGGGGCTAGCATTGTGACTTTTGGGCGTGATCCCTGGCCGTTTGGCTTGTACGGTCTCGTGGCTTCCAACTTCAGCCCTGAAAAGAAATATTGACTAGAAGGTTAGTTTGGTATTCCAATTGCGTGTGTTGACAATTCGCACTTGGCATGGAACACTGAAGAATACCATAAAACACGATGCAGTTCAAAGTTTTTGGAAATTTGTCCTAAGGCTCCATGCACATTTAGTAGCCCTTCAACGGCCTGAAAAGGAGAGTTGGGGGAGACCTAGAGTGGTTCCTGGTCCATCCACTGCATATTTCGAATGATCCAAAGTTATTGGGGGCTGGGATTAGTCTGGGAGACCATCGCAAGTTGAATTCGACGACGATGCCTGACGCTCACACGTGAGGACGCTATGGCTTAGCTTTGTCCACATTCAGGATAGAATTAGTTGTGTGTACTTCGCGTGCGAACCAGTACAGTACACACATGCAGTGTACCATCCAAGGCAGAGACATCTAATAATAACGCGCCCTCTTTTGTTGGTGCACAGAGCTAATAGAACAAGAACCTTTGATTTTGCGCACAAATGTCATTTCTTTCCTATTAGAAGTTAAGGAGCAATTCAATGTCACGAAAAGTTTGGTTTTGCCAATATTTATAAATATTTAAGCTAAATGACTCTTAAATGAGCATTGCCAATTTTATTTTATTTTTTTATATAAGTAAGTCATACATTGTGATTTCTTGGATATGGTACTATTCAGACACTGTTTTGATCCAAATGTATCATAAAATTGATGCAACAGAAAGACTAACACTAGTGTCCAAACATTGGTCACTGTGTTTACTGTTCGGTCCTTTCCAAAGCACCCCTCGTAAAAAGCGGCACTCCAAACAAATGAAAACCGCCGCCAGCAAATGCGCCATAATGATGATTAATCCTCGATACCGACTCCAAGACATGCAGTCCTAAAATGTCTCCCCATCTGTTGAATTAAGATGCTAGGATACATCCCTTCGCATGCTTGAAGTGCATGGGCCCCATTTGCGCTTCTGCCGTCGGAAATTGATTCAGCTCTGAAAGACTTGCCAACAGACGCGCTGCCGCTGAAATATTCATCACAGGTTTTTCCAAGCCCAGAACCGGGTCAGTACTTTACGGCCAACGACACGGTTTATTTTAGGTTGTACAAGTACCTGGACATCACTAAAGATAGACTTTACAGTAGCCGGCATGAGACGTGCATACCGGTCGTAACTAAACGAGAGCTGTGTAAAAAAACGGCAAACAGAATATCGATCCTCACTGGCTTTGCCTTTTTTGCTTAATCACGGTAGCATATAATTACACTATATTGATTTCAAATACACAGCAGCAGCGCTTGAATTGATTCACGGAAAGGCGACCCTACCAGTCGGCCTTACCAGGTCAAAATTGTCACAGTGAACCGTCGTGAGTGATCGTTCCCTCGCATTAAGCAAAGCAGAACGTTTCTGTTTGCACAGGAGTTTACTAAAGTGAGAAACCATTCATTACTATCATTATGCTGGCTGCAGTCTATCGACTTTTTCAATTAATAACGCACTTTCCTTTTAATAACACCCATTTATTTTCTGACATGAATATATTTTGTTTTCTTAGCAATAAGGGGTTAAGTTTTTGATGTTGCTTTGTTGACAGCAGTAATGTTCTCACTATTGCAAACAAGTTTTGCTTACTTCTGATTCCCGGAAGTTAGCAGAAACAGAGATCATATACAACTACAGAGCTTTGTATATACCACAAATCAACACAGATATGTATTTCTGGCACAAGTACAAAAATACTATCACCCCAAAACAAACTCCCTAAAAAAACCTCTTGTGTATCCATTACTCGCAAAACCGCACGGCTGTAAAAAATAGCTGTTGGTTCCTGTTTCTGTCTGCATGACACGCGATCTATAGACCTTGATATATCCTCATCTGTCTTCTAATTCAGAGGCCTCCGGCTGCCCACATCTCATGGTGAGGTTGCAGGAATGCTGTGAATCCTACAGCCTTCTCTGCAAATGAGAACGCCAGATGAGGATTACACAAGGCTTTCCTAGACGTCAGAATAGGACATAAACTCGCTGTGAACGAGATATCTTCATTATCATTATTGTATTTCCGCGATTTCACTTCTAGCATTATATGCCGGTAACTTTTGTTTGACTGGAGTGTCGGCTGTTTTCGCTAAGCAAATATTTTCTGTGTTAAGCAAAATCTCTGTGCTGTAGAGCTTAATAAAATTTAGCCCTGTTGTCTTGAGTTACAAATCTTATCATCTGATACTGAACAAAATGCACAATCACTTGCCTTCCACCCCCTGTACCGAAGCTGGGGATTAACTGATGAATTTTAATGGAATGCAATCTCTTTTATCTTGGTATGTCCACATAACACACACAGCTGTCTTGCGAAAATATCTTTTATTACATCGCCCATGCACTTTCATTTTCTTTATCGGCATGTGTAATTTTTAAAATGTCATCTTCAATCCTTCCTTCTTTTTCTGACGTGACTCAGGAGGGTTCAAGCTAGGTTTTGAGGTCAAAGGGCAAGACATTGTTTGGGGGAGAAAGTCTAGACTTGAGGTTTAAATTAGTACGGACTTCGTTCAGAAACTGTAAGATGTCTCTGTTGGACATATTCGTGAGAGCTAAGGACGGGCCTATTGTGTGCAATAATTGACATGCAAGTAATATATTCAGCTGACTGTGCATAACTTATACAGTGTGTCCATGGGCAAGCCACTTTACCCAAACTTGGCTTTACTCTCTCCAGCCAAGAGTAAATGGGCTCCATAAGGAGTTACATAAGGAGTGACCTGCAATGGGGATCGAGTCAGGTTGGCGTAGCGGTACTTTCCTCGCCTTCCACCGCTGTGACCCGGGTTCGAATCCCGCCTGGGCCAATATGTGGATTGGGTTTTCAGTCCCTACTTGATTCTGTGGGTTTTCCTCAGAAAATTCCATTCTGGGGTTTTCCACCCATGTCTAAAATTGTAATTTCTTCACATTGTCTTCTCTTTACTGGGCCCCATGGGAGACCAGTAGATTCCACTGAATGGGCTACCCGGTTAAAATAATAAATAAATAGAAATAGTGTCGGTTGTTTTATCACAGTGGTGTCATATACTTTTTACTTTTGAACTACTTCTTAAGTTGTCAGTCCTATAATGATACTTTCTTGCATAACTATGTTGACTATCCTCTTAAACTGTTGACAAACCCTTTAAAAAGATCTGTACCTACATTTTGTTGGTCTCCTTGCCCTGAGCTGTGGCACACTTCGCTATTGTGCTACATCCTTCAGTACCTGTTTGCCCAACAACAACAGTCACTGGTGGATAAGTAGGGCTTAAGTCTAATCCTTTAAGTAGGGATAATCCCTTATCCCAACAAATGTCACTAAATTGATTATTGGAATGGAGTTACAACAGTGATTTTAACAAGTTATTTATTGGTCTGATCCATGCTTCAATATTGATTTGATGATGGTGTGGTAATCTGAAATTAATCAGGTTGTCCCAGCTAATTTACACAATTTTCCTCAGTCAATCCTGTCAAATGATAATTTTGTTTCTTTGTAAAACTGCAGAGTTTTACAAGGAGAACAGTAAACACTGTTGACAACAGTTGTCGGAAAACGCGTTGTTGTGTTTCTTTATCATAGAGTTTAATTCTTTAAATTCTTTAAACAAAACCAAACAAACACAGTGAGTTTTTCCTTGGTCTTTGCTTCAGTTTATACATTTTGAGACCAACATCAATATCTATCAGTTTTGCTTTTGTACAAAAAAGGAACAATTTTTCACAAACAAGAGATGCTTAAGTTCGAGCAGCATACATTTTGTATAAGTTAACATATGTTCATACAGGGTGAGTAAAAAAAAAGACGAAACCCAAATGGCAGGACCAATTTTTGAATGAAGTTTTGCCTGTAGCACTTTCAAAATCTAGGATATGAAAGCCTAGTCATTAAGCTTTCTTTTAGTACAAGAATCATTCAAATCACTCATGTACTTTTCAAGTTACGGAATTTTGAACACAAACACCGTTTTAAAGTTCTGTCCACGGATCACAAAAAAAGTAAGTGTTCTTTCAGCGAAATGAAAACAATTCTCATAGGGATGCTTGTGAATTGTTTTCAGTTTGCAAAGTCCTTTCACATGGAATCTGTTTCTTTATACTTTCAGATCAGGACGGAGCTGAACCCAGCGCCAACTCCGTCTCAGCCCTCAACCTGCTCAGGTTAGCCCAGATGACGGGTAGTCAGGACTGGCAAGCTAGGGCTGATCAGCTCTTTGCCGTCTTCACGGAGAGACTGACCAAGATCCCCGTGGCTCTACCGGAGATGGTGTCTGCTTTGGTGTTCAAGCACAACACTCCAAAACAGGTGAAATGCCATTCATCTCTCATGTGTCACAACAAGACAAGACTAGAAACGCTTGTCCAGTCAAAGTCACAACTGACAGTCAGTACATAAATAAACAAATTTATGGGGACTAATCGTCCATACTCGCAGCAGAAGCTGATTTGTGAACAACGCAGCTACAACATGGTCGAGCCCAAGGCATAAAAAGGTGCCTACGGCCTTAGGCAGCCAGCATACGACCCATGTCTTACCATGGAGCACAGCCAGATCAAAGTGTTGATTTTTTTCAGAGGGAGGAAATTTGGGGAACCCAGAGAAAAACCCTCATGGCACTGGAGAGAATCAACGAACAACTCTAGTCACATATGACCCGAGCCGGGAATCGAACCCGGCCACAGCGGTGAGAGGCGAGCGTTTTAGGCACTGCGCCTCCCAAGCTTGTCCTTTGAAACCAGCAAAAGCAGTGTGCCCAAATCACAATCCCAGTCAACAATTGTTAAATGTCGTAGACCAACGATGCCTTGCATATCACTACAAAGAACTTTCCACCATTGGAATATAAATTATCCTTATTCACAATTTTCTTGAAGTGCACAACCAGGACTGCATATTACAAGTTTCCAAAAACTTGAACAAGAACCAAGCAGGACTTTTTTTTGGTTTAAACTGGCACTGAATCAATGCTTGAATGATTCAACGGCAGAAGTGTTGAAAGCTGACAGGAATATTGTCCAAGCCTTAGATCGTCAGGGCTTGGCATGCCAAAACCTACAGGAATCTAGGTTGGGGGGATTCTGACAGGAGCTAGCCATTGATTGAAATATTGATACAACAATCAACAACACTCAGCGATGGCGCAGACTTCGCACGGTTGACACCTTTCCAAGCAACACTACTGAAGAATGCAAGAGTTCTCGTGTCAGCCTGACACCTTTCCAGTTGCTGAATTTTAGATATGGAAGTAAATATTTACTAACCGAATTCCATCAAAATTGGATGTGAACTTTTGGTAAAAATGTTGCTCCAGAATTTTGAAAAACATTTTCTTGAAAAACAAGCTTTCTTGAAAACTTTCCGCAGGATGGGTTTCAAGTCGACAACATAACCTTTTTGCAAGTTAAAGTATAAATTGTCAACTTTAAAACTGTTTGAGATGAACAAGCGTGCAAATAAACAAGAGTACAGGTTTAGACATTTTGAGAAACAGTATTATAACTACTGTTAAGGTGGACATTTTACCCAAAAATGGGTTTGTTATCAAGATTGCAAAGCAAAACATCTTGAAATAGAGATATATAGGTTTTTGAAAAGCAAATAATGATTAAGATGCCCGTTCTTGCCACATATTTAAAACTTTGAGTTGCAAGATTGGTCCCGAGTTTCAAGGAAAACCTCTATTATTATCTCATTGATGGAGATTCCCGGAAGCTTTACAAAGGCAGTAAATTTCCCTCTGACAAAAATGTTACCCAACATCCTGAATCTCCAGAATTCAGTTCAGATCAACCCATCGTTATCCTCGATGCGCTGGTTAAGTTAATACCCCAAAGAGTATCGTTCACAAGTTACTCTTATCACTCGTGATATGTCCGCCCCCGCAACACAAGTTATCAGGAATGCGATGCATCATCGTTCGGTTCTCCTTGAAATGTTGGCATTGACACGGGTATCTACACCCTCCTTGCGACTTATCATCAACCCAAGACCTTATTTTTATGGGCCATATCTTAGCAGTATCTGCAAATCTTGAGGTTGTTTTCATGTACACCATCAAATGCGTTCTCTAAACATCTGTATCTTTTATTATGTTTGTCGTTGGCAGCTGGTTTAAGATCTGTTTGTCCCCTAATGGGTTTTATTGTGTGGTTGTGTGGTCTTCGTTGAATCGTAAACCATTCCTTTCTCTCTATCCCCCTTTTTACGCGACCACTGCAGTAGATTTCTTGGAGTTTATTGCTTAAGTGCATGGGGTATCTTGACTGTGTGATTGTGAATGATAAAATGAAAGGGGCTGAATGACGAATCGCTGTGGACAAACTGAATTAACCTATAGATGAAGAACTGCACAAATTGCTTTCTGTGAACAAATGTCCGAGTGCATCCATTTGTATTCATTGTATGTAAGAAAATTAAAGTGCTACCCAAAGTCCAGTTTTTGTTTGCTTCAGAGCATGGCCGTGCTAGAATGACTGATGGTATTGTCACTAAAGTGTACTTACTTTTAGACTGGATCGTGTACACACACATGTATAAGAAGAACAGGCATGACTCTAAAGTTTCTCAAGTTGTATTGGTTGCTATGCACCTTTACAATTCTACCTTCCCTGTAATCTGAGTGGCATAGTTATCAAAAGCACACACATGTACAAATAGGACACAATGGCATTTGTGCACTTTTAAATTTTGAGGTTAAGGGTGACCCCACATTAGAGATCATCAAGACAACTTCAACTGTTCGTTTTCTGACTCTCTATCTGTGGTAGATATTGAGGCAGAGCTCAGCTTGACCTCATTGGATGAATTGCAGGACTGACAAAGTTACATCTCCTTTGTCAGTAAATAAATGACTGTGGATTTACCCGAGTGATATTATGATGGAATATTTAACAGAAAACTGACAGGAATCAACCAAAACCGAAACCAAAACAAAACAAAACTCTGGGGTCACATTCAATCGTTTCATCTTCGACAGAGAGATGTCACTGTACCGACAGAACTCTAGTTTAACAGTAAGTAACTTAGAGTGCGATGTTGCAATCGGAAGATTATATGGATTTAGCGTTTATCTCAGATCTGTCCCTGGAGATTGTCAAAGATATCGAAAAGTTGGCCTCACAATGTTTGACATGTTTCAAATGAGACATCTTGTAAAATCTTAAACACTTGATTTGTCAAAATACAAACAGATAAGTCCAGATGACACAGTAACTGTTAAAATTTCATCTTTCTTTTTTTTTTAAAGATCATCATCCGTGGGGAGCCAGATGCAGAAGACGCCCTAGCCCTCATTAGATGTGTGCATTCTCGCTTCCTCCCCAACAAAATCCTCCTGCTGGCGGATGGGAACAAGGATTCTTTCCTTTGCTCCAAGCTGAGTCTTCTGCCCACCTTGGAAAAGCTTGACGGGAAAGCCACAGCCTATGTCTGTGAGAACTACCAGTGCCAGCTGCCGGTGACTTCCGTAGAAGAACTGGAAAAATTACTCTAGAAACTTTGTCTAATGAATATTTTTGGACAGGGTGGGTACAAGAGGAGAGAGCTATGCGCACAATACTGAGAGACTAGACTCCAAAAGTTTGTTATGTTTTAAAGATTTGATTAATCAAAGTGCAGTGGGATATGAACCTGGACCATTGGAACACTGTACTGGTGCTCTATGAACTAATTGAAGCTGCTTTGCGCTACGTACGTTTGGAGTCGCTGATTTGTCTTCATTGTCTTTTTTAACAGGTGTTACTCGGAAACTAATGTGGGTTCATTTCCCTCCACAGTAACTTTCTTTGTTCCATTACACTGTAAAGGGTTTTATTCAAACAGAATTCAAGGTCCACATGAAAATAAAATTTGGATTTCACTTTGTAAAATGTCTTTGCTAGATTTAATTTTCTTATGATGTCTCAGCTGATTTGAAATAAGTCCGGGGAAAGAAAAGGTAAAAAATATGTATCAAAATTTACTCTTGAGTCTGTTATAAATATAAAAATGTTTCCTCTAAGCTTTTTTGTTTAAAAAGATTAATTTATTTCAAGAATTAGAATATGGCTTAAGAAGCTAGAACCTATTGTTCTGAATGTTTCTAAAGGGTCATACATTTAGAGAATATGCCTGATGCATGTATATCGATAAGATGTTTTTGCCCAAATTTTGTCCAAATGTCCTGGTTTGGGATTTGCCATTTTTAATAAACTTCATATTTTAACTATTAAAAATGACTACAATTTTTTTCATTATCAACTTTTCTCCAGAGATATTTGTGTTATAAAATTGCCATTTATTTCAGGACTAAATACCCTTTTGTTAAGACTTTAATAGCTCACAATAGCTTCCAATTCACTTGCCTACTTGTATCTGATCCGATCCGTAAACAAATCTTTTCTTGGATGGTTGTAAATCCAAAATTTAAACTAGGAGAACTCAATCTAGATGATGCACACACATTGGTTAAGTGAATTAATATTCCCATGTTCTTAATATTAAAATTGGATTTAAATCTAAATCACACAAAATAAAAAAGCATTTTGTTAAAATAAATATTTTGCTTACCTATTAAGTAGGTATTTTTTACACCCAGCTTTGTTGTACAACTATAATGTTGTACTTCTTAACATAAACCACCGCATAAAAACTGTATTTTATATTTAACTACAGATTACAATTCAAAACTGTGTATGAGTTTACAATACAACTTAACACTATAAACTTGTGTTAGATATGGCAGTATTTTACCAAACACAAGTACCTGTCACAGAATAAATGATTGATTTTTGATAAAACAAATCTATATATAGTATTATATTAAAGTATATACAAACACTGAACCTGAGAATATTTGTCATTCTTGCTGTCATAATTTGTAATGAAGATAAACAAGTAGGCCATTGATCCTGATAGATATCGCTGAGTAGGGGTCATAAGGTCAAGATACCATTGCAACTAATGGTTTTGGGGAGGGTGGCTGGTGTATCGCAGACAAAATATCACAGTTTGCTACCACATACAAGTTTGAAGTATTTGACGATTATTTTAATTTAAATAATGAAAATTAATAAAACTGGTGCAAGCTTACTGACTGGATTGACTTGAAACATCCAAGTAAAAAAATTAAAAAAAATTGAAGGCCTGCTGAAACAGGCCCTCTATTTTTTGTTTAATTTATTTAAATGATATTCAATAATAATTACAGATATGAAACAAGTAGGACTGTCAATACTTCCTCATCTTTTTTCCTCCAACAAATATCTGTTAAGTCCCCCAAACACAAGGTGGGAAAAGGAAAAAAAGACCCCCCTCCTAAAAAAAATTAATAAAACAAAGGAAAAACAAACAAATAAACAAACAAAAGGGGAAGACATTTTGGTTTAGTACAGAATAACTTTTTTTTAAATGGGAAATGAAGTTCTTTTTTCTGTTTCTCTCATTTCTGTAAATTTCCTCAAATAAAAAAAAAATTAAACATTTTCTCAAATAAAAAAAAATCCTTCAAGCATCTGCTTGGGGGATATGCTGCCTGTTAGCATTTCTTTCCCAGTGCTTGTTGAGGGAAAGAACATTTGTATGAATAATTGAAAACTAATCCTTCCATATATGAATAATTTCTTTTACTTCATTGTGTTGTATTTTGCCTTTCAGAGAGACGGAGAAAGTTGAACTCGGCGTGTACTTACGGCTTCATCTCCAGGGAAAAGTGCAATGAACTCGAACGATTGATGTATACAACTTCCCTTATCGGATATCCGTTGTTTTGATACATTGTAACAATTTGTACTCATTTCAGTTGCCAGCCGGCAGATCAAAAGAAATTGGTGTATTGGTTCCCCGCCTCCTTTTATTTATTTTAACCTAAATGCGAAGGGGACCATTTGACAAAAGTTTACTTGAAAAAAAGGCGAAATGTGATTGGGACTTGGCCTGGCACCCTGGCAAGTCACCGAAATAATTATCCAATCACGAGTTGATTTGTGGTTTGAGGCTACTGACATTCGTGATGTCATAAAAATAAGGATAATGATAGAAATATTTAAAATTATATGTTTAATAAATTACATATATGCCATTTCACTTTACAGAATAAATGTACTTTTTTATATAAAAAGGAAAAAAACGGGGGAAAATATTTTAAAATTCTACAATTAACACCGCTATATATTCAGATTTCGGTCACCTATTTTTAATTTTTTTTTAATCAATGCATACATATAAAGTTCTGCTTTTAATTTTAGGTTTTGCCGAGGTCGATATCTCTGCCACTCTTTACAAATTTACATTGTATAATTCTGGACAATTAAAAAAAACTGACCCAGTACAGCTGGCATTGCCTAAAAGGATATTATAGAGCAACCAGTTATAGTGACCCAACACTGAAAGTGTGGCCTCGTTATGTGAAAAAGCTGCCCTCATCTGCGGTCGCCCGGCAACTGCGCAATGATGAGAATGGTTGCGGTGCGACGACTAGACCGTGTCATGCGTTGCACGCAGCCCCCAGCAAAGTCAGCCATCACACGGCGGCTACACAGCCTAACCACACGCCACTATATCATAGACACGGTCAGGCAAGACTGCCAAATCATGAACATATTTTGACATTAACAGTCACGCTAAATGTCTTTCCTTTTTACTGCCAGCAAGTCAAGAGTTCCACGAAACGAATTCGCCGATAATACACGATGATAATGTCTGTTGCCAGGAAGGTACGACTTCTGATAATTTGACAAAATACGCGGTAGGTTTTTGGATGCAGATATTAAATATGAACCTGTGACATGTCAGCTGAGCTCAGGTAGGTGAAACGTGATTGCATCGTGAATGCCTTATTGTACTCTGTCAATGATGAACGCAGGCAAACCGAGGATCAAATTTAATGTGGCAATTCAGTGGATAATCTTGAGCATCGTTGTGGAAAAGGGTGTGAGCTGTCTTTGTGTCTGATATGTGAACAAAGAACATAAGCGGATCAGTGTCCCTCAAAATCTCTTGATGTTCTCTACATGGAAGAAAACATTGGATTATTAATCGGGTGTCCGTGCGGCCGTCCGTGCGCGTGGCTCACCAACGCAACACCGGTAAAATCACGGCGTGTCTACTGAAATGACCGGCACTGTATGTTTTTCGATTCGTATCTAACACTAAGTTCTGATTTTCATGTCCTCTTGGGGTGTGATTTCCACCCGAAAACACACAGCTACGAGTGTATTGAGAGACGTAGCCCCATTTCCAGGGAATTATGGCGGAGGAAGATCGCGAAGCGCAGAGACTGCGCCGAGTGCGGGGCGGCTCGGTCCGGATTCGAGCACCGGGTGAACAGACCATGGGTCGGCGGGGCTCGCCGCCCAAATCGCCGCAGTCATCTCAGGGTGATCTGGGCGATGTGGAGCAGCCCAGCCCCACCGCTGAAGGCTCGGTAGGGTTTACTGTCGATGGTGAAGACGAGGATGCCATGTCGTCTGGAAGTAATGACGAAGATTTACCGTTTCCTGGTCTCAATGATAAAGCGTTCCGCTGCCTCAGCCAGACATCCAAGCCAAGACTTTGGTGCATTCAACTCGTCTGTTGGCCATATCCTTTTCAAATAAATAGCATTTCAATGAATTTTAAATGAATTTTTGTTTAAAAACATGTGCCTAAAATAAAGATTGATGTGGTATAATCACGTTTTTCTTCCCATAATTAGACCTATAAATGCATGTTTTTAAAAACTCTGTCATTTATTGATTATTTTATTAATTTCATTTAAAAATTTTGTCTTCTGCTCATTTTCCCCAAAATAACATTTGCATTTAAATCGGAACCTTACAAGATACATATTGTCATGGTTTCTACATCTCTCATGACACTAAATTTGCCTCTTTGTGGAAACATAAGTGACAATAATGACAAGAATTTTGCCATAATCGCATTTTCCTAAAATCTTGGTAATAATTGGACAAAATTGTACTCATACATGAGAGTCGGGCAGATGTGACTGACATTTACGTGATTAAGGTGAAATCAGTGACGTCAAAGAATACCCAATTATGGAGTATTCTAATTTTAAAGCTTTCTTTCTTGAGCTGTGACGTAAGTCTGAACTTTGTGCCCAATGAGTTGTTCGCACTGGCCGGGCACAATTCTGTGACGCCGACTAAAGTGATAAATCCATATCTTTAGAATTTAAAGTGCAATGTAATAATATTGAATTGGAATGGACCTTAAATGGTGACCACTTTTAATTTTACCATATTTTTTTTATTGATTCAACAATTGCCTATTTTTTTTAAATTGCATCAAAATAGATTTTTCATGCCGCTTTTATTGACTGTTAAAATGTTTTAACATAAAATTTGCGCATATCAGCGCTATAATTTTGTAAGCAATATTTTCACAGTGCGGAAAGCACTCAGTTCTGTGACTTTGCATTTAATCTTGTAAATGTTAGCAAGTATTTTAAGAACAGTAAAACGTTTAAACATTAAGCAATTTTACAAAGGCTAATACCTGCCCATTGTGTCTGCAGATAGGCGTGATTGACGTGGTAAATCAACAATGACTTGGCAGTCATTGAAAATGTAAAAACTTACGTACCTCAAATGTAATCAATAACTGCGGTGCTTCTAAGGTTTCCTACATCAAATAGGTTTGAAATCGCCGTAAGTTTAATATTTGTTTTAGGCCTATATGTATCCTTAACGCAAAGCAAGGTTGCGTGAACTTAGGTCCCTTTTGAAAACTTTTGAGTTGTTTTGGAAAACTTGTAAAAGGATTTAGAATTTTTTTGCGTTTAAACATTTAAAAGTGTAAACGTCACATCCTAAATTACGGCATTTAAATTAACATTACCCATGCAAATTAAATTTATTCGTAGCAATTTAATTATTGCGACATGTAAAGCAGATTTTTTGTTAGTTTAACTAGGTCAGTTTTGTATCAAGGTTATCCTATACTATGTTTCACACCTTCAAACCCAACATATGGGATTGTCCACAGTACGCATACATGAACTCAAATTGTACATTATGCAGCACAACTGTCAATTATATGAATTCGAAAAGGTTAAAACTTTTCGTGACATTTCTTCCCGGGCTTAATAATAGTTCCCTCTCAGTCTGTGTTACCGTTATCCCCGAGTGTTTACTAACACACAAAGTTATCATGTTAATATCTCCTCATTTCCCCACTAGACCCCCCTTTGTTAAATATTGACTCGGTGCGTATTTTCTTTGGATATCAGGTACATGCAGTGCCACAGGCACTCCGAGATATCATCCATGTTGAATTTGATGATATCCACATGTCATTATCAGAGCGAGAAAACAATATAAAATATGAACACAAAGAGGCAAGTAGATGAAAGTCGTACATCTTTGTCAACTTGCTTACGATGTATACTCAGTTTTGTACACAGTAGCATTTTGTGTGTGTGTGTGAATTGGCAAACATTTGTCACTCCATAGACTCCAAACAAAATTTGAAACCATGTTGAAACAAATGCAATGCCTAAAGTCAAGGAAGGGCCAAGAATATGTGATCTTCAGATGGAGTAGGCCTATTTTGTGTAAAATAGTTTTCGCCAAAACAATTGCTTTTCAAAAAAAGGGGCCAACTTAATATTAATTTACTTTGAAATAATGAACTTTGTAGGTAAATGTATGTAGATTAGATCACCTTGTTTTTTTTTGGGGGGGGGGGGGGGTTGGAGGCTATTGGATCTTGATGTTGTTTACAAAACAGGAAATCCCATCAGAACTCTGTAGCATGATCATTATTAGGTATCATTTGGAGTAGCAGTAGGCTTGGATGAAAGCAAATAAGCCTAGGGCTCAATGACGTCACATTTGGAAGTGGTAAAAA